GGAAACACTGATGATGACGATGATGGAAACACTGATGATGACGATGATGGAAACACTGATGATGACGATGATGGAAACACTGATGATGACGATGACGACGACGACGACTTTGACGATGATGGAAATGTACCAATGCCAGTTGTTATCACCACAGGATCCACTTCTGATGAGGACCTTGAATTTGAACTGTACGCTACAAACTCACTTGCTGAAGAAGATGGTTATAACGTTTCAAGGGTTGATGTAACCGGTAACTGGTTTGCCAAAGATGCCGATGGCGAGATCTTGACACCGCAGTTAGAACCGCAAGAACTTGATGGTGAAATCGCCAGTGATGGTTCTGTCTCTTTTACACTGCAAAACCCACTTTATGACGACCAAGTTTATCATCTTAAGATTGACGCCAATGTGAAGCCTGAGGATATCAATGTCACCATCACTTTTATTGCCGATTTTGTCATCACCTTTGTCAATGCTGATGGTGCTGAGATTGAAAAGACGTTCAGCGCAACAACGGATGTTGACTGGAGTATATTTGGTACAGAATCTGATGATGACGATGATGACGACGATGATGACGACGATGATGAGCTTCTTCCAATAACAGCAGCTTACCGTGGTGACAACCAAACAGTTTTCTTTGAACTCTGGGCAAGAAACAGACTTGCAGACGAATCTGGATACCTCGTTACGAATGTTGCAATAGTAGGTGACGGTTGGAAGCTCATTTCACTTGGTGCGGAGGCGTATACAACGAGCGACATTGCTGCTTCCAAAACTGCAATCACAAATGATCAATTGGAGACCAACGTTGTGAATGGTAACTCTGGTGATGTTGAAGATTATAACCCAGAGATTGAAGTTTCTCTTCCAGGTGGTCTTCCAGGTGGTGAAGTTCTCCACATTAAGCTGGAAGGTGAGTATGAGAATTTGGGAGAGATCAAAACCACTTTCACTATAACATTTACCAGTGTGGATGCTATTGGAAGACTTCAGAAGAGAGACGAGGACTTTATTACAAAGGTCTATGTTGCAAGTTTGACCATTGAATCTGATGGCGGTTCAGATGGTGGTTCAGATGGTGGTTCAGATGGTGGTTCAGAAGGTGGTTCAGATGGTGGCTCTGATAACTCTGGTGGCTCTGATAGCTCTGGTGGCTCTGATGGTGGCTCTGATAGCTCTGGTGGCTCAGATGGTGGCTCTGATAGCTCAGATGACGACTCAGATGATGACTCAGGATCTAACGCTCAACCTGACACAACCCTCACACAATCCACAAGAGAACCAGCTCCAACAGCAACATCCTCCGCAACACCATCGCCTATAGTGACCAACGATACAGCAAACCAGGGTGGTAAATCAGGCATGGCATCACAATTCGGCCTCTCAGTGCTAATTTTATTACTGATTTGAAATCTACTTCCTACTTTCTTTATATCTTCTATGCTTTATTTACATGACAACAAATTGCAAACGTCTAAAACCGTCGTATAGTTAAAGTGCTTTAAAGCCATTTCCTGCGCCTTATAACGCATCACCAAACGTGAAAAATTTCAAAATTCTATCCAGCACTTTATCTCAGCTCTAGCAACAATCGCAACAAACCCCGGTCATTGAAATGCCACCTAAGAAGATCCTTTTCCTCCATGGATACGCCCAATCAGCACAGATCTTCTCTGCAAAGACAGGTGGGCTGCGTAAGGCTCTGCAGAAGTCTGGGTATGAAACTGTGTATGTAAATGCGCCGTTGTTACTACAAGGAGATATGCCTCACTCCTCATCAACAGATTCCGAGCTTTATGGATGGTGGCCATACGGCGCACCAGACTATGAATTAGAGACGGCAGAACAAACCATCAAGAAGGAATTGGACAAGCACGATATTGAGGACGTGGAAGGGATTGTTGGATTCTCACAAGGTGCTGGGCTTTCTGGCTATCTCACTGCAAGGTATAAGGAGTTTTTGCCACACTTACAGTGGGCCATCTACTTCTCTGGGTTCAAACTGATGCCAGAGAGGTTCCAGGAGCATTACGAACCAAAGATCTCATTACCAACTCTCCACGTGCTTGGTGAGCTGGATACAGTGGTTGAAGAATCGAGATCCATAAAGCTTTACGATTCCTGCCATGAAGATCATCGACACTTGTTGAAGCACCAAGGTGGGCATTTCGTACCGAATAGCAAGAGCTTTGTCAACCAGGTGGTGAATTGGATCGCAGCAGTGAAGGAGGATTCAGCGAAGGACGACGAGAGTGGTTTAACGGGAGAGAAAGATGACAAATTGGAGGACATGTTTGATGCCATTGACAACCTTGGAAAGGCATAAGCAGACGTTATTGGGAGAACTACACATTTTCTCCATTAGATAGAGACATCTTTCACGAAGGAGTATTTATGGTCATTATAGAGTATTTGAGTTAAATATTTTAGAAATTACAAGTCAAATCGTACTTCAATTGGTAGTCCGAGTCCCAGACACCCCAGTACTTTTCAACGTCAGAGGTACCAGAGGTATCTGGTTTCCAGGACTCGTCAAAGGCCTCAAAGACGATGACGTTAACACCCCATCCTCTCATGGCACAGATGGCATCTTGCCAGAAGTGAGCAGCATTCTCCACCGATGGAACAGAAGCCTCAAAAGCGGAACCATCGGTTGGCCAGCCAGTTTCACCGACCCAGAAAGTGATATCAGTCTCACCCTTGTCGGTTTGGATGGTTTGCAAAGCTTGCATGATATCGTCAAAGAAGGAGAAGGTGGAGTTAGCCTTTGTCTGACCTTGCCAGTAGGAGAAGGCGTTGGCAAAGACAATGTCAGATGCAGCGATAGCTGGGTGAGCGGCACCGTCAACCAAAACGTTCCAAGAGTCAACGAAACCAACTGGGGTACCAGCGTAGGAGTTACCCTCGGAGTCCTTAATATCAGCAATCAAATCCTTGACTGTTTGGATACGAGAGGCCAAGTCGCTGGCGGTCATATCATCACGGTACAACGCTTCGGAACCAACAGTGATGGCCTTGATCGTTGACTTCTTCAAAGTTGGCAAGTAGGTCTTCAATGCCTCTTGCTCAGCCTCAAAGTGGGCATCGTCGTTTGGCCAGATACCTTGGAAGATTGAGAAACCAGCTTCCTCAGCAACTGGACCGAGGATTTGTAGAGTGTTACAGTCAGATGCAGCGTAAACTCTGACAGCGCTTGTGTAGGCTGACAACACCTCGAGCTCCTTCTTGTAGTCGGCAGCGGTTTTACAACCAGCAGAGTTTTGGACACCCAAGTTGAATGCCAACTGGATCGAAAGGGGTTAGTTTATCAACAGATAACAGCGCGAGAGCTGGCGGTTCCGTTAGGCAGCAACAACAAAGCACACAAAGTAAACAAGAGTCGAAAACCAGGAAGCGCCATCCCAACCCGCCAGCCAAAGAAGCCAATACTTACATCACCAACGGCGTGAACAGAAGAGAGAACAGCAGCGGTAGCAGCGAGAGTGGAAAAACGCATGTTTGTTCTATAAAGTGTTGATCCGATGGAACGTAAACAATGGGAAAAAGGGAAAGAAAGGCCAAAAGTGTTGAAGAAAAAGGAAAACGATGGAGGAGGCCAAAAAAAAACAAAACCGGTGCTCGATCGATTCGAAACCACAAAAACGAAAATAAAAACAGACGGCCCGCCAAAGAAAAAGAAATAAAAAGGGAGAAACAGTTGGGATGGGGCCACAAAGTGCGAAATCACGCTGGCAAACTCTAGGGGAGGAGGGGAGGTGGACGATACACAAAGACACGTTTTGAGCGGAAGAGACCAATTAAGGTTGTGGTAGGGGCAGCGCATTTCTACATCTGGCGCGGCCCAGTCCAAAAATAGACAAAACGTGAGTGTAATGTTGTCTCGGTTCTGGTTTTGGCATGATTTTTGTCAACTTGCGTTTCTGTGGTGATTCTGGTAAACAAGAAAAGACGGGAGGAGAAGGAAAACAAAACAAAGCGAAAAAACACAGGGCATCACGTGCAGGCGTAGAGCATGCGCACGTGATGCACAACACCCAAACACCACGCCCAGGAGGGCATCCTCCTGGGCGTCGGTTACAGGTGAACATGCTTCAATTGGCCAAGGACCGCTAGCTTGTGTGTTGATCTCATACGAAACAGTTCAAGCGACACACCACTGTTCCACTCATCACGCCAACTCTCATGAGAACAAGCCATGTCCCCCAGCAACCAGCTAACGATCCCACCGGCTGTTGCTAGGTCTTTTCTCTGATTCGCGGTAGGGTCCCACAAACAATGTGGTGCTTGTAGCGTATGGACCCTCTCCAAGGCTCCATTTATGTCTACATCGAATCCACAACAAGCGCTACAGCTTTCGAAGAGGTGCACAGTGTTCAGAATCAACTTCCCGCCACGGTCTCTCGTTGTCTTGCTGCTTATCGTGTGGATATCATCGTTGAAGAGCGCCTTGTAAGAGACAAAACATAGGTGGGCCCTTACCGCTGTGTATCCAATCACACGACCTTAACCGCTGATCGCAAGACACTGAATTCAACAGGATAAATATGATCGTGAACCTTTCACGGAAGCTGTCGAGAAAGTTCAGGCCTGCTGGTTATGTTCTGGCGATTCTCTTTGCAACATGGTCGTTGTATGTGCTGATGGACATGGAGTCCGCTATGAATACGAACCCTTTTGCCGATTTTGTCAACAACGATGGTAGCGTCGACTACAGGGACAATACCAACAGAATACCAGACGAGTGGTGTTCCGAGCACATGCTTGACTCTGACATGTACAATACCACGCACTATACAATCCCGTATCATTTAGTACGGGAGTCCCCAGCTGCTTATGAATACGACCCGAGGTTGACCAATAGCGTCTATATGCTTCAGCTCATGGAGAAAAGCCACTCATTATCTGACGTGAAGTTACCGTTTAGTTGGTACGATTGGGTGGACCTCACGCAGCTGAACGAGTTCATCGTGCTGGAACCACAGGCAAAACCACACTGTAAATACCCATGTGGTGATACAACTGATCTTCGAAAGAGTAGGAGAAGCCCTGCCTCTTCCAAGAGAGGATCAAGACGTCGCCGTAAGGCTAAAGACACCGCCATGAAATGCGATGACTACTGCGAAGAAGACGTTTCCAGGGATTCACCTGGGTTCAAGGTGTTTGACCTGAATAAGCTGTCAAGTGAAAGTATGAAGAGGTTGCACGTCAAGTCCTATCTTTACTCTTCAGCAAACCTGCCAAATTCCTTAGTGTTTACCACGGACCGTGGAAATGTTCAGGTCGCAATAGATAAGACGATGTCTGCGAATATGGTGAAGAGTGGGCTGTTGAGACAGTTTACAGAGCGATTTGGAAGTTCTTTCAACCCAACTGAGCTGGCTAACCGATTTGAAAGCCTTATGACTCACGACAAGCCGTTGAAGCAAAGGCCATATAGAATCGAGCTCGAACACGAGTCCTTCTTCTTTGATGCTCCAAACTATCTCAAGACTTCTAAACCAGAAACACCAAACCAAGCTGAATTCCATAAAGCCTTAGAGATATCTCTACATGTTCAGGATGAAAAGTTATGGAGGCATTTTCATGAACCAACGGTGAGAACTGGTGCACCTTCACACTACGATGCGAGGTTCTTTAATGGATACGTTGGCTTGAATGAAAGACGTCAAACTATTCTATCAAGGTTATTGAAAACATGGACAAAGTTATGTGAAAATGCAGACTTAAGAACTTGGATTGCGCATGGTGCCTTGTTGTCACATAACATCAATGGAATGACATTCCCCTGGGATGCTGACATTGATGTTCAAATGCCATTTGCAGATTTGGCAAAATTAGCTGAGCTGTACAATGCTAGTGTCATTGTCGAAGACCCAAAGACAGGTTATGGTCGCTACTACTTGGATATCAACTACTCAATCACACATAGATCAAAAGGTCACGGCTTGAACAATATTGATGGAAGATTCATAGACATAAGCTCGGGACTGTACATTGACATCACCGGGTTAGCAGTCGCTCCAAAGAAGACTCCAAATAGATTTGCAGAGCTGTACGGCACGGTTAACGTTGATGATATTGAGCTGATTAGTGATCCGAATATCATCATAGACGGGTACTATGATACGTTCAACAGTGAGCAGAAACCGGGAGATGAAGACTCTGGTCTTAAAGCCCTTGTTGCTGAGGCCGAACATGGGCAAGAACAAGAGGAACTGGAGGATGAGATGCAACAACTAGATAGAGGCCCACTGAGAAAAAGAGCACTGGGGATGATTTTAACCCCAGATCAACGGTACTCTCTGAACTACCATCTACAGTTATACACGTGCAAGAACAATCACTTTTACCGTTTGCGCGAGCTGAGTCCATTAAGGCTAACTTACCACGATAAAGTACCTGTATATGTTCCCAAGGACGTCGAATCCGTTCTCAACAGCGAGTATGAGAGACAGTTGAAGCTGTGCATGAGCTATGGTCCTTTCACGTACTTGGCGCAGTTGAGAATGTGGACTTCAACAAGCTACCTCAGACGAACGCTTCACGATCACAGGAAATCCAAGGATAAGAACCTTTTAACCCAGGATGACATCATGGGGCTCTTGGACAACGATATGATTCTCGAAAGCTTCATACGGTCGTGGGAAGCTGGCCAGCTCCACGAGATCGAAAGAAGCTTGATCGAAAGCGATAGGCCGGATAAGGAACTATGGCTTGAAAGTCTAATAATGAACAAGACTTTCAAGGATGAGATGGGGAGAGACCCGTTCTTAGCCTCCCTGATCAATCCTCACGTTGACAAGTCAAGCGGACTCGAGCAGAAACGACAGGAGATGAAGGACATCCTTCAGAGAGAATACACCCATACAGTTGACTTCGGTCAAGTGGAGCACAACTACAACGAGCTCAAGACCATAAAGGACTACATCAGGGACTTCCAGGACACCGGCTATGATGTTGATATCGATACAAAGATTGCCACTTTGGCAAAGCTCAGTGCCTCTTCCCGGTCCCACAGGATGAGATCAGCGCATGAAAGGGAGCTGAGCAAGCTTCAGGCACAGAAGGCTAAACAAGACGCTGGAGCACCACTATAGAAGCCCAAATAACAAAGGGCACACACCGTTATCTCGCCAAACGTTGTGGAGCGCAACAGTTAGAAAGAAGCCACAATTATTACTCATCAGGGAGGAGAAACCGTACGCGATATGCATGATGGCCTGCACGACGTGGAACGCTGCAGGTTTCTTCACCACGATGGGGAATGCTATACGTATCGAGCCACAGTTATGATGAAGTGAAAGCCATTGTGGATGGTACTTTGTACGCAATTTGCCATTCCGTATACCATTACTTAGCCACAGGGTGGCTTCAGAAGATGGCTAGTTCACACCTCCAAATGAATATGTATATATAAGGCAGCTAAGAAGGCTGTTTTGTCTCTCGAGACGCTGGTTAGGACGGCCTATCACCACATATTAAGCACTTGAGGGACAGAAAGAGCAATGGCACCAGTCGCAACACTACAAGCAACACTACAAACACCACAAGACACTCCGGAAACCGCTTCCCATGGACACAGAAATCTGGACATCCACTTCCGGAAGGGAGAGGATGTGATTGATGAAAAGACAGGCGTGCTAAGAGTCAGTGACAAGGAGTACAGGGTTGCCAATTACCCGGAATGGCTTCCTACGTGGAATCCGCATGAAACGTTCGAGCCTTACTCTGATGACTTTAACATTGGATATAGGGATCCTGCACTCGATGCCGATCCTGACTTTCCGTCGCTTTTCCCAACTGGGTCCGATGTGAAGTTGTCAGATCTCTCTCCAAAGCTTGGAACCGAGGTTCGTGGCATTCAGCTCTCGTCTCTGTCTCCAGCTGCGAAGAAGGAGCTGGCGTTGTTGATAGCCCAGCGTGGTGTTCTCATTTTCCGTGACCAGGACCTGAAAGATCAAGGACTGGAGTTCAACAAGCAGTTTGGTGAAAGCTTTGGACCTCTTCACGTTCATCCTTCCTCTGGTGCACCAGCAGACTATCCACAGTTCCATATTACTTATCGCCGGAATGACCCTAATGAGTACCAGAAGGTCTTTGGAAAGAGAACTTCCGGAAAGGACCAGTGGCACTCTGACGTCACATTTGAGAAGTTCCCACCTTCCTACACCTTCTTTGCAATGTTACAAGGGCCTGAGACTGGAGGCGATACTCTGTTTGCAGACTGTATTGAAGCATATGACAGACTTTCACCAAGATTTCAGCAGATGATCAAAGGATTGAAGTGTGTTCATTCCTCTGTCGAGCAGGCCTCCCAGTCAAAGTTAGATGGTGGAATTGAAAGAAGACCACCATCAACAGTGGTCCACCCACTTGTGCGTATCCATCCGGTGTTGAAGAAGAAATCGCTGTTTGTTTCGAGATTCTTCATGAAAGACATTGTGGACTTGAAGAAGGAAGAGTCCGATGCTGTTCTGGACATGCTTACAGACCACATCAACAACTCGTTCGACTTCCAAATCAGGGCAAAATGGGAACCTAACTCTGTTGTGATGTGGGATAACAGACGTGTTCTTCACACGGCTACTTTTGACTGGGACACCGGCTGTACGCGTCACTGCTACCGGATCACACCAATGGGCGAAAGACCAGTTGAGGACGAAGAAGAACTACAGCCTTGGAACAAATGAAGTATGACAAGTGATGCGGCCATGTCAAGACGATTAACGAAACAAATTTATAAAAAAATTCTCAATCTATAGTAATCTCTTCATTTGTAGATGGCTCTGACTCTCCCTTTTTGGTGAAAACCATATCACCAATCAGAGATATAGCCTTAGACTCTATCTGATCACCACTCATGGTTTGATCGAGTTCCAGCTTATTTTGGGCCAACTGATACATGCTCTCTTCGATACTATTTCTTGTGATCAGTCTCGTAACGGTAACGTCTCGTTCCTGCCCCACTCTGTGGGCTCTGTCCTCAGCTTGCTTGTCATCATGAGGGTTGAAACTTTGGTCGAAGAGAATAACATGGTTTGCACATACCAAGTTAATACCGAATCCACCAGCCTTGGTGGAAAGTAGAAACACTGGAATAGACTCTTCTTCAGAGAATTTGTCAATGAGATCTTGTCTCATGTCAACAGGCGTTTGTCCATCCAATCGGAGGAATTTTATGTCCCACATTGATAAGACAGGCTCCAAGATATCCAACACTTGTGTGAATAAGGAAAAGATCAACACTTTACCATCTTGCTCTATTATTTCAGGTAGCAAATGACCAAGTTTAGCAACCTTTCCAGAGTTCAGAAACGCAGCTTCATCAAGCTTGAACTCATCTATCGAGGGAAACTGAACACACAGGTTGTTCAACTCGAAATCAGTCATGACTTGCATATCCTCAAAGATATATGTTTCATTTGCCGTGGCGTACTGAGGCTCCTTCATGATATCCTTAGCCATGATCTTCAACTTGTCATCATCATAGATACTTCTGAAAAGTAGAGGATGAATTGCAGCCTTTCTCAAAGCCATCAAGATGTTTGCAGTCTTACCATTGTTCTGCCTCTTCAGGGAAACACCTCTTTCAATCTCACGGTCATAAATCAGTGCTTGTTCTGGAGTCATATCACAGTACTGCAGGTCTTGTATCTTTGGGGGAAGATGTTTCAACACTTGGTCCTTACGTCTTCTAAGAATAAAAGGTGCCATCATTTTCTTTGCCTTGTTGATTGCACGTTGTGATAGTAGTGGATTATAATCTTTGGAACTGTCCTTTGTCGATGCCTTCTGGTTAAACACGTATTTCAAACCTTCCTTTTCAGAGACGAAGATCGATGGTAGGATGAATTCAAGCAAGGACATGAGTTCTTTCAAGTTGTTTTGCAATGGTGTACCGGTTAGTAATAAGCGGAAGTTTGCCTTTAACTTCATCAGTTTAATGAAACGATCGCTGGTGCTGTTCTTCAACATATGTCCTTCATCGTACACGACAACGTTGAATCCACCATGTTTTAAGAAGCTGAAATCGTCCTTGGAACCAGTCGCCAAGTTGTACGTTGTAACTATAACGTCGATGTCTTCCCACTTGGACAAGAGCAACTCTCTGATGTCTTCCCTTTCACGCTGTGATCCATAGTACGGTTCAACGACAAGGGAAGGAGCAAATTTGTTGAACTCTCGCATCCAATTTTCCAAAGTTGAAGACGGTACCACAACTAAATGAGGACCCTTGTTGATGTCGAGTTGCTTGAGATATGATAGAAAGGCGATAACTTGACACGTCTTACCTAACCCCATTTCATCCGCAAGGATACAACTCAAATTGTTCGAATACAAGAGATACAACCAGTTGATACCAACTTGTTGGTAACTCTTCAACTCGATACCAGGAGCAAGTAGGGAGGGCTTGTCCTTGAAATATTTACTCTTTTGTTTACGCCCAGTAGAGCCGATTTCATCACCTTCGTCATCGTCAATATCAACTTCCACGATTTCCAATTCGTCATTGATACCATGAACCTCAACACCCCATTTGCTGATCTCTTGTGCAATCTGTTCACTGTATGTATCACATTTGGCAACCAAATTATCCACTGCCGAGTAGCCTCTGAGGGCAACGTTTGCCCTGTTACTGAACAGTTCACCTTGTGGTTTTCTTCTCTTTGATTGCTGAACAACGTCAAAGTTCAAGCTCTCAAACTGCGTTATAGTCTTAAAAGGCCTTTTAGCAATGATGGCATTGGCAGTCTCTGCAGAGCACTGTGCAATATCCATGATATCGAACTCTCCTTCTTCGTTGAAGAACTGGAGAACTTTCTGTTGGAATTGGAAGTCCTCATCGGAATGGTCAACCATCGCGTGGTCATCAACGTCCTCATCGTCCGTGAATTCATCCTTGAGGATCATTTCATCGTTGGAGTCGTCGTCCAGAACAACAGTGGCCTCGATCACGCCATTGTCCTGATGCTGTGCTTCTGGCGGAGTCAGCCTTGAACCTCTAACCAACTTCCTCTTCTTCAAAACCGGCTCATCTTGCACCAATACAGGCGCACTATCATCGTCAACGACAACCGACTTCCTCAAGGCATTACTGTACTTTTGCTGAATGGACTTGGACTTATCCAATGTCACCTTCGACGACTTCACAGGCGAAGTCGTTGGTGACGACGTAATAACTATAGGAGCATCCTTCGAAGCAGCCACATCAGACACAGCGGAGGCACCGTTTGCAGTCGCTGGTGTGGCACCTGGTCTTTGTGTGGACAGCCGTCCTTCAGATCTCCTCTTCTCAACCAGTTTGGTCAGAATGTGCTTTGCCATTTTGATGTCCTTGTTCGCCTTTGTAACGTAGACACCTCGAATCATGTTGTAGCTGATCTCTTTGAACATCGACTGCAAGATCTGAAGATCTCTATTGGCCAACGACGCGGCCGTGGTCGTCATGCTCGAGCTGGACAGCAGGTTTGTGCCGTTGAAGCCAAACTTCTCCTTCAGCGTACCACCACCACCACCATCACCACCAGCAGACGTATTCGTCCTCTTAGCAAACAGCAGCTGAGGCGAGAACTTATTCTCAGACCTCAGCGGCGACGAGTCTGGGACCTGTACCACCGACTTCTTAGGACTTTCACCACCCTGCGACATGCTTTCTCTGTGTGTGTGTGTGTTGTCTCGTCTCCCGCCAACAGCGTCTGCCTAGCGAGCCAGAAGTGCTGGCAGAGGGGCCCGTTACACGTAAATTTTTCCCTCCTAGGCTCATTTCCAACGGGTTTCGCGTCACAGGCTCATCCCTCTGCGCATCGCAGGCAGAGAAGACAAGCCAGTATTAGCACGATGGTGTACTCTGTGTATGCGTGTGGCTCCAATGGTAGGCATCAGCTGGGCACCAGGGACCACTGCGAGGATCTCAGCGCACTGAGCAAGGTGTTTGAGAGCGAGGAGCGCATAGAGAAGCTGGCGAGTGGTGGCAATCATACGCTGCTGCTGCTTGCCAGCGGAGAGCTCTACGCCACTGGGGATAACTCAAGGGGACAGTGTGCGCTGTCTGAGGACGTGGTGAAGGAGTTCACGCTGGTTCCTACTGTAGGCCGTTCTAGATGGGTCAATTGCTGCTGTGGGTATGAGTTCAGCGTGCTTCTGAACGAGTCTAATGAGCTATATTCGTGTGGTGCTGGGCCCAAGGGAGAGTTAGGGCTGGGCACCGCCATAGGGCACTCTCCAGGGCTGAAGCTGATTGATACGATCCCAGGTATCGTGGAGATGAAAGCATGTGTGGACCACGTTGTTATAAGGCTGTGTGATGGGAGGCTCATGGCATGGGGTAACAATGGGCGAGGACGGAAGCTCAACGTGGCGACGCCTAAGACCGTGTGGAGCCCTGTTGAAGTTGGACAGGGCGATAGGTATTCGCTGGGGAGGGACTTCACGCTCGTGGAGGCCAACGGTGTGCTGACGGTCTGGGGGAACCAGAGGTTCCCTCAAGTACCCACACTGGCCAAAGAGTTCCAGGCCATGTGGTCATCGGTCCACTACATCGACCAACAGGGCCATATTCAGTCCATGGGCAACAACAGCCACGGACAGCTCATCGCTGAGAAGCTGACACCAGACAGGTGGTGTGTTGGAAGCGAGCACGGGCTCATGGTGATCAGCGGCGAGCTGAGGGCATGGGGCTGGGGAGAACATGGCAACTGTGGAGATCACGCCAACGGCACCCTACTGCTCCCACAAGGTGGTGGTGGTGGTGATATCTACGCGATCCACTGTGGATGTGCAACAACATGGGTCGTATTAAAGCATAGCTAAAAACAAAATGTCCTGAAGTATCTTTCCCAAGTGTAACATATTCTATAGAAGCACCAAAACGAGCTAATCTAGATACAAGAAATGAGAAATATGTAAAGACTTCAGCGTTCAATCTTGGGTGGTAGTATCAACTCCATACCATGCACAGACAGAGCGCCTATGTATACGGAGTTTTCTTTTGATCACACCCAGAGTCTCACGGACACTGGGCGCCTGAAACCTTTCAGAACCGCTTTGCGAGCGACGCTGCGCCGCTCATCGCGCCGTGGTTGATGATGATGTTGTTGATGTTGTTGATGTTGTTGTTGATGTTGAAATGTAAACACGCAAGAAAATTTTCGTACCCGCCGGCGACGGACGGAATATTCCAGAACAACGGTACGCGCAACACAGCCTGTGCTTATATAAGGGCTCATCACAGCGCAGCAGCTCTTAGGGCAACGCTCTACGGAGCAACAGCTCCAGTTCTCTCTTCAACTGAACGCAATTGAGACGATGTTTGCTTCTGTATGCTCAGGAAGACCAGTTCAGATGGCACAACAGGTGGACGGCAACAAGTATGCCATCAACATCCCGCAAGGCTCGAAGATCTCACATGTATGCATCTTTCTACTGCCAGAGGCCCAGCTTCCAAGGGAGTACAAGGCACTGATATACTTCAAACTACCCGGCGATTCCGAGTTCAAGCTGCTGGGAAGCATCTCACAGGATAAGCAGAGTAGTATCTTCAAGCTGAAGAACAAGGACGAGGTTGACGGAGACGAGGATAGCATGATTGAGGAGATTGACGACCAGGATGTCGTCACCGTGGGGATAAGCATAGAGACTGCGGAAGTGGCACGACAGCTGGAGGATTCACAGTCTGCGCTGGTGAAGAAGACCATCATGACACAGCCTGTGATTACCGAGCCTCTCACTACAAGCGAAAAGACACAATTGGCTGCTAAAGTTGTTAAAAACGCCTACAACTACCTATCGTCGTTCATTGACAACAACGGCAACGTGAACATCAAGTACTTTGACAGCTGGTGGAATAAGTTCCAGGCCAAGCTCAAGAACGATGATAAGTTTTTAGACTCCGATTGATCTTGAAAAGGACGAGTGCAACCAGAAACAACCCACAGACACCAAGGAATGTTGTATAGATGAATCCAACGTGGAAATTCGGTGCATCTCTTTGGTTGAAGGTTAGCATTGGCACCCAAACGCTGGTGAAATAGGCCGACGTATTGGTCACAACGATGACAAAGTTACGTTGTAAGTCGTCATGTGATAGTATACCGTTAATCCACGAAAATATAACAGGCTGTCCAATACTATGTGTTATTCCAAAGAGGTAATAGGCCATCCAGTGTAACTTCAAAGGCACTTGCCATACGCTCAAGATTACACCACTGATTATCGTACACAGGAACATTGTACTAAGAAACAAAGCGTGCAATTGGCCCCAGTCGTTGAGCTTAGCAACTATGAGGGCAAAGATGATGCTTAGGGCACTGATGACTGACGGATACAGGTTGTAGTACGATGAATCCAGCCCAAGATCAATTTTCATCCACAACTGGAATGACTGTGATGTCATTAACTCTCCAGAGTTGTTGAAGCACAAGAATAACAAGGGGAACACATAGATGTACCAATGGTCTTTGAAGAATGTCTTCAATTTGGGCCATGAAAGTTCCTCTTTCTCCAATTGTGCACCACTGAGTCGTCTTCTTTCCAAGCCAACAAGTTTATCCAATCTGTTGAAGTAGAACACCTCTGTGGTTGAAGGTGTACCTGGGATCATGAAATATGTATACAGTGCCACTGGTATTGACAGGAAACAGTCGATGCAAAACATCCATTGGAAAGGAACAAGAGAAGTACTGGACCAGTCCATCTTCAGGATCAACTGCTGTAAGGGACCACTGATAAGGCCCGCAAGTGAACCTGAACAGCTGAAAAGGGTTGATCTTTTGGTCAGTTCACCTTTGGAATACCAACACCCCAGCAGATACTCCATTCCTGGGAAATACCCACTCTCAGTTACGCCAATGAGAAATCTCAAGAGGTATAGAGACTTGATGTCCCGAACAAAGACACAGCACAGTGTTAACAAAGCCCATGTCAGCTCTAAAATGCAAAAATAACAGCTGGCGTTCACTCGATGTAAGATCAACTGTGAAGGGATCTGTCCAATGACATACCCAACTGTCCATAGAGAGATCAATTTGTTATAGTCGTTACCCTCCATTCCGTAGTACTCTTTCATACCGTTGACGTATGCAGTCCCAATATTACTCTGGTTGAGCGTCTTGATGAAGTAACCAAGACAGGCAGAGCTTAGCAGGAAAGTATCCAACTTGACGAGGAACTTCCTTTCTAGCACTGGCCTATCGATGGTATCCCATAGGAAAGACTGGATCTTGTATGACCATGTGTCTTGTGGTGGTGGGGATTCTCCCAGATCTATAAAGCATTCATCTAGTGCGAGTAGCGAGCTACCTTCGCTGTGCAATCGCTCAGTTCTAACGTGGATACCTGATTTTTTATCCATTGGCCAACTACAGAATGTAATGATATAACTACGTGTAGTGATAGGATTCATTTCTACTTTTATGATCCGCTTTCCTCAGTCTTTCCCCTTTAAATCAGTTCCATTACGTTTGAGACGCCATAGTTTGGTGATGCAGTCGGGAACATTTCCAGAAAGGGCATCTGAACGGAAGACAGCTCATGATGTAAATATAAGCCTCCAATTAAGGTGGATCTAGCGTAGTCCATCCAGTGAATACAAGTACAAGTGGTGTTACACTGTTCCAGGGATGAATGAATTGGCATACTAACTCTTGGATCAAACAAGAAGCACGCATTTTGACGAAGCCGTCTCTAGATATACTCACAGTTCATCAAAGGCCTTCCTCAATGCCAGCCGGTTACCAAAGACCTCGTGTCTGGCCTCCAGCAGTTTGGTTCTGAATGGATCTGACTTTTGTCTCTTATCCACCTGTTCCAGGATCCAATTGATAAACTCTGATGATGCCTTAAGGGCATTATTGCCACGTTTTAAAGAACAGGCCGCATCGAACAGTGACTCCAGAGCATATTGGTTGAAACTCTTGGTAATCAACATATCCTCCAAGGTCTTGAATAGGGCCTCATCGTAACGATGGTCCGTCACATCCTCAAATATGTTTAGCACCCTTAGCTGTGCATCCTCTTGTAGATGAGGCAACTGGGCCAGTAATTTTGTGAAGTACCCAGCATTGTCAAATATCTTAGCATTGGCTTCATCTTCAACAACCAGGGCTGATATCACACCGAGGATTCTCTTCTGGATGAAGTTATTAGAATTTTCCAAGTCCTCGAACAACACCGGAAGCACTTCTACAACATTGACCTTCTCGACGGCCTCCTTGTTGTGTCTGAGACACTGTGCAATGACTCTCAGCGACAAGTCCCGTACAGTCACATTCTCGTCGCGTGTCAACTTGAGGAGCTCATCAAAGGCTCTTTCAACTATTGATATTCCCTCCTTCAGCCCATGGGACTGGTCCACCAAGGTCTCCAAATGTTGGACTAGCTCAGCCCTCTTCCCACTTAAAACGTACTGTAATGTTTCATCCAGCTCCAGATGGCCAGTGGACACTTCCAGTGCCCTCTTCATCTTGTCGATGTGGCCTTGGTCTTCGTCATCAGCTTCGTTCTCCACAGCTTCGTTCTCCGCAGCTTCGCCCTCCTCAGCTGTGTCTTTGCCAATGGTGACTTTGGCCAAGGGCCTCTTCTCGTTGATTGGAACGGCAACGATATCCTGGTTCTGAGCGCTCGTGTCATCCGACAGCTTGGCCCACTTATCACCAGTCTGAAGATCCATCCTTATGTCAAGGCCTCTAGGTAAAGCTTCACCCTCAGGGACTAACTGCCAATGATCAGTCGGTACGAACAGCTCGAATGAAGGCGACACCAAGGATGCTAACACAACAAGCTTCAGAGGTTCAATGTACATAGAAGTCGTCTCGCTGCTTAAAGGGTTGGTTTCGCCCACGCTCACTGAATTCTCTATTAGGCTCACCTCTTCTACCTCTCTCTCCTCCCCTGTGTACAGTGCGATGTGATGGTGATGTACCAACACGCGCCAGCCTTTGGGTTGGGCTGCTACGTGGTTCGAGTGGCCTGGCGAAAACAGCGTACTGACGCTACACGAAGCTACGCCTACAAAACAGGTCTATCGGGTCCAATTGAGCCAATTACACAGTGGTACGTACCTATGCTCACTTTGCATCTCTCATCTTCTTGAACTCTGTAGATCTTTTGGTGTGTCTTGGTTTTTTGACCCTTCCTTTACCGTTCTTTATACCGGTAACACGGTCACCTTTCTTAGCCCTGGTGCCCTCGATGACCTTACCGGCCTGGGATCTATCAGCTTTACCGAGGACCCTCTTGGCCCTTCCTAAGCGGGTCTTTTGATCGTCCGTGAGGTTCTTTGCTGCGTTGAGGGACTTGTGCAATGACTGTTGTGGTCTCATTCTCTTAGATCTCGTTATTCTCAGTTGACGTTTCTTCGAGCCGAGCTTCTTGCCGTTTAACAGCAGAGCCCTGTCCACGGTGACGGAGTCCTTGAATTGGACATAACCGAAGCCTTTGCCAAAGTTTGTCTTGGAGTCACGTACGATTCTAACGGACTCAATATCACCACACTCACCAAAGATCTTCCAGAGTTCCTCCTCGGTCTCTTCAAAGTCCAAGTTACCAACAAAGATACATCTCTTGTTGTCCACCTTAGCCGGATGAGATACAGAGTCGACTCTCAAATGCAACCCCAGCAGCTGCGAACCGTTCAGGTCCAATGCCTTTCTTGCGCTTGCCTTGTCCTTGAAGACAACGTATGCGTTCACGGAATCACGAGTCGAGTTCAAGCTCTGCTTGACAAACGCAGCCTTTCTCGGAAGTGGTTCACTGAATGCAATTGATCTGAATCTGATGGATTCAACTGGGCCATGCTGGACGAACAGTTTCTTGAACGCCTTGTAGTCGGCTTTCTTGGTGATTGTGGTGACGTTGAGGTTACCTACAAACACCGTACGCTCAGCCTTCTCCACCTCTTCTTGCTTCAAATCAAGCGTCTTTGCAGACGAAACCTTGACCTTTGCTTCAGCGGCCTCAGTTTCAGAGTCAGAGTCAGAGTCGGAATCACCAGAGTCCTCCTTAGTGGCCTCCTCCTCTGCAGGCTCATCCTTGTCAAGAATCTTTTCTAGATATCTGGCTTCGAGATCCGCATTCTCATCGTCGTCACCACCACGCTTCTTCTTCTGCTTCTTCAATGGCGTTGGCGCCTCGGCGTCCTCGTCCTCCTGCTCCTCGTCCCCCTCTTTTCTGGATTCACCGCCGTCAACCGTCGTATCATCCTGCTTCTTTGGAGCCACCTTGATGGTGGTTCTCTGGGTAATGGTTCTCTTAACAGGACCGGCAGCGGAGTCGTTGAACAGACCGACCAACGCCTGATCCTTCTTAGCAGCACTGAACAGGTTACCTACACCAGCCATGTCGATAACACCTACTCTTGCCAAACATCTAAACAATACAAAGCATTCTTCCCTCTTCATCCACACAGAAAATCCCACAGAGCTCATCTCGTGTGCTGCGCCTACCAGGAAAAAACTTTCGTAGTGCGCATAACAAAACACGGTACTTCCGCGCGCTCATAACCGCCACTTCCCAATGCGGAAATGACACATTATCTGAAAGGGAGGGTAATCGCCAGCAGGCCCGAATGAGTGTGTGGGCCTTGGGACCTTCCCGTGGGCCCAATTTAGGGAAATTTGGAAACGATTCTCTGTTTTGAAAGGTTTTACTGTTGTAATTGGATCATCGCAAGGACCGTCATAGCCCAGAGGGAAGTTCTATTATATCCAGTCAGTGATAACGATCTCATCGCTCGGTCTGGGTTTGCTCCTCGGTATTGTTTGTTATTGAAAGAAGAACGGTATACGCTCACTGGGGCCAGCTTTGTACCATTGGGCCATATATCATCACCACAACAAAGGGAGCCGCTGGTTTGATTCTTGTTCTCCTTTGATTAAAGGGCAGTGCGGCGAGAGATAGACCGAGAGGGACACAGAGTAGCCTTGCAACAGGTACAGGATTGCGTGCTTTGTTGGCTTGATCAGGTATAACAGGACGGCAGAAAGTAACCGTTCAGCAGGACTGATACTTATTGCGCTATACAGATGACGGATATCGAGCACGGTCGACAGAGTGAGTACTTGGCCACAGCGTTAATTCATGCCGAACCACACTAACATCGAAACAGACTCAACCACGTTGACTGACACAGGAAAGACTTCACCACTCACAGACCTCAGCTCTTCTTCTCCTTCGAACCAGGAGAACACTGCCGGCAGCAACAACAGCACTGGAGTTTCCCCGTCACAGGTGAATGAGAAACGTGCCAAATCGATAGCATCGGACGTTAGCTCAGAACTAAGTGATTTAGACTCAGAGGCAGAAACTGAGAAGATGGAGAGCGGGCAGGAGTCGCAGTTGCTCAAATTGAGCAAGGCGCACGGGCTGAGAGACGGTGACGAGAGGGAGCAGAAGGACGATACAGAAGAGGCTGATGACACAATACGCCATGACGAGACAATGGATAACACGCTGATTAAGGAAGAAGTATCGATCGAGTTGCAGAAGGATAAGGAGAGTAACCTGGAAGTGGATCACTCTTCGGAGGAATTTGCAAAAGTTGTCCATGAAATACGCAAGAGCCAGGAATTAGAAGACGCCAAGGAGGAGAACGAACAAGAGAACAAACAGAATGGTAACGACACCAGTGTAAATGGTGATCACGAGGAGGATTCAAGTGACCTGAAGGGAATTAAGGATGAGGCCAATGGCACTGAAAATGGTTCCGTGGAGGATGTTGTCCCTGACGTTGCTAATGACACAATTCCTGAGTCTCTTCCGAATGGCAAAAGAAAACTTGAGGAGGAGAATGAACTTGAAGAGCCAGTTGAGGAGAATCTAGAGAGCTTGAAAAGACGTAAGACTGGCGACGACACCCATACAGAATCAGTAGTGGAAGAAGTAGATGGTGCGAGAACTGTTGAACAAGAAGCTACAAATGAAAGTGACGAAGATATAGGTGATCAAGAAGATGAGGAGGAGGAAGAGGAGGAGGAGGAAGTACTCACAGAAGAACAAAAGCGTCAAAAACAGAAGGAGGAAGAGGAGGAGCTTGAGAGACAGAGGCAACGCAAAGAGGCACTTCAAGAGCTCACCACCATTGAGATTGAATTTGCCAAGCTGAGGGATCGCCTATACGAAGATAAGATGTCTCGCTTCAAGTCTGAATTGGAGATGTGCCTCAATGGTTCGCATCCAGAATTGCAAACAGTGTATACAAAGATTGATGCCCACAGGGAGGAGAAAATACGACTTGCCTCACTAACGCAAAAGTACGAGTTGGAATGCATAGATAGAAAGACTAAGGCTCAGAGAACCCAGATTCACCAACAGTATTACAAGCGTACATCTGATTATCGTACGAAGTACTTGAAGGATGTGATGCAGGGATGGGATGCTATCAATAAGGAGAGACGCAATATGGATCTAGAGCAGTATCCAGAGTACCAGTATAAGATTCCTCAGTATGCAGATGAGCTTGTACGCCAGAGAACTCAATACAATAAGGAGATCAGTGTGCTTGTTGGATTGAACGATTACTATGGCTTTCCAACAGCGCCAAAGTTGGCCTCGGTACAAGGTGACGAATTGGATAACGATTTGAGGGCTATGAACATAAAGCCAAACAAATAACATCCATATTACACCGATAAAATTCCTAATTTACCAACCTGGCAATGAATTTCATGTGATATACATATACAACAAGTATCTAGTGAGGAATTTCCTCCTTGTAGCCTACAAAGTGAGAGCAATCTTTCATTAACGTTTTTTCAGTAAATATACAAACCAAACCAATGACAGTATCTTAACGCAATGGGATGAATCTGTTGGAAGAAACACCAGCTCTACCGTGTCTAACTGGGGTGTAAGTGATGGAGAACTCACCCAAGTAGTGACCAACCATCTCTGGCTTAATCTCAACTTGGTTGAAGGTCTTACCGTTGTAAACACCAACGACGGAACCAATCATCTCTGGAACGACAACCATGTTTCTCAAGTGGGTCTTGACAACAGCTGGCTTCTCATTTGGCTCAGCGGCGAGCTTAGCAGCACGCAACTTCTTGATCAAACCGTATGGCTTTTGGTTCAAACCTCTTTGGAATCTTCTTCTGACACGGGCGTGGGCCAACTTAGCGAAGTCCTCGGTGGAGAGCTCCAAAAGGTCCTTGAGGTCGACACCTCTGTAAGAGAAGGCCTTGAATGATCTCTTTCTGGTAGAAGTAGCTAAGAACTGTTGTTAGTACATTTAAGCACTTAAAGAGTTTTATAGTGGTTTTCGTCAATGAGACCCAATGTTTGTTGTGAATGCTTTCAAGATGACTTCAATACTTGGGTTATTTCAGCTCCTGTAACTACTTTTCCTCCCATCGCCACGCTCTGAATGGTCTCTTTACTCGTTTCACCACTCTGTTTTGCCCAGCACTCGAATACCGTTGTATACTGTGCACTGCTCCATGAAATAGCATATCTATCAACTGTTCTTGTTCCCTCTCCTCACTCATACACTCATATCTCAATGAATAACCCCACCATCATCTTCATTAACATACCTTCAGACATGTTTGATATCGAGTTCTGCTGTATTCCTCTAAAACGTTGTTGGCGTTGATTTGTGTGTTTTGTCTTTTGATGTTAAATTTTCAGCGGTAGAGGCCCTCACAGCTTGTCCACTTGGAAAACATCCAAACATCTCCGAGAGCATTGTGCGTGCGTTTTTCTCGAGGTTTTCGCGCAAAGGCACACAATCAGGGGAAAAAAGCAGTCACAGATTCCCATCCGGAAACCATCGCATCAAACAAGTTCTTGAGAAACCCGTACACCAACGCTGTCCCCAACGGTGAAAAATGTTTTGATATTTGACGTTGGCTGGGAGGGTACCGTTGATAGCTTTTGAAGAATTTGAATCCATATACACAAAAGTGAGTTTAAATACTTGCTCTAGAGAGAGTAACCTGTGATTGGGATGATTGTGCTTGGTGGAGGAGAATGGATAAGGCTCATGGTGGAGCCAGCGATCGTTATATGGCCAATTTGAGTGTTCCCTTGAAACTTTGGTATAAGATCTTCTGGAGGAGAGACATGGTTCAAGGGTTCTGTAGAGCTTCAGTGGTGCGACATATGGCTATAATAATGTGATGGACGGGATAATTGGCCACTCTGCTTATATGGGCTGGCCAAGTATGGAGTATTCTTTGTGAGAAGTGAGATCTGGAGATCTACGTATTGAGACACCAGTTCTTCCCCTATGAAGCGACAGTGGAAGGCGAAATGAGAGATGACCATGCGATAGGACAATCACTTAATCCCAGAGGACACCTCTTCTCAGGGTATCTGGCGGAACATCTACTAACATCTGCAATAGTGTCTAAGTACTTGGCTGCTTACTTGCTTTTGAACGCTTCTGGTGCCGCTCCAACCGCCGACAAGATCACCTCCGTCTTGGAGTCTGTCGGTATTGAGGTTGAGGAATCCCAAGTCACCGAGTTGATCTCTGCCCTTGAGGGTAAGTCCGTTGAGGAGCTCATTGCTGAAGGTAACGAGAAGTTGGCTTCTGTTCCAACCGGTGGTGCTGGTGCTGCTCCAGCTGCCGGTGCCGGTGCTGCTGCTGCTGATGCTCCAGCTGAGGCCGCTGAGGAGGCTGCTGAGGAGGAGTCTGACGATGACATGGGTTTCGGTTTGTTCGACTAAACGGTGTACAACAAGATGATTCAAAAAACAACATAATGTGTCTTATACGAGAGCAAAGCAACTGTAGGTCGTTAGATGCGTAGGACATGCGACAGAGAAGACCACACGTAGAGCGGTGTGCGCTACGAACAGCCTAATGTCCAGCCATACACCTTCATCTGAGGTTATCTAATTGAGTATCAATAGATGAGGCCATATGGTTTCTTCTGGCTCCCAGCGCTCATAACCATTGGGTCTCCAAGCGCTCATAACCATTTCCTCCCGCGCTCATAACCACACTCCCCGCGCTCATAACCTTCCCTGTTTAGGCTCGTCCATGGCCGTGCGCGTAAAAGGCCCCCGTCCAGCTTGCGCCAACAGCCAAAACAGCGATGAAGAGATGGGCCCAGTGGACAGCGCCAACCAGCAGAGCCCAACGGCCTGGAAAGACGCGCCACAGTTCTCCCTCCAGAGCAGTGTCATAGGCCTATTCAACGCCAATTGTTAGTCATAAAGAAGGGGTTTTACAGACAGAGTCCAATGCTCATCAGCAAAGTGTCGTAATCACGTGCTTATTTTGTGTCAATTGCCTCACCACCTTCCCACCCAGGGCACTTGCACAGGATTATTCGACATGGAGGTGGTTACGCGTACGGATACGCGAGTGCGCACGCCATAGTGTGTGATTTGGGTTAATTTTCTCTCCCGCTCGAGAAGCGATGGGGGATTGAACAGCTATAAAGTCGGTGTTTGAACCTGCTTTTTTCGTTTCCATCCTTCTTCTTCCCACGGAGACTTTACCAAGTTGTAGATCTATCTACTCAGCTATTACTATTCACGATGTCACCTTACGGATTTTCCACCAGAGCTGTCCATGTGGGCTCCTCACCAGACCCAGTCACCGGTGCTGTGATTCCAGCGATCTCGCTCTCAACGACTTTTGCACAGTCCGAGCCAGCAAAGCCAATTGGTGCCTACGAGTACTCCAGATCGTCTAACCCAAACAGACACAACCTGGAGACCGCGCTTGCCTCGTTGGAACAGGGTAAGTATGGGTTGGCGTTCTCATCCGGCTCAGCTGTCACTGCAGTGATCTTGCAATCTTTGGCGCAAGGCTCACATGCCATCTCTGTTGCCGATGTCTACGGTGGTACCCACAGATACTTTACCAAAGTTGCCAACACCCATGGTGTTGAAACGTCTTTTGCTCAAGACATCGTTGCCGAATTGGCTGGTTTGATCAAACCAGAGACACGCTTGGTGTGGATTGAAACCCCATCCAACCCAACTCTCTCAATCACTGATATCTCTAAAGTGAGAGAAATAATAGATGCCTCTGATAACAAGAACATCGTCCTTGTCGTTGACAACACATTCCTTTCTCCATACATTTCCAACCCATTGACTCACGGCGCCGATGTTGTCATTCACAGTGCCACGAAGTTCATCAACGGTCACTCCGATGTCGTTCTCGGTATCGCTGTTACAAACAACGAATCCATCTACGAAAGATTGTCTTTCTTGCAAAACGCTGTTGGTGCAGTGCCATCTCCATTCGACTCGTGGTTGGCACACCGTGGTGTCAAGACCTTGGCCCTCAGAGTCAGAACCGCAGCTGAAAGTGCGTTGAAGATTGCCCAATTCTTGGAGAAGAGCGACAAGGTGCAGGCTGTTAACTACCCAGGTTTGTCCACCCACGCAGGCTATGACGTTGTCAAGAAGCAGCACAGAGATGCCCTTGGTGGTGGTGTTGTATCATTCAGAGTGAAGGGAGGCGCAGAGGCTGCTGCCAAGTTCACATCCTCCACCAAGCTGTTCACATTAGCCGAATCCCTTGGTGGTATCGAGTCCCTTTTGGAGGTGCCAGCTGTCATGACCCACGCAGGTATTCCAAAGGAAGCTAGAGAAAAGTCTGGTGTCTATGACAACTTGGTTAGACTCTCCATCGGTATTGAGGAAGTTGAAGATCTCATTGAGGACATCAAGCAGGCTCTTGAGGCTGCCACAGCAAACTAGACCGTTCAGCTGGGGCTTTCTTCTTTCTTTCCAGTGATACGTACATTTTACATAGACTAAATGTGACAAAGTGACGCTCAAATAATACATAAATAATCAGTTACGATGGTTACGATGTATACACGAGCCTATCACAGCACGCTCATCTCATCGTTAATAAGCACAGATCACCGGGGAAACAGCACGTATAGCAAGGGCTAAAAAGAAAGTTGAATAGCTGACGCCACAATTGTACCGCGCCACATCTGAACCGCCTAAAAATGCAGTTTTTCTATGAGGTATCGCACTTTTCAAGCCACAATTTGTGGCGAAGATTATATGGCGAGTGAAAAGTGTATGTATCCTCACGTGAAATCCTGTCAACATCAACCACTGTGAGCCTTTTCTTGTTTTACCCGTCGAAATCAGATGGAAGGTTGAACAATTGGAAAAAAAGTTTTGACTTTCCTGTGTTGACATTTGCTGTTCACTGGAAGAGCTTGTTCAGACCGATACTCCGTTTAGAAGAAGTGCAACAATGGCTACTAACATTACATGGCATCCAAACTTGACCCACAATGAGCGTAAGGAGCTCACGAAGCAGTCTGGTGTTACTATTTGGCTCACTGGGTTGTCTGCATCTGGTAAGAGGTGAGTATTCTGTTGTTTGTCCATCTTTTGGCACTCTTTTCCCTTTTCATTTTGAAGCGTTCAGCATATGCTAACTATGCCATTTCAACCAGTACCATTGCATGTGCCCTTGAGCAGTACCTCTTGAAGAATGGTGTTTCCGCTTACCGTCTGGACGGTGACAACATCCGTTTTGGTTTGAACAAAGATTTGGGATTCACTGAGGCTGATAGAAACGAAAACATCCGTCGTATCTCGGAGGTGTCCAAGTTGTTTGCCGACTCCACCGCTGTTGCAATCACTTCGTTCATTTCCCCATACAAGGCTGATAGAGACAGTGCTAGAAAGTTGCACGAGGAGTCCAACTTGCCATTCGTTGAGGTGTACGTCGATGTTCCACTTGAAATTGCCGAACAGAGAGACCCAAAGGGACTGTACAAGAAGGCCAGACAAGGCATCATCAAGGACTTCACTGGTATCTCTGCTCCATATGAGGCTCCAGAGAAGCCAGAGATCCACTTGCACACTGATAAGACCACCGTTGAGGAAAGTGCAAACATCATTGTTGAATACTTGAAGTCCAAAAAGTACATTTGATTTTTAATTTAATGGCATTAATATACAGATAAACATTCAAAGTTAGGGGGAAAGAGACAGAACCATCAGAAGTACATATCAACTCAACCTCTTTTCAAACTGTTTAACCTTGCCTGTAAATCGTCATCTTCATCACCTCCTCCGATGGCCTGTGCAACTCTTTCCTTCTTATTCTCTTGTGACACCAATCCCTGTGGGGTTTCTTGCATCTGTGCATTCAAATCAACACCGATTTCATCCAATACCTTACTGACGATTTCGTCAGCCTCTTCGTCATCCTCCAATTCGTCACCAATGGCGTCGTCAATGGCATCGTCCATCATCTCCTGTCTCTGGTCCATTATATCGTTTTCCCTTTCGAAATCCATGGCGATTTTTTGCAATTGAGGCAAGTTCATAGATCTATTCATCGTCCCAAGCAATCTTGTAGCGTCTCGCATACTCATGGCCATTTGGTCAGAGCTTCTAACCGCTTGAATTCTGAGAGAAATGGCCTGTAGCGATGTCTTCATAGTGTTGAACTTATCGATGTACCTTCTAGTTCTCACAAGATCCTTCGCCTGGATCTTGCACGCACCCATCTGTCCCTGTTTCGCACTCTTCTTGATATCCTGGATGAGCTTCTTCTCTTGAGCCTCCAGTTTCTTACGCTCACGCTCCAACTCACGTTGCGTACGATCAAGGGCCCTTTGGTTCTTCCTCAACCGTTCCTGAGGAGTCATCCTTTTCCCAAACGCCCATTCAAACACCTGCATCGTATCAGTCCCGTGCACGTTACAGATGCAATGGTGTATATGTCCAGCAAAGATGACCACAACAGACGTGTGTTCCATGTCTATGGAGAGGCCCTTTATCAAATTTACGCCCTCACCCTTTTTGGTGTCTGGGTGTTGCGATGTAAAACACCCAGACACCCAACACCCCAACACCACAGTTTCCACGAAGTCGTTTTATGTTTCGTTTCGCCATTCCGAGGTGTTTGCGCGTGTGTGTGTGGCAGCGGGTTTGGCCGTATACAACATCGCATTGTAACGTTATCGGGGTTGGAGCGTGCTGTGTTGTCTGTCAATCTTGTGAGCAGAGAGTGTCGGGTTCGTGCTAATTACCTGGTGGGAAATGTCAAAGCTATCATCTTTCAGGCTGCTGGAGTCGTACCTTGAGGATTTGTCCGTATTGGTTGATGAGTCCAAGAGGCTGGTGGAGTTGGACTTATCGTACGAACACAACAACCATGAAGTTAGGAAGAGCTTACAAAAGATTGTGAAGTTTCTAGAGAGACACGACGATGGGTATGTATATGTTTCTGTATATGGCTATGCATGTGGCTATATGGAGTGTGGGCTGATCATTAGTGTGCCGAATTGACTAACATAGTTGTGCAGTGAGGATTATGATGAGCTCGTTGAACAGTTTAACAAGCTGAGGGATTCCATACAAACCATAGATACATCACCTTACAGATATGTGCGTAAAGCTCAGGTACCAAAGAAAGTTGAAGCGAAGAAGTCTGTGAGGTTCAACGAGAACTTGGAGTTCGAAGCTGCGCAGGACTCCACACCAAGGCATTTCAAGCCTTATAGAGACAGTGTGATACAAGAGCCAGATAATGACCAGACACAGGCTTTATTTGAAGGCCGTTCCGATGTTGATGCAAATGTTAGCGGTGTCGATGACGATGTGCAAAGCGTAGAATCTACAAATCAGGACATGTTTATACAGCACCAGCAACAGCTATTGGAACAGGATACACATCTGGATTCATTGGCCGAGAGCGTTAGAAGACAACACGGTTTATCCGTGGAGATCAATGATGAACTAGAAGGGCAACACATTCTATTGGATGACCTTGAGGCACAGCTTGACTCAAGTGATAGACGGTTGAACCAAGGCCATAGAAGATTGAAACACTTTACCCGTAAGGCAAAGGAGCATGGCCAATGGATAACGATCATTGTACTGATTATCATTCTAGTGCTGTTATTGGTCGTCCTTAAATGAACATTGGGTTGTGACATGTAAATGTTAGAGCAGTGTCTGTATACTACTTACATGGTAATACGCTCGTGCACGTCTTTTATGAAATATATATTATGATTATTACAACTAACATGATCTATGGTGCTGATCTGTAATCGTATACAGATTTGTATAGAATGGGAGACCATGTGTAGTAGCTGGTTATGATAGATGTGAAATAATATACATGGAACGATCGTTCCATGTTGAAACAAAGCAAAACTCATGCAAAACAACGTGGATGGAGATAGTTTTTCTATATAAGTGGACTCATTGATACACTGTGCACCCCGTGTACCATTAAATTATTGAACATATAACGACGATGATGATGATATACTTAGTAATAAAAAATAGAAGCATGCCCTTTAATGTTTCCTTGTCCTCTCAATTGTATAATATGCTGTCATGATGTTGATAATAGAAAGGCGACGATTGCCAAAAGGGAGAAATGGACGTAAAGAAAGAAAACAGGACCGAAACAAAGAAGCGAACCAATAGAAATGCAATAAACCAAATGTAACAATGCTCAAATTTACCAAGCTGAATGGTAGTAGTTAGGGTTGGAGTTATAATTACCGGTGTTTTCCACTCTTCTGATGATCCCCTGCGGAGACTTGTGATAAACCGGGGTCTGGCTTGGAGAGCCAATGACCCTTGGTGATAGGTACCCTGATGGCGATTGTTGGTGCTGATGGGACAGCGATTGTTGTGACATCCTGTTCATCTTCACAGGAGTGGAATATGGGGACATTGGGCGGACGGGGCCACCGTTCAACATGGCGAGGAGCCCGTTACCCAAGCTGGCGCCGTTAGCAGCGTTTGGGCGCTTACCGTAGAAGCCAGCAGAGCCGCCGCCAAAACCACCTTGTACTGTGGATGGTGACGTTGGACAGAACTCGTACTCTTCCTCCATCAGCAATGACTTCCTCTGAGAGATGCTGGCCCTCGCCACCTGGGCCTCGCTCAGCTTCTGCTGCTGTGGAGCGTTCCCACCAGCGATCCTACCAGAGCTGCTGTTATTCATCTGCGACGCATTCAATGGCTGGAGGTGTGATCTGTATTTCAAGTTTAGAGACCGCTGTTGATCTTGTGATCTCTGGGACTTTGACTGAGCAGAGATGAACTGCTCGAACGTTTGGTGCTGCTGGTGCTGGTGCTGGTGCTGATGCTGGTGCTGCTGATGCTGCTGATGTTGCTGATGTTGATGTGAATTCATCTCTTCAACCTCTAAAACCACCACGTTATCCTCCCTGAAACAGCCGATGAGCCCTCTCTCAGCTTGGTTTGTGGCCCTGTTGAATCAAATTTTCAACCTCGAGAAGCCCAAACAGAAGGAAAAAAAGAAATCTGCCGCCGGCAGCGCAGCGCTTGCGCAGCGCTTAGCAGCTTGGGGACACAAAAATGAAAAACGTCCACGCAGAGCATCAACATCTCTCCGAAGGAAGCCCAGCGTGTGCCATTGATAACGCAGCACAGAGGCGGTATGACGACGCTGTTGAAGAGGTTTTCCAGCTCGCTGCTCAAGCCCAAGAAGCAGCTGAAGCTCAAGACAAAGAAGCACAGCTCTCATCAACGTGTTGATGGAGTTGTGGGCGGCGCGAGCCAGCCAGCACGGACCAGATTTGCACCATCTCCCACTGGGTTTCTACACCTGGGGTCGCTTAGAACAGCTCTGTACAACTACCTTCTCGCTAAGAACACAGGAGGCCAGTTTCTGCTGAGACTGGAGGACACTGACCAGAAGCGCCTGGTGCCGGAAGCCGAGCAGTCTCTGTACGATTCCTTGAAATGGTGTGGGCTTCAGTGGGACGAAGGTCCTCTTATCGGCGGTCCCATGGAGCCTTATAGACAGAGTGACCGTACAGAGATCTACAAGAGCCATATTGGACAGCTGCTAGAGTCTGGACACGCATACCGTTGTTTTTGCTCGAAGGAGAGGTTGAACAAGTTAAGAGAGTCTGCTCAGAAGCTCCAGCCTCCGACGACGGTGTCGTACGATAGGTTCTGCTCACACATTTCGAGGGAAGAATCAGATAGAAGAGCACAGAGCGAAGAGTTCACGATACGGTTCAAGTCGCCCGAGCGGTACCCTCCTTTCACAGACTTGCTTCACGGCAAGATTGACCTCCAGCCACAGGTGAACAAAGATGACGTTAGATACGATGATCCTGTGCTGGTGAAGTCCGATGGCCTACCAACGTACCATTTTGCCAACGTTGTTGACGACCACCACATGAATATCACACACGTCATCCGCGGTGAGGAATGGCTGCCTTCTACTCCAAAGCATATTGCAATGTATAAGGCTTTTGGCTGGGAAGCTCCAAAGGTCATACATATCCCATTGTTGACTACTGCTGGTGACAAGAAGTTGAGTAAAAGATCTGGTGATACAGACATCAGAAGCTATAAAGCCAGAGGCATATTGCCAGAGGCATTGGTGAACTTTGTTGCTCTTTTCGGCTGGTCACCCCGCTCACACAATGGAAACGAATCTCATTCTGAGATCTATTCGTTGAGCCAACTCTCAGATATGTTTAACGTTGATGATCTGACTAGGGGTAACGCCAAAGTTGACGATAAAAAGCTCATGTTTTTTAACAAGCACTACTTGGAAGAGAGAATTAGCAGAGATGATCAAGAAGTATTACAGAGTGCACACGAGTTTCTCAAACCATATGGAGCATCTTTTGAGACCTCAACAAAGATAGCCAAATTGGTTGTGCATAATTTACACACTATAAACGAAATTGTAAACTATTCATACTTGATTAAAGAGTGTGACTTACAGAGTGAAACTGCCCAAAGATATATCAAATCAACAGATTTGAGCCAGCTGAAAAAGATCTTGATGGAATTCCAATCGACAACTGAGTTGACAAAGGATTTGAGCAGAGTTGAAGACAGCTTACAATCTCAAGGATTAAAGAAGAGTGAAATCTTCAAGGCCTTGAGATTTGGACTTATAGGAAGCGTTCCAGGTCTAAAGATCCCATTGCTCGTCAATTGGTTTGGCGATGAAGAGTGCCACAAGAGGTTGCAAAAGGCTATTGAACTCGTTGGTTCCATGTAAATATCTCACACGTATATGCTGTAAATAGGATTATTAGCTAGAGACCGCTTACTTCTAGAAATATACAATACATTTGACTTGAGAATATTATTACAATTACGATTAATTACTAGTATTAAAGTATAACACATTTTTTGCCCTTTGACCTCAACCCCTTCTTCTTACCACGTGATCCAGAGGCCGACGTCGTTGTTGTTGTCTTGGAGCTATATTCGTTATACATTTGACTGTCGTGATCTCGAGACTTGAATGTTTGTCTAAAATTATCCTTCATTCTCTTGAACCCAAACCTGAACTGTGGAGGTTGTTCAATGTCATTCTGTGAGATTGCCAATGCAGTGTTGAACACCTTTCTTATATTCTTAGTGGTCTTTGCAGAGCATCTGAGATGCTTTACAGCACCAATTTCTTTCGCTAGGGCTTCAGCTTCTTCAAAATCAACCTCCTCTGAAGAATTGCCTAAGAGATCGAGCTTTGTACCGACAAGAATGAAGGGAACATCCTCGCAGAACATCTTCACTTCTGGTGCCCATTTCTCCCTCACGTTTTGTAAACTGATCTTGTTATTCACAGAATAACAGATGATAACGACATTCGTATCAGGATAACTCAAAGGTCTTAGACGATCGTACTCCTCTTGACCTGCGGTATCCCATAGTGAGAGCTCGACAACTTTGCCATGAGATCCTCGAACCTGGCTGATATAGTTCTCAAAGATCGTTGGAACGTACGTCTCTGGAAATTCACCACGTGCATATGATATGAGCAAACATGTCTTACCACAGCCACCATCACCAACAACAACAAGCTTGACTTTATAATCGGACGACGCCTTAGTAGTGGTGGTCAGTGGGACGTAATCTATTATCTCATCCAGATCTAACAGAGGCTGGTGGTGCTCAAACTGTGGGGTCATGAATTGTGATTGCCTTTTCTTCGCAACGTCGTACGGTGTGTCAAAAAAGGAACTAACAACTCTGAAGTTGCCTGTATCTGAGTGCTTTGGAGGCACTGGAGGTGACCTCGTGCCATTTGAACTTTGATAAGGTGAAGAGTAACCCGCCATTATGAGCCAGATACTGATCCAGTATTTTTTTCACTCAAAAGACCAACGCTATACAAACCCCTGATCTATTGGATTATCAATATAATACGCCAATACTTGGTACCTCTTTTCAAAAGCAGATCATCGACATAGAAATGTCTTAAGCCTTGTTTTGTTTTGCTTTTTTTGTCCGGTCGTTATTTTTAACTTTGGCCTTGTTTACAAAATTTCACAGCCAGCCGTATTTGAAAATTTTAGCTTTTTGGACATCAACTCCGAACAGACACATTAACTCCGTAAAAGGACATTTCAGTTACATCATGCATTTTATTTAAGAATATTCAACATAATATGGGCCTTTCTAATGTTACTTCCATACAACAGAGTGGTTTATACTTGGAATGCGGTCAATTCAACTACATGTCGTGAATGCGTGTGTAATGAATAGGGCTGTGACCCCTGTTGTAGCTGCTCTTCTCGCTTTTCCCGTGTTATCTCAAACGAGTTGCAGGACAGATGAAGGCCGTTACAAGCACATGAGTGGACAATGTGATCGATAACGACTATGGTGTAGCAGTCACCCACGAACTACGGAGATTTGCCATTCGGATGAGCAACCATCCTATAGATCATGATACTTCGATGTATACATCAAGCGTCTCTTGGAATACACATGTTCATAGTATGTACTTCACACTAGTTGTCGACCCATCTCATAATCAATTGTACAGCGATGGTCTCATTAAACCAAGTGATAAAAAGGCAGAAAAGAAAAAACAGTGGCTAACTGTCCAGCTGAATGATCAATTTCCGGTCTTCAATGTACTTTGACAAAAAGTCCAGATCTACACTCTGGAATTGAATAACCTCATTGAATGTAGGATCCGTATAACGAGGGTCAAAGTCTTTGTTTAAGAGACCAGTCTCTGTGTTGAAGTCTAGCATATCAACCTCATCGTTTGTATCATCAATATGCTCTACTCCATGTACCAGAGCAATATCCCTAGCAGACAGCTCACCAACACCACGGTAGTAGTTACCCACGGGTTCTGCAGGTTTGTTCACAAACATCTTACTTGGATAATGGAAATGCTGAATCAACGTATCTTTAAAGTTAGCGATACATTGCTCCTGAATATCAAATGACCTTGGTTTGAACCTATCCTCGTTATCAAAGAAGTTTGGTATCGGATCGTTCAGAATGGTATTTCTCATGATAAACTGTCGTCTTCTGACCATGAATGCAATGATACGACATGTATAATGTACGTAGTATTTATACTCCTGTGGAAGCTCATGTAGAAGGGCATCTTTGCTCATTGGGAACAAAGAGTGGAACCCACTGAACAGGAATGTAAATATGTAACGACATCCTGCCAAAATTTCTTCCAATACTTCTGCAAGCGCATTCCAAAAGGCATATACAACCTTTTCCACTGGCTTCATCTCAGAATAAATGACATATATAGCCGAGGGAACATCATCATACCAACGTTGTAGCAATTCATACAACTTGTTGACTGGGAACCTTAGAACGTGCTTGTTCGATTTTTCATTTTCCATGAAGCTCAGACAAAACTGCAAGAAATCCACCAAGTTTGAATAGTGGGTGTGTATTTCATCGTCACTGTCGACGATGTCCTCATTCTCCAAGAATTTTGAACCGAATTCTTTAACAACGTGTAAGAAATCATACAATATACGATGGTCATAAGCTGGATGATAAACATACCTAGAGGTGAACCTGAGACCATCACCGGATCTTTTCAACATCGGGTACGATTTTGGGAATTTATCAACGTTCTGGAAACAGGATATCATGATCGCAGATGGGCCTTGGGTCATCGAGAAGTGATCCTTCATGGGAACATCTTTCAAATATATCGACGATGCCATTAGTATGGAGCACATGACGAATAGTGGGATTGCTTTTTCGTCGTCAAGACTGTCGAGTTCTTTGCTTAAATGACTAATCACATCACCACGGTACTTAATGTAGTGATAGCGCAATTCCGCGTAATCTCTCTTGCAAACTCCAGTACCAAAGAGCATGTGTGCTTCAAACACATATGGATTTATCGTAGCCATGCAAAGACGAGAGTGAATCTCTTGCAACAAGAAAACACGACCAAAGACACCGGCTGCTGTTTCTCCAAAATTCTCTGGGAATTTACGAGGATCATACTCAGGCCTTGTAGATTTGTGCGGTATCAAAGGTACCTCCACGACTCCTCCAACATACGTCGGTTCCAAGCTGATCCTTACTTTACCTCTTGGTGGTGTTATAGATGACACCAGGGGAGTCGGAGGCGAATCAAACGACAAGGGACTGGTTTTGTTTGAATATTCACTGGCGTATTGTTGCATTTTTTCTTGAATAGGATGTTTAACATGGGACGCTTCGGATAGTGGATCCTTTGATGATTCACTGGAACGTTGGTATTGTCCCTGGACATTATTGAGTTCATCAGAGCCGATGGGGCTTTCTAAGGTGCCCGCCGGAAAGTGGTGAGCATGTTGATGATCATGTTGCAGGGAATATTGCTGCTGCTGTTGTTGTTGTTGTTGTTGTTGTTGCTGTTCTTGTATCTGTGAGCTCTCTACGACACCCTGTGGGTAGTACACTGGTACATAACTCTCGCCAATGACATCGATAAGCCTACCAGCACCATCATACTGGGGGTATTGATATGCATCCTGAAGTCTGGAAGAGCTGCCTTGTCCTTGTGCAGCGCCTACTGTGTTATCCACTGGTGGTGTGTTTTGGGTGAACGACAAGAGATAGCTCTGGATCTCCTCAGTATCAGTATGTGACAATCGAATTCTCTCTAATTCCCGCTCAGTGTACATCAAATATCCACACCGTATCTATACGTATCGGTCAGTGAAAGTGTCCCGCCATTCATACGCGCAGGACCGTGCTATCATCAACATGATAAAGCAAATCCATCAGCATAGACTTCATACTCACGGATCGCGCTGAGCACTTCTTGCAGTGCGGTAGAGTCTCATCACATTTAATCCGTCTCTGCTTGCACTGGGGACAACCTAGTGATGCTGTTAGTATATTCTCATCCACAAGACACTCCAGTCACAAGCCACGCAGAGAAGTGTTGATACGCCCTCGCCTGTCTGTGAGTTCACACCCACAAGACGCCATATAGACAAGCACGCGCCAACCAAAACACCAAACTGTACCCACAGGCCCGTCCTCTCCTGAATATGGACAACTTACCAAGTCGAGAGTTCTTATGCTTCTTCCTATGAAGTTTCTTCGATTTCTGTTCTTCCTTTTCGCCCATCCTATCACGTCAACGCACACCGAGCGCTTCACGAAGATTGTGTTGTTGCTACTTGTTGTTTTTGCCCTCTCTTGCTAGGGGTATCCCTTGAGCTTTTCTGGGTTTCTGGGTGGTTCCGCTGGTTCTGTATCTGTTTTCCTACAGTTTTGCCCCTCCTATATACGTGCCTATTGTGCTATGGCCGGACGCTGCGTCCGTGTAGGAAGAACTTAAGCTTGCACAACTTCTGCTTTTGTTTCACAGCGAGATTAGAAGGCGAGAAGAGGGCGAACAGCCTTGCTCAAGGCTGCCCCGCCTTTCCTCCGCTCATGTCTCATCAGACTACCGTTGTTACCGTAGTATGCACTGCACTCTCTGAAGCCCGAGACATGGTGCAACAATCGAGCTTGATCCACCAGTTTAAGCCTAGCGGTGCGTGGCGGCAACCTTGTGGTTGGCCTAATTCTACAGCGAAGGGCCCCTCTAAACTCTATGGCCTGGGCTGTTGTTGATCGGCGTGGTTGCTATGTAACGTTGCGGCGTAGCGCCGTTGACATCATACATCATGAACCATAATCTAAGCAAGCTGGCTAATTCCGTCTATATACACAAAGAACGAGCAAGTGGGGAGGGCAGAGCACACGAACTCTGTTCCGCTTCAAAAGCTTAACGACGAGCCAATCGTTTCAATGATGGACTGGACCTCGTAGAGGAAGAGCACGATCAGCACGAGCTTTATGACAAGCTTTTGCGTTGGAGACAATGAGTCGCTCTCGTCAATCTGCTGGAACACCTGAGACACCACAGGGATGTTGGACAGTAGATCGACAAACGTTGAGTACTCATCCAGGTCATCTTGGTCCGTGGCCTCAGCAGAAGATTCCACTCCAGTCTCCTGGCGTGCTGGATCCGTCATGACACCAAGATGATCACTCTGTTCAACCTCCACCTCTTGAACAGGAGACGGTATATCTTGATCAACCACCAGTTGCGGGTGCTGGAACTCCAAGATTGGTCTCTTGCTCCTGTTTCTAGATTTGAACAACCTCTTTAGCAGTTTGGGCTTTTTATCCCTTTGGTTTGTGGTGTGGTTCGTGATCTCAACTGGTGATAGCTCTGGCCTCTCAGGTTCACTCTCGACGGGATACGCTACAGGCGCTTCCGTTGGAACCTGTTCACTGATTTCACCGTGGGGATTGCTGTCTGTGGGAGGGACGATATGACCATACGGTTGTTCATGGTCTTCAACGGGCAGAACTGGGATGGCTCTCCTTCTGTCGTCGAATTCCGGTTCATATAGTTGGTCCGACACATAGCGTTGTCTTTTCTCATATCTTGTTGTGTCATACATATCTTCATCTGTCTCTTCAGGAGCAGCTTCGAAATAGTACCCAGTGCCGGTTATCCTCAACTCACCAGCGCTTCTCCTGAGCTGTTTGTCCATACTATTTTCGTATCCAATAGCTATCGTAGGCATCAATTCCAGACTATCGGTGCTATCCTGTCTATGTCTATACACGTTGTGATTTGGCACGGATTTACTCTCAGTCTTGGTCCTGCTAAAGAGCCTGATCTTTGAATTGAGAGCGCTATTACTGCTCTGTTCCAAATGGTCCTCGAAAACGGCATCGTTAGCCCTATGCGGTTGATAACCGAACCTTGAGCTTGGATCCGCCAGTACGACGTTCGTCGCCGTCTCCTTCTTCAAATAAGGACGCGGATCTTGATATACCACACTCTGTTTCATGGCTCGAGAAGAGGCCTGGAGGCCCTGTGGTCTGAATGATACCCTGTTATAGGGAACTTCGGATGGCGATGATGCAGTATTCTCAGGTTCCCGACTGGGCTGTGGTTTTCTTTGCCTTGAAGGCTCATCGTGTATTGACATATTTGTTTAGTTTGCGGTTAAGGAGCTTCCGTCCTTGGCTTGGCAGCTGATGAGTACGCTTTTCCACACTAGAAATGGACTAAATGTTGAAACAAAGGAGACAAGCGGTGAAACCCTCAAGCTAAAGCCAAAATTTTAGAAATTCCATGTAAGATTCCACACATGTTAAACCGTTACTAATGCAGATGGCTGGTGGGGCTTTGTTTACAATAATTTAAAGTGTTGCCCCTGGCCAAAATTAAAACAAAACAGACAATTACATCATTCCTATTCGAATAGCAGGCGTATAATTATAAGAGGTGGTCTGTATACAACTTGTCCGATAGATGTCGTCTACATCGACAATGTTCTTCATACCAAAGAACTCCAATGTCATGAAAAGCCAAAAAAGCAACAAAAAGAAATTATGGATGGAAACCCGAGCGCTAGATATCCTCCAGAGAATTGAAAATGTGTAGTATCTTCACTAGGAATCACGTTGACGGTTTAGAAACCAACGAGTTCCTTGAGGTCATCGGCCAAGGCTTCCAGACGAGACTCCAAGCCTTGAAGGGAGGTTTTCAAGTCACTGGAGGATTCAGATTCGACAGATGACTCCTCAGTACCCCAGAACTTGGTCAAGTTACCACCGGCACCGTTGTAGATCAAGTAGTTTGGAGTGTCCTCTGGAATGTCATCCAAAACGTCCTTTGTAGAGTACTCGATGATCTTCTTCTTCAATTGTGCTGGGGAGATACCACCTTTAGCAGTGAAGAACTCAGAATCTGAGCCTGGTTGCAAAGACAAGTAGTATGACAACAAACCAGCAACGTGTGGAGAAGCCATGGATGTACCAGACAAAGTAGCAGTGGCAGTTTCTGAGCCAATGTAGGTAGACAAGATGTTAAGACCTGGGCCAAAAATATCAACACACTTACCATAGTTGGAGAAGTAAGCTCTGGTGTCCGATAAAGTGGAGGCACCGACGGTAACAGCCTTCTCAGCGGCAGCTGGGGAGTAGTTACAAGCATCAGCGTTGTCGTTACCAGCAGCAACGGCAAAATGGATGCCGGCAGTGACTGCAGCGTTGACAGCCAAGTCCAAAGCTGGTGACTTACCACCACCAAGGGACATGTTTGCAGTGGAACCCTTGAATCCTTTCTTGTTGTCTTTAACAGCCTTTGCGTGTGCATTAGCAGCATACTCAACACCCTTAACGACATCAGACATGGTACCGGAACCGTTAGATCTCAAAACCTTAACGGCAACAATATCAGCCTTCTTTGCAACACCATAGTGCTTAGAAGCAATGGTACCGGCACAGTGGGTACCGTGACCGTTACCATCGACATCTTCATCACCAGATGGGATAGTTGAACCCCACTTAGCACGACCTTCAAACTCCTTGTGAGCAATGTTGACACCGGTGTCAATAACGTAAGAGGTGACACCTTCACCAGCGTCGCTATCGTACAAGTACTTGTTAAAAGATCCCAATGAAAGTGGTTCACGGTGAGAGATTCTGGACAAACCCCATGGTGCACCATTTTGGGTGTCAAATTCAGAGGCGAAGACTCTGGAGTCCTTCTCCACAAATTTAACCATTGGGTTACGACGGATAAGCTCAATAGTGTCATCCAAAAAGTAACCAAAGTATCCAGACATCAAGTTGTCAATGGAGAAGCCATCCAAGATACCACCAAGAGCAGAACCAACGGATTGCTCTTGCAACTCTTGGAAAAATGCGCTTGTAGGGTCGGCCTTTTGTAAAGCTTGGGCAGCAGTGAGGTGCTCAGCAGCAACCCACTGCATATGGAAGTTCGCCTCCTCTGGCTTGACACCCTCCTTGAAGACAATAATGTATCTGTGAGGAATTATGTTACGGCCAGCAGACTCTGTGGAGATTAGCTCAGCTGCAGCCTCCAGTGGCAAAAGTTGTTCACGGAGCAAAGAGGTGTCCACAGCGGCAGCAATGGCTTGTTCAGCGGCAACCGACTCGACACGGGCAGCAGCGTTGTTGCCAGCGCCTTGGATGGAAAAGACATCTTGGTTAGAGATGCCTGGAATGACGAGTGCGTTTGCAATGGAGAGCAAGACGGACACTGGGAGTAAAAATGCGGTCTTCATGATTGGCTTCTTCTTAAAAGAAAGGTTCGATAGTGTTGTAGTGTGCTTCAAAAAGCGCTTGTTTCAGAGAGATAGTTTAAACTGGAATGAGGAATACGATACGACAACAATGTACACGTTGTCTGTCTTCAATATTCCTACCTTCGGTTCCAGTCGTTGGTTGGGTGCTTGTATCTAGGCGGCAACGAGGGGGGAAAAGGTGGCAATCGCTTCGCCTTTTATACCAATTTGCGCGGATATTAATTTGCTCCTCCCCCTCCTCGCCTGAAAGTGCCAGGGCTACAAACCGTTTTCTCTCCCGCTCTCTCTTTAAGTGCGAATGACGTTTTCAGGATCCACAATGACACCGAAAGACGTGGGACTGCGCGATAAGCTGATAAGGAATTATGTACCGTGTCTGGGCCATTTTCCTGTAATCAGACGTTTGTATTTATCTTTGGACGTCATGAGGGATAAATCGGTGACACATTATTGGCTCTGTTTATGGTATCTCTGAATTAGGAGGCGCGTGTGTATTTGGGGAGGGGGTTGTTCTCACAGCGTGAAGATGCTGACTGGGGGTACAACAATGCGATCTTGGTGTTGTACATGAACAGCAAGCGTTTTCTGGTACATGATACGCTTAACAGTTCCAGCAGCTCCAGCAGTTCTGGAACACATACAGAGGAGCTACCTTGAAGTGCTGTGTGACCCGGGTGTAAAGGCACATGTAACAGGCTTACAACTGTGGACGGGTTACCGGTACAACAACACACGCGTCACGGTGTGATTATTCACCTTTCTGGTTAGTGCCACTGAAATGGGAGCCCCGTGATCGGGATATGTGGGTCCAGGATTAGCAGCTTGGCCGTTGGTGTCGTCATCGATGTTTGCGCTGGTGCTCCATGCTCATCAATGTGGTGCTATCCATGGACGGTGAAGAATAATCCAACACGGGCTTTGTTAACCGACGTGTGAAGAGCTTTGTCTCCTGTGACAGCGCTGAGAGACACGCTGATGTTCGGTTGTACTTTCCACCTTGTCCATCCTGCCCGGTGTGTGTGGTGTTTGGATGTTTCTGATACGCATTTAGACACAGAGGTTGGATTGGTGCTAGTTATCACTTCCTTCCTGAAGAATGTGGATGCCCTAGAAGGAGTGACTGTGCCGTTGGCTGCTAGAGGAACTCACCATGGTGTCCAGAACCTCCCCGAAGACTACCCAGCCAAAGGGGTTTAATGTCTTTTCAATTGATAAGAGGAGTAATAGGCTTATCCCCAAGAGGAAAAGATCATGTGTACAGTGTCAACGGAGAAAAGCCAAGTGTTTGATGGTGGAAAGTAGTTCGTGCAACGCTTCCAGCTGTCAGTCGTGTTTGGAAAGAGATGATCCTTGTAGCTTTACAAGGAAAGCCTCAGAGTCTGCCGAGCCTCCAAGTTCTTTGTCTGTTATTGAAGATACATCGAGAACAACAGCGTATGAACATCAACAGATTCCATTTCTTGATCAATTGAACAATATGGATTGGATCAAGTTGATTGATTCTGAAATTGGAGATAACGATATGTTCATTGACGTATTGAGCATTAATAAATCTCCTGGAGTAGTTCCAACGTCATCCACTGATAGTGCTCCAAATAACCAATCGGACATTGAGATACAGGATGTCACAGACGTCCCCATAGATGGACGGAATGTTAATACTTCGTTTCAATACTACGGGTACACAGGAGAGTATGATCCTTGGCTGCGGTACAACTTCTACCAATACGACAAAAACAACGAATGTTCATTCAGCTCTAAGTTCTTCAGGAAAATGGGCACAGCAAATGATCCAGTGATTTTTGCCTTTAAAGACAAAGATCGTCTACTTCAAGAGACAAAAGAGATTGAGAATGGCATTAATCCATATGGTGCTAAGTTATCAGAGAGATTAGCGAGCTATGCACCGAATTTCATCATTCTTTATCTAAGATTTGTTTTCCCATCATTGCCGATACTGGACGGGAAGTTCCTACGCGAAGTATTCTCAAATGAAATGGCTGAGTATAGCAAGAATTCAGAAGACATTGATCCTTTGCTTCTTATCCTCATTGCAAAAGTCGTCAGACAATGGGATACATATGACACCTCGATTGAAATATTCTCAGATGACTCTGAAACATTGATGAATGACAGAAAGAAGTTCATGAGCACGGCTTGGAACATGTTACTTGATGAAATACATACACCAGATTTATCAACAGTCAAATCTATGATCTTGTTCTACCATTTATTAGGACTCAAGAAGGATTCACAAATAAATGGGTTTGAACAGAGTGTACTGTCGAGCCTTATTACAGTATGTTACAGACTTGGGTTACACGAAGACTGCTCAAGATGGAAAATTCCAGAGATGGAGAAAATGACAAGGCAGAGACTATGGTGGACAGTTTACGTACTTGAAAAATGGGGTTCTTTCGTCAGTGGTAGTCCAAGTCTGATAAACGATGAAGAAGTTCATACTATCCCACCAGGGCAATTCGAAGAAATCTTTGAGGACACATCTGAGTACATGAACAATGACGAAAGCTTTGTCAAGTCTTTCCATTTCTCTGTCAAATTGACATTTATACTCATGGAGGTAAAGCGGTCATTGTTTTCTCCAAGTGCTTATAATAGTGACAAATCATTTCAGCTGGACAAATGTGAAGAGCTTGAGTCCAAACTTGCCGATTGGAAGAGTAAGCTACTTGGTATACAATCAGCAGATAACATCTCAACTCATAGTCTGATGATATCCTGTTTCGTTTTAGAAATTACGATATTCAGGGCCCGTTTCAGAATCATGGGAACATCAGAATATTACAACATGTGCTTTTCTGATGCTTCTAGAAAGCTCCAAGAAATAGTTGACTACCTAACATCCTTACCTTCCTCATCAATTCATGGGTTTTGGTATAGATGGACAAGATCTGGATTCATGTATATTAAGGATTTTGTGCTCTCGTTGATTGTTATCTCAAGAACCAAAGAGCAATCATTGATGGTATTGAATTTGACCAGAAGATTCCGAGAGTGGCTGGAATTGAACTCGAAGACATTGCCAATTCTTTGGACAACTCTGTTGCGGCTCAATATTGCAACCCAGAGTATTGGAAATCAGTTTAAAGCAATGTCAAGAAAGAGTCATTAACCACGATAGCACATGACTACTGTGTTTATTAAACAGTTAATATTCATAATCAATTAAAATACCGAAATAAACTAATAGAAACTACCAATTCTAGGACCAAAATATCCATCTGGGGCTGAAAGAGGATCCTTCAACGACTGTCTACCTTCACCACCATCAACACCAACAGACACAATGTTATTTCCCCACCAGTCCAAGGATTTTGGATGGTACTTAACGGAAAAGAATATAATCACAGCACTAAAAGCAACAGCAGATGAGAATGCAGCTGCCAAAACATAGTTGTACTTCTCCCACCAGCTCGTGTATCTCGACTTGATGTAATACATGAAGGTGAAAGACACGTAAAGGCCTGTCGTGACATATGATAGGTTATATGGTGCATATTGGAGCATTCCACCAATGATCAATGTTGGACTGAACCATCTCATCTGTTTAGAGAACTTCTTCTTAATCAGGATACATGGTATAACAGCAAGGAATCCGATCAAAAAGGTCCACTGCAAGATTGGGTATAATTCACTGAAGACCTTCTTAGGACCAATAACACCCCAAAACACACCAGCAGAATAGAAGTTTGTCTCCTTAGGACACGTGAACTTATTTTCTGCTTCTGAAGTACATATGTTTGGGATGTTGGCAATCTGCCAGTTAATGACACCAAGAGCAACGAATATCTGGATGAAAGTTGAAATGATTTGTCCTCTGAAGATGGCTCTAGGTGGGATTTTGGCATAATGTGCAAGCTTTTGATCAGAAATATAGGTTTCAGCTTGGTTATCGATATTTCTGGATAGAGATTTCAGCGTATTCAAAGCAAGACCATTTCCTGGTAAAGCATAACCGATAATCAACTCTGTTAAAACATTCATAGTCAGGGCAAATCCAGTGGTTGAATAGATTATACAGATTGGAATCAGGAAGATAGCATTGAGGCCAACAATGAAGAAAATACCCCACACTGGAGTTTGAGCTGGATATACCTTCACACATATGATTGCAAGGACGATTGCAATAACAAGTATGATTAAGTAGCACCAATCAGGAACTTCCTTGTACTTTGACATCATACGAGAGTGGGGGTCATTATACCCATAGTAACTGGAACGCTTCCAGTTTCTGGCGTTTTTAAAGAGTTGTGTCACTCCCAGCTTCACAGTAGACCACTCATGGTATATGGTGTAAAAGAAACCAAACGGATACAGTGCAAAAAATGCACCGTAGACAAGTAAGTTACCAGCAGAGTAGAAAGGAGGGGAGTATTCTTGGTACTTCTCTTCGACTAGATGAGAAGTTGAGTCCAGGATAGTGCTGACATTGTATCTCTCACCTGTATTGGTGAAAATGTTATTGTCGTTAATTGGAAGATAGGCAGTCCACTTGTAGTTACTGTAGTAGAGACCAATAACCACGAAGAACCCAATGAATGTTCCAATGTACTGGTTCAGCTGAGAAAAGAATGGAATCGTCAAAGAGTAATTGTAATCGATGATATTCCAATCAAAGGTGACAAGGGGATTCATGCCTAAACCGAATTGTTCTCCAGAAACAGCTGCAAGATTGAAATTCTCTGGCTTTATCCATGTCATCCATGAGAACGTTGATAGACCTTCAAACAAGTAGGAAGGCACCCAGTTGTATAAGAACATCGCACTGAAGAAGTAGGCGAAGAACTTGTATCTTGTCAGCGTCCACCCATGGATATTTTCCTTCTTCTCAGGCTTCAAGAGAGCTCGGTTAAGTGCCAAAGTTGGAAGCAAAGTTGGCCAGATACATCTCTGTTCATACACTGCAAATCTTCTAACAATGCCCACCAGTCCAAATCCGAGAAACTGAGAAGCTGCCATCAAGAGGAACTCATAACCAAAGTCAATCCAGTCAGTGTAAAAGAACACCTTCAGTTTCTGCATATAGATGTTATGAGAAACATAAGTGTACGAGATGGCAACGTTGAAGATGATCGTGGCAAACATCTGCTCCTTGTACGTCCAAGGACCTGGGTTGAGCGAGTGTCTGATACCTCTGATGGTGATACCCCAATCTGGCAGTGTAAGGGCCAGGAATTTACCACAAGGATACAAGAGCAGTTGAATCATTGAGGAACTGAGAGTAATCTGAGGTTTTCTGTGCATGAAGAATTCATTAACGCCAGCGCCAATAATAGTCCAAAAGAACCCGAGAATGTAAGCTCTGATTGTTTCCACTGGTATTGATGGATCATCGATAGGATCAGTCACACCTCTGATTTCAGGGTAAGGAGAGTGAAACATAACCAACCCTGCCTCAAGCTTACATTGGAATGACCATTCAGCCGGGGACAGGTTACAGTACTCAGCACCTTCGACCAAGCTCTCCATGCGTTCGTACACTGGTAATGGAAAGTTGGCATCTGTAGCATACTCTTTCAGAATGTCTCTAAGGTGGGAGACAGCATCACAGGTGGACATGGCTTCAATTTGCTCAATCATATGAGCAGCCTCACTTGGAAGACTCCCTGTGTCGAGAATATCACCATCTGTGACGACACCATGTCCACATCTATCCAGAATTGTCTGTCTGTGCTCGACGTTAACCTCTTCCGATGTGAACCCATCCGAAAGCTCGATGGTTTCAGTTTCAGCGCCCACCTGCTTCTTATTCTCAGCTTCCAGGTGACTGGATGAGCTATCGACAGAAGGGCTCTTGCTGAAGCTTTTCGTGTTAGGGTACATTGACTTGTTGCGTTGTTGTACTAGCCATATGCATCACTGGTTCTCGGTGCACAAGTATTCTTTATATATTCCTCAGTCAACACTTTCAGAAGTTGGCAGCATCAGCTATCACCAGATATGCAACACAAGGGTCTCGGACCACAACACTCACAGAAAGTGTGAAGTAGTCAGTTGTATAGTGGTGGACAAAGATATCGTCGCAAGCCAGTCGCATGATTTGAGTTTTGGATCTTGCTTCATCGGCATTTAATTTTTCACGATAACGGCGTTATTCCTAAACCGGAAAGTATCCGGAGCGGTATTTCGGAGCACTTCCTAAAGAGGAAGTGATCCGTCACTCCAGTCTACCTCATAGTAGGATAGAGATAAGAGGATTCACTCACTGAAGACAGCCTCCATTACGAAAGCACAGCCGGCGAATCAGAGACAGTGGACAGTGAGCATGGCAGCAGTATGAGCTGATGTGCCAAATAGTACACTCTGAAGGAAAATATATAAAGGCTGTGACAGGATCTCGAGAGTCCATCATACCAAGCTCTGTGATTCCAATCATCAGAAGACAACAATGACTACATCGTCAGAGTTCTACCAGCATATCGTTGTTACGGGTACACCCTTTGAGAGAGGGTTTTCCCACGGTACTCAGTTGAAGGAGAAGATCCAGCAACTCGCAAACCACTACATGACTGAAGCGGAGATTCCTCCTTGGTCCTGGTGTCAGAATGTAATCAACAATTACTACATTCCTGCTTTGAAGAAGTACGATCCTTCTTCGCACGCAGAGATTGAGGGTATCTCCAAGGGGTCTGAAACACCACTGGAGCAGATCTATCTTATCAATGCCAGATACGACCTCACCAAGTACTTGAACAACAAGTCAAATCTTTATGAAGTGAAGGACGAATCGGAGTGCACCGTTGCTACAGTCATTGACGAGACAGGTGTCAGAATTGGCCAAAACTGGGACTTGGACTCCTACGTCTATGACAACGACCTCTGTGTGATCTTGGAAGCCCACACTCAACCAGAGGAAAACCTACCAAAAGTGATAATTTCACTCGGCGAGGTTGGCCAACTCGGGAGATCTGGTATGAACTCAAGAGGTATGGGGTTGTGTGCATCATCTTTGAATGCAAACATCGATAACTTCACCTTCACGAAGGAAACCGATGGCTTTGTCAACCCACCACCTATTCCTTTGTCATTTGCCAGAAGAAAATACTTGAGCTGTAAGAACTGGGCTAACGGCTTGAAGTACGTTGTTGGTGCACCAAGACATGTTTCTGGAAATGTATTGATGGCCACAAGGGAAAAGGAGGCTATTGATCTTGAACTTGTTCCAGAGAGTTACTTCGTCATCTACCCAACATTTGTTGACTCTGAAGGCCGTGAATGTTTGCCTAACACCAATGGCCGTGCGTTCATTTCCCATTCCAATCACTTTACCTCTCCTGGCTATTCACCATCTTCTGGCCACCTCTATTGCAGAAACCCAGGTGGGTCATCTCTTTACAGACAGAGAAGGGTTGCGACTCGCTTGGTCGACTATATCAAGTCACAGCCACAGGGCAAAGGTCTCCCTGTGCCAGTGATCCAAGATTGTTTCTCTGATACTGTCTGCTCACCAAATGCTGTGTCTGAGGTTAAAAACACCAGATCTGAACCGGAAGGTGATGAAGTCTTAATGACAGTTGCATCTGTTGTCTATGACCTTACAAATGGTACAATGACTGTCTGTAAAGGTCCGCCACACTTGGCCAAATGGAAGACTTACACAATTGCAATGGAAGATTAGACAGAGATTTATTTAGATTCCAATTGAACTTCAATTATTGATATTTCAGATGTAGTTGTAGGTAAAATCATTTTATAGCTAAGCAAGCATCGAGACACCTTCAGAGAGTGGCAAAGCGCGAGATTTTACAATTCAACGATTGGGGCGTGTGGCGTAGTTGGTAGCGCGTTCGCTTAGCATGCGAAAGGTCTCCGGTTCGACTCCGGACTCGTCCATTTTTTTTTCAATTCAGCATAGAGGTGCTATGCTAGTGTGGTTTGAATACGTGTAGACATTTAACCGACAGTAGCCACCGTTGTTAGAGCCAAGATCATGATGACAATGGTATATATCTCAGAACTCGAAGTATTGACATAGTAGACACTGATTATGAGCAAACAGTACAGTACAAGTCATCAATATTGATAGGTGACATTACACGAGTAATTCTCTTATACAGTACTCTCTGGGTGAGAAATGACTAAGCATACCGGTTAATACGAATACTCATACAATTAGTCATCCTCTAAAGGTCGTAGTCCAACGATTTGCTGCAACATCACTAACTTCTCGCCCGTGGAGATATCAGCAGTGCCTGGTGTCTGTCCAATAAAGTAAAACTCCATCAGCTCATTCAATTGATCCTGCGACCTGGAGTAAAAAGCATCCTTCGTTACAGGCCAAACCTCTGCGTAAGGCTCCTCTCCACACACATTCACAACACACTCCAGAATCTCATCATCTTTCTTCTTGGTGTTAGCAATGGCAGACTTCTTCTGCAGTTCAATGATTTCAGACAGGGCATCCTCCTCACCATCGAAGATGAGCAGATACTGCTCCAACTCAGTCTCAACCTCCTCAATTGCTACACCTGAAAGTTCCTCTATCCTTGGTAGGAGCTTTGCGTGTGCTAAGTCAGTCATGATCTCTGTATACTTTGAGCCATCCGAGACTTGGTCCTTCAGCAATTGATACCTCGATTCTAACACTTTATATAGATTCAATTGATGAGACATGGCACATATTCCTCTTCTTCCAACACGTCTGCTTGGAAATGTCTCATTTCAAAATGTGTTGTGATGCAACTAGTTTATAACTGCCGTGCTAGACTAGTGAAAATTTCAAATTCTTCCTACTAGGATAATCTTCAACGGAAAGTACTGGGAGCAAGACAGGCTATCATGACTACGAAGAAGGAGGATGTTCTGGAAATCAACATAGAGAAGACCGCAATGGAACTTCCTGTGACAGCGTTCCCACCGTTTAAGCTGAGGTCTGCAATGGTGGATAAGGACCCAGTGATTTGGGTTCACCTTATTGAAATCTACATCCAGTATGTCGAGACCATCTTGACAACACCGTGGGACCTGAACGAAAGAAGCGAACAACAACTACAAACCTTTGTGAAGACGTATCTCTTTGAGATTGCCGAGGAACAGGGTCAGATTCTTTCTCTTGGTCTTATCAACGTCCAAATCACCGAGAACTTGTCCATTCTTCGAGCATGGATGCTGGATCTCATCAAGGATCTGGGAGTGTTGAGGCTGAAACTGAATGGCGAATCCCTATGGAATATGTCCAAGATCTATGCTCCTAAGAATGCAGCCACTGTTAGAGGAATCATTGACGGCAGTCTCAAACCGAGGGATAATAGAACTATCAGTGGCATCTCCCAGGTGCATCGCCATATCGAATCTCTAGTGTCCAATGGCAAGTTTTCTAAAGTGGACTTAGAGACGTTTGCATTCCTCGTGACTGATAAGCAGAAGGTGTCTCAAAGAGGTAAGAAGCCCTCGAGGAAAGATCAAATGTTTGGAGACAAGTTCATCACGGTTTCATGGTGGGAAACATTGGAGAAGCTGTATGCAAAGGGCCAAGGTCGATTCGCACAGCACTGTAAAGAGATTGGGATCTTATCACTCATCTCTGTTTCGTTAGCTAGAGTAGCAGAACTGGCTACTGAACTGGGCATAACATCAGTACATTCTCTCGGACTCTATCCTCTGTTTGCGGGCATCACCACGTCGGCATCTTTCGGAGAGTTACAGCCAGGTTTAGATACAAAGATTCCATTTTTGAAAGTTAAGGTGAAAGATCCTGTTGACCAGGAGCATGTCCAGTCACTGATTGCAATGTTTCCTGCCCTATCAGTATCACAGACGGAGAAACTTCTTCGAAAATATGACCATAATGTTGAGTCAGTGACGAACTTGTTATTGGAGAACCCAGAGGCAGCAGTCGAAGCTGTTAAGATTGTTCCCAAAGTACCAACTGCGGACTCCATCATTCAAAAGAAAGTCATATCAAAGAAGTCACATTACGTTCCAGACGAGCATAAGAACCGTACCCTTAATGCAGCTTTGAAGCTGATGTACGAGGCAGATGAGGACGAACATGATGATACCTACGATGAAGCAGAGGCTATAGCAGGACTTACAGGTGGTGATCACTCCAAATACGACAAGATGGAAGAATATCTCTGGAACATCTTCAAAAAGGACCCACAACTGCTGGAGAAATCAGCTCGCAAATCCTCCAAGAGAAAGGAAATCAAGAATCATACCAAATGGTCTGATGAGCAAATAGAGGGTTGGGCCAGAATGATACAAAAGTCACCAAAGAGGGCGAAGGCTTTAGAGTCCAAGTATATGTTTAGAGGCAACAAGCCTGAGAGGTCATCTTTCATAAATGGTGCAAAGGATGAGGAAGAGGTGGAGCAAGTGGAGGAGAGAGCTGCAAAGACTTCAGCACCAGGTACTTCAGAGCCTATAAAGTCGGCTAAAAACAGTAAAAGAGATCATGCACGCAACGAGAAGAATAAAGCATCAAAGGCAAACCATAACAGGAAGCTAGGCCACGATAGAAAGATGAACAAGGGCATTTGATTTGACAATAGAATATACTATATACTTTATACTAAGTCTTTCTCTTCTTAGTGTCATTCTCTAGTTGTTCGAGCTCTTCCCATACCAGATCAGGATTTTCCTGCTGTGCTTCCTTCTCGGATCTTCTAAGTGGTCTTTTCTTCTTCTTCTTCTTTTCATCCTCATTATCTTCGTTTGGTACACTCTTACCTGATGAAGTGTCCAACAACCACACAGAAGTGACTTTAGAACCGACAAATACCTTTGCAACCTGTTCTCTAGTGTTTATGTCAAAGACACGAACGTATCTATCGAGGGCACCTGTCACAAGGAGCTGTTCGTCATCAGTGATGTATGAGTGTAAGCCTTGGACAGCACCAACAGAACCTTTATATTTTGCAACTAGTGTTCCCTTTTCAACGTGGAACAAAGCAGTAGTGGCATTGGTATCCGAGCATATCACCTCAGACTCGTTTGAGGTCAAAGCCACCTGTTTCAATGGCTTGTCACTCAGCTTCTTGTCCATAATTGGCTTTCTTCCATGGGAAGTGTCGTACTTTCTCACTTGTCCATAGCCTGTTGTTGTAATGAAATTCCACGACTTTTCTGTATCTTTATCGGTGTTGATAAATACGATATTAGTGATCCAAATAGGTACCCTAAGATCCAGTCTGTCATTCTTAACGTTCTTTCCTTGGAATAGCTGTTCTGGTTTGAGATCTTCAAATGGCGACTCCTTGAACAAACGCACAATCTTAACATCATTCTCCTTACCCCCGTAAGCAAACACACCTTTTTGGGTGGGATGACCAACAAAAGCTGATAGAGGTGCTTTCAATGAACATGATGCCACGGAGATGTCATCCCTAATGGTTTCAGGGTCAATAATTGTAACTCTTCCCTGTTCTGATGCTGCAAAGATGTAGCCAGACACAGTGGTTAGACTGGCAAACTTGTCTTTATCCTTGGAGTCTGCAACTAGCCCGTCAGTGGCAGTATTGATCAAGTCATACGTTTCATTAGTCTTATAGAGACTAATGGTACCGTTGGCCCTAGCAGCTACAACAACGTCACCTTGAGAGGTTGGAACCACTGTAAGCTTCTGAATATGAGATCTTATTCCTTGCTCATCAAAAGATGAGATCTTCTCCGGTTGTGGAGCTGTTTGTGAGGAGGTATCGGTGCCCTTAACACACACAATCTCCTTGAATCCTCCAGAGTCTTCAGCAGTTGCTATGAGCTTCATTATGACCTGAGAAGTTTGTTTAATAATGTCTTCTTCGTGCGATGAGCATCTGTTTTTTCGCTCCCTCGAGAATTTTTTTTCCCTCTGCCTACAGCCGATGATGCGATGAGCTCATCTCGAAATGTTCTATACAAGTTCTACAATTATGATAAGAAGTATTCCGTCAGAGGTGGCTCAGCTCAATCAGCGATGAGTCATCAGTGATGGCTTCGATCGAGTGTTCTGATATGGTTATAACACTCTGGTTCAGTTCTGATTCTGTAATCAACGCCTCAGTCACTTTGCTCATGTGAGCTTGTTTTGCTGGCTCAAACACTTCAGTAGAAGAGGATTCAACGGCCGGGATGACATCTCGTTTCTTGAGTTCCTGGAGAGTTCGTTGTGGAGAGGGCGTGCTGGAGGAAATCTCTATGATGTCATTATCTTCTATGGGTGACCTTGTTGTTGTCACTTGAGAAAGAACGCCAGGCAATGTTCTGGTCCTCTTTCTTGGTGAACTCGAAACTGTTGATCTGTTCTTAGAAGAAGAAGGACCTTGCCCAAATATGGGCATTCGAAACTTCCCTCGCCTAGAGGGTGAGATACTTCCTCCCAATATAGCACGAATATCTGTCGATGTGTGTTTCAAATCTGGCTTCTTTGTTAGATTCCCAGAGGATAATTCAGAATGAGATCTTTTCAAATTCCTTGAGGGGTTAACCTTAACAGGCGATGGATGAGATCTCTTGGGACTTCTTCGAAGCTCAACTTCATTTGCCCTGTCAGTCTCCAGTCGATAAAGATCATTGGCCAGATCGTGTGGTAATAAATCAACAATAATAGCATATGTCGGTGCAGCATGATCAACATCTATATACAAACCATCCATCTTGAAGAAATGTAAGCCATGTCTCAACAATTTGACACTGAGTACGAATAAGGAGTGACTCTCATTTGGTCCATAGGATGCTTCCCTGACCTTCTTAAAGGAAAGAGTAGAATCATCCCTCCACTGTCCCTTCATGAAACATATTAGGTATTTGAGCAAATAGCTTTCCGTCATACTGTTATAGTACCATTTGGCAATGTCTGAGATGTTGTCATGTGGGTAGCTTCCCAATAACTTATACAGCTCTTTGAATTTAGGGAGCGAGAATATGGCATCTGGATCAGTACACTCACCGTTGTTCGTAACACCATCTTCGAATGTAAACAGATCTGGATGCACCAGAGGACGGTAGTATAAGGAGACAACAAAGTCTGGTGGCCATCCAGCAAATTTATCAACGCCAACTGTGAGATGCTGTTCGTTCCGACCAAAGAGTGGAGCAGGATGGCTCTTAACCAAGGCAAACATACTGTCCTGTAAGGCAATGTATTTGGTTAGCTTTTCATTCTTTGGCAAAGTTGATGTTGGTCTATACACCTCATCAAGAGACTGTGCAAAGTCTGGAAGTGTATCATAAGGGAACTCGGATGAGTGCCGAGTCACCAAGGTGGTACCACACAACACCAGTTGTGAGGCCTTCTGGGGACCTAGTTTAGAGACACCAGTGTTGTAATCTCCTCCGCAAAGTATCGACAACAATCTCAACCTCTTTGAATCATAGCCTTTCACTCGTTCAACGGTCTCCATATGTATTGGAGTAACCCACCAATCTTGGGTCTTCTTGAAATACTGCGTGCCAGCAGTGCTTGCAGGCTTATCTTCTCGGTGCCTAGCAAAGTTCTTCAACATCTTTCCAGCACCGTACGCCAAGGCATCACTATCGTTACTCATAACGTAGTCCACTACGCCCGCCCTTTGAAGCTTTGCACATTCTGCTTCACCATCGGCTGGCGCCTGAACAAACGAGACATTCCACAGCTTTAGCATCTCCTTGATGACTCTAACCTCTGGTAGATCAGTGATGGGACGTGTCCCTAAGCTTCTTTGTAGCTCTTCATACTGAACGTCGTAGTTCTTCACATCCAACCGCTGTATTTGCTTCCCGCTGAGCTTCTTCTTCTTGAAGCTTGGTTTGAAAGGTCCATCAAATACAATGACGAACGTGACGTTCAGCGAGATCAAGTACCGTATCTTTGTATGGAACACCTGCAATATCTTCCCCATCACTGCTTGTTTGCTCACATTTGGAGGGATACTGGCCGATGCTTCGACAAGCCACATATAACCATCCACTGCAACCCTCACTGGTCTCTTATTGGTGTCGTAAAATCGAGTAGCAAAGCACGAGAATGGCACCCGCTCTTCCACAGCATCTTCTATCAGATCCCAGATAGCCTGGACGCCCATGAGTCGCGTAAAACTGTGATGTGCCGGTCTGTCTTGTTTTGTAGAAGTTCGACACTGCTAATCGCCTTGTTTACATTCACTCGGGCGTATACCTGAACATCAACACACATACATCGCGGACATCAACACATAGCGTATATTGCTCCTATAACTACAATGGGACGCAGTAAGAGCTGTATGCAAATACCCGTACCGTCTATTCAGCATGTTTATATATGAAGTACACTTGTTTACTCGGCATCGACTGCCTCTAATAACTTATCAACAACGTCCAATATTGCTGTGGTAGCAGGGCTGTCAGGATACAGATCTAAGAAACTCTCTCCGTTATCACATGCCCTGCCAATTCTTGGGTCCAAGGGTACGCTCCCCAAGAACGGGACCCCTAGCTCTTTACTGAGTGCCTCACCACCTCCGGTGGTTGCCTTGAATATTTGAGACTCTCCATGGCATCCTGGACACACAAACCCACTCATATTCTCTACAATACCCAGTACTCTGATCCCTGCCTTGCGACAAAAGTCGATCTCCTTTCGTACGTCTAGGAGGGCCACCTCTTGTGGCGTGGTTACTATTAATGCACCGTCGATGCCCGAGCCCTTCAGGAACGAATTAACAGAGATATGTTCGTCTGAAGTGCCCGGTGGCGTATCAACAACCAAATAATCCAGGTGGCCCCAGTCAACATCTTTGAGGAATTGCTTTATTAACCCATTCTTCTTAGCTCCTCTCCATATAATGGCGGAATCCTCATCTGGTAGCATGAACCCAATACTCATCATCCCCAGGTTATCAGCCACGTAAACCGGCGTCCATCCAGAGTTCGAGGAGTGCACAGTTTCACCTTGGGCTCCGAGCATTCTTGGTAGCGAAGGTCCACAGATATCCAAGTCCATCGCTCCCACCTCAACGTCTTCGTCTGCTGCAAGAGCCCAAGAGAGCATACTGGTAAACGTGCTCTTGCCCACACCTCCTTTACCCGAAAGCACCAGTATCTTGTGCTTTATGTCTTTCAGGCGTTCATTTATCAAGGGAATATCAGGGTCAGGTCCCTTAGGTAACGATTCACAGATCTCTTTGTTGGCACATCCAGTACAGGCATCGCCTTTACCAGCATCCTCTGACTGTGGACCAGGACAGTGCTCCGGCTCTGGAGCCTTCAAGTCCTGTGGCACAGGCTCTGGCATGGTCATGGGTGATATTACTGACATTTTCTTTCTCGTATGAATACTTTGACGAGTTCAACAAAGAATTTTAAGAAGGAGATGAATGAATAAGCTGCTATCGAAGTATTTGTCATGCGCTTTCTATGCCTTACAAATCCCGTCGGGATTCCATGGCGGGTTGAATTCCGGGGGCTCAGATTTCCCGGAATTGGGCCTCCGAGATTGGTGTATGGATGTTTGCAAGTCCTATACAGCTGTGTCACACATCCGTTGGCTTTAGGCCAATAGATACAATTACCGAGTACTTGATCAGTTTATGGTGTGTAATATTCATCATTTTGTGATCCTGAAATATCCATGACATATTATAAGTGGTATACGGGTGTATATCGGCGTATATCGGCCACGGCTTTTATGTGGAGCAGAGAGTGTATTTAGTACAGTTAGACCACGATCGTAATATTAGCGAATCTTTGATGGAGCGACTGAACTATGAAACTGACTCCACCGTCACCTGTTCATCGTTCTTCTTCAATTGCAAAGAAAAGGCAATTGTTGGTATTTTAGAATATTGACTCAGTTCTAACCAGGTAATTGACTAGCTCCGAGAAGTCACCACTTTTATTGGTCACATCTCTTGAGAGATCCAACTCCAGGTAAAACGACCAGAAAATCAAGTAATAATCAAGAAGCAAAGATACATCGAGCTTTGGTGGAGTGGAACTCAAATTCTCCCTCCGCTTTCCTACTTGAATTCCTTCCTTAGCGTGATACCCGGTTGCGGGCTCTTCTCCATCTAATCATCCCATTCTACAGCGTACTCTTCCAAGTAATCTTCACCGGGGCCTCATCGACTCCTGAACACTATATCGAATCTCTACACAGTATGATGATCATACCGAGACAATTCTCCGTTCACTTTCTACAACCGCTTCCAAACCGTCATTTGGCATTCAATCACAGCAATGTTGAAGCCGGAACAGTGTTTACGTTTCCCGGGAAACACACGTCGAAATACTTGCAGACACCCTCAGTAAAATGATGCTGCGCGTATTAACACGCACGCGTCGACACCCATGAACAGCTCTAAACACTCTACAATAGGTCAATTATGGTATGTTTTATGACTTTGAAACAGTCTTCAAACGTCTTTTCGATACAGGTTATCCCGAAATAGTCACGTTTTACGATTTTTCTCCAAATGTTTCCAAAAACGTCCAAATTAGGAAATTTCCAGTGCTTGGGATTTCCGTTTTAGGAAGTCAACACGGCTTGTCCAATATGTCCAACGCAATTTCGATTCCTTTCCCAACTTCTTGTCTTTTTATAAACACCTTTCAACTAAATCACGAGTCCTTCTCAAAGATCTTCAATTGACAACGTCTACTGTTAGTGAATAACAGAGCTTACAGTGTATAACTCAGCCCAGAGAGACGCGTCTTTGATCATAATGACCGACTCAAGAGAGACTTCTGAAGACGTTGATGTATGTTTTGGTCGCCACTTATCAGTACAAGTGTTACTTACTAACGAGCCATTGTAGAATTCTGTCAATTTCAAGGGCTTGAATGAGAAGCAAAAGCACTACTTTGTTGATCCATCCAAGCCAAAGTTCAACGTTGAAGAGACTGCTAAGAGATTCAAGTATCTCTTAGGTTTGACTAGTTTATTCTCCCATTTCATCAACTTCAAAGCTGAAAAGGATCCCAAGTTCAAACAAGTTCTTGACATCATCGAGGGCGAGTCGTCAGACACAACAAAGAAGAAATCGAATGGCAACAATAGAAGAAGAAAGACTGAGAAGGAGGAGGATGCGGAGTTGTTGAGAGATGAAGAGGATGAATCTTCAACGATCTACGAGTTCACTGAATCTCCCGGTTATGTTCAAGGTACCTTGAGAGCATATCAAATCCAGGGTTTAAACTGGCTGATTTCACTGCACGAGAATAACATCTCTGGTATCCTCGCAGATGAGATGGGTTTGGGTAAAACCCTACAGACCATCTCGTTCTTGGGATACCTGAGGTACATTCGTGATATCAAAGGTCCTCACTTGGTTATTGTTCCCAAATCCACTTTGGATAACTGGTCAAGAGAGTTCGCCAAATGGACACCAGAAGTGAATACTTTCATCCTACAAGGTGATAAAGAAACAAGAGCCAATCTTATCCAAGATAAGCTCCTCGCTTGTGATTTTGATGTCTGTATTACCTCATACGAAATCATCATCAGGGAGAAAGCTCAGTTCCGAAAGTTTGACTGGGAGTACATCGTCATCGATGAGGCCCACAGAATTAAGAACGAGGAGTCAATGCTCTCACAGATCATCAGAATGTTCCATTCCAAGAACAGACTATTGATCACAGGTACACCACTACAAAACAACCTGCACGAATTGTGGGCTCTTTTGAACTTCATCCTTCCTGACGTGTTTGCTGATTCTGAAGCATTTGATCAATGGTTCCTCGCTTCAAATGAAGGAACACCAGATCCGTCCATTCCAGAGGATGACAGGGAAAAGTCAAAACAAGATCAAGTCGTCCAACAGTTGCACAAGGTTCTTCAACCATTCCTCTTGCGTCGTATAAAGAATGACGTTGAAAAATCGTTGAAGCCTAAAAAGGAACTCAACCTATACATTGGAATGTCTGACATGCAACGCAAATGGTACCAATCTATTTTAGAAAAGGACATTGATGCTGTGAATGGTGCTAACGGTAAACGGGAGTCCAAGACTCGTCTGCTTAACATTGTGATGCAACTCAGAAAATGTTGCAACCATCCGTATTTGTTCGAAGGTGCAGAGCCAGGTCCACCATACACAACTGATGAACATTTGGTCTACAACTCCCAAAAACTCAAAGTCTTGGATAAACTTTTGAAAAAGCTCAAAGCTGAAGGGTCTCGTGTATTGATCTTCTCCCAGATGTCCCGTATGCTTGATATTTTGGAGGATTACTGCGTTTTCAGAGATTATAAATACAACAGAATCGATGGTCAAACTGACCACGCTGATCGTGTCAAAGCTATCGATGAGTACAACGCTCCAGACTCTGATAAATTCATCTTTCTATTGACCACACGTGCTGGTGGTTTGGGTATTAACCTGACTTCTGCTGATATTGTTGTGCTGTACGATTCTGATTGGAATCCTCAGGCTGACTTACAGGCCATGGACCGTGCTCATAGAATTGGTCAGACAAAACAAGTGAAAGTTTTCAGACTTGTCACAGAGAATGCCATTGAAGAGAAGGTTTTGGAGAGAGCCACTCAAAAGCTTAGATTGGATCAGTTAGTCATTCAACAGGGCCGTAACAATGGTGGTGTACAGCCAGCACAGTCTTCAAAGGCTACAACTAAAGATGACTTGCTCAACATGATTCAATTCGGTGCTGCAGATGTCTTCAAATCCTCCGGCAATGGTACCGATGATGATTTCAATCTTGAGGCAATCTTGGAAAAGTCAGAAGAGAAAACCACTCAGTTGAGCGAGAGATACTCTAAGTTAGGGTTAGATGACTTGCAAAAGTTCTCCTCGGACTCTGCGTACGAATGGAACGGTGAAGACTTCAAGAAGAAAGATCATTCTAAGATTGCAGAGATCACATGGATCAATCCTGCAAAGAGAGAGCGCAAGGAGAACTATTCGATCGATATGTACTACAAGGATGTTCTTAATACTGGTGGAAGAACTACTCAAGATAAGAGATTGCCAAAGCAACCTAAACAGCCAAACATTTTTGACCATCAGTTCTACCCTATCAAGCTTCAAGAGATCTTTGATAAAGAAACAGCCTATTATAGAAAGCAAATTGGTTTCAAAGTCCCCCTGCCAGACGGACCTGCATCGAAATTAGCTGAGAGAGAAGCCCAGCAAAACTTGCAACAACTTGAGATTAAAAACTCAAGACCTTTGACCGAGGAGGAGGAAGCAGAGAAAAACGAGCTTCTTGAGCAAGGTTTCTCCAAATGGTCAAGAAGAGACTTCACTGCATTTATCCAGGCTTGTGCCAAATATGGCTGCAACTCGTTGACTGCGATTTCCTCTGAATTCCCAGAGAAGACTGTTGACGATGTTCGTGAATATGCAAAGGCCTTTTGGAAGAACTACACGCAAATCGAAGGGTACGATCGTTACATCTCACAGATAGAGGCTGGTGAAGATAAAATCCGTAAAGCTCATATCCAGAAGGAGGCCTTGAGGTTAAAGTTATCCCAGTACACCAATCCTCTTCAAGATTTAGTCCTGAAGTTTCCGCCTGCTACCACTAACAGGCGTACCTTTTCTGAGGAAGAAGATAGATACCTTCTTGTTCAGTGTTACCGTTATGGCCTTGACCGTCCTGATCTGTTTGAAAGAATTAGAGATAGCATAAGACTATCACCACTGTTCAGGTTTGATTTTTTCTTCCAGAGCAGAACTCCTAGTGAGTTGAGCAGAAGGGCCAATACCCTTCTGGCTTGTGTTGCGAGAGAGATGGACTCTTCACTCAGCAAGAAGAGAAAATCCACTACTCCTGCTGAAGACGATGCACCACCAAAGAAGACTACAAAGGGCAAGTCTAAGAAATGAACACTACGTTCATTGTTCTATTCTAGTAATTAAATAATCGTATTAAAAGTTCATTAAATTCAGAGTATTCATCTACAGCTTATAAGACAGTGAGGGTTATTACGCTTTAGCTTCTGCAGCCTTTTCAGCCCTTGCCCTTTCTTCCGCTTCGTCCTGTAGCCTTAGCTTCTCTCTCTCTTGTTCTATTTGTATCTCCAAGACACTCTTGGCCTTTGGTTTGGCATCCAAGGGTCTATCAGGTCTTATTCTTAACTTGTCTGGTAGCATCTCAAACTTTGGATGAGCCAAATCACAATCAGGTCCATCGGGACAGAACCCAGTGAGATAGTTTTGACACACAATTCTCTTGATGTGTCTCATCTTACAGTTTGGGCCCTCGGGACAGAACCCCCTGCTATAGTTCATACACTCAGGTACTTTACTCTGTGGATCTATATGGGCGTACTGGCATTCTGGTGTCTGGGTACAGAACCCGTTCTTGGAGAAGAACAGGCACTCGGGCATCTTTCTCAAGTTGTACTCGTGCAAAAACTCACAGTGATCACCCTTCTTACAAAGCCCACGCAGCCAATGCTTACACACGATCTTGTTATGGAAGATCGACGCGACGTGTTTGTTTGGACACTGATCACCTTGTGGACACCCACCATGACCGTTGTAGAACTGGCACACTGGGCGGTCAGGGTCCAGCCCGAAATGGAACTCAGATCTCAGAAAGGGCTCAAACCGGAACTGGTACGTTGTAGGGTTGGCGTGTAAGGCAGACATCGTTATTAGTCTCTCGAGGGCTTAGTAACCAATACCAAATCAGTTGTTTGATTAGTTTCTCTGGTGGAGACCGAATTTGAAATCAACTTTTCAGAGCGAGATCCGGGGGCAAGTTCCCACCGGAACTTGCGACATTTCGAGATTTGGAATTCGAAATTTGCAGTTTTCTCGGCCGAGACAAAGTGACACAAAACCAACTCCACGCAGTCTACAGCCATTTCTGACCCCCACCAGGGATAAACAAAGCAGAGAGCTACTGTTCGTTGAAGATGTATATATGAGCGTCATGGGATTCCATAGATCGATATAAAGGGCCTTGTAGAAGGTTGTACTTTTTTCCTCTATAAGCATCAAGCTTCGAGGTGGTGTTTATTTGTCACTTCAGATGTTGAAAGCGGCAATGATGAAGGACAAGGCGAAGCTGATTTTGAAGCTTGGATCCTCGAAGAACAAGTTTCTGAGGTCAACTCTGTCGGAACCAACTCTCACAATGGTGGTCCATGGAATATGAATGATTCCACGGCTTTGAAGGAACTGAGGAAGTCGTGTTAGTATGTCTGGAGGAGTTTGTAGTTTGCAATTTCCCGGTATCGGTGGTGACCGGTACAACTCACCTGTAAGAGAAGGACTGTAGACAAGGTGATGAAACCGAGCACGGAACTTAGTTTGCCCACAACGACGCCTGTGAAGAGACCAATCAGGGAACCATAACAGAGTTGTCTGTACTTCAAGTTTCCATTCAGCCTGGAGTTCACGACAGCTGGTTGTGGTGCTGTAGGATCCACAGCCTTGATGTTGCTCTGCAGTTTGCTTGTATCGATGGTACCTAGGTTAACGGCCTCGTTTAGGATCTTTGAGTGGGCTTGAAGAGCGAATGCACCTGAGGCACCAACAATCAACGCCAATTTCGAGATCGAGGAACCGCTTCTCGCGTGAACAAGACTTTTCGAGGAAGCTGACCATGATGGATGAAACAAGGTCTGTCTCAACACTCGGTTAACATTGTACTGCTTCACGTTACGTAGCACTGTTTTGAAAGTGGATTGGAAGAACATGGACTCTAATTGTCTAAGGAAAATACCAGCTGAAAACTTGAATACTAAAGTACAACAAGATGTGTATAGAAGTGAATAACTAAAATTCCAAGTCCCTTTTTCGCTTGCTATTGGGCATGTGCTCTCTTAGTCGAAACCACGGATGTCCTGATGTTTCCCTTCTCCTGTAAGTGTAACTCCCTCGGTAACTAAGGTAACCGTTGGGTTGGCCCAAAACTGCTAACGGACACAACTGTTGGATGTTGGCCCAGCTGACTTTGCGGTCCCAACCGAGCGGAGAAGGGGAGGTGTGCTCCATGTGCTGCCTATACTGAAATTTACACTCTGAGGATACCCGGCCTATGGGTAAGTCTCAGAATGGCAAAACCATAACCATGGCAACACCACTCTGGCGTAAAGCGTGGCCCTAACGGGAATTCCACCCGAACCTCTTTTAGAACGTTCGCGCCTTAGGGTATTAGCGTGTCACCGTGCAGTGTGCACACCGTTTGGGGAGGTCGAAATGGGGAACTTCTTCCGTGTAGATATTGGGAGCAACGGAGGGGCTCCTCCAGTGTGTATGGTAAGTGGATCCACATATTATTGAACAAATTGGACCCCCCTACCAGCAAAAAATTGTCAAGCCACCCGACTTTGCTATTTCACCCGATAACATGGAAACTATCAACCTTGTAAAAGATCCTCAACGGTCTCCCATTTTCGAAAACATGGATGCAAGTGAAATTGCACCAAAATGTAACATTAAACACGTCTGACCTAAACATGACATGAGCTCTTCGACTACACTCGGACCCTTCCCACCTCACAATCTCTTGCTTATTCTGGCTTGTGATTTGTAACCTGGAGCTCTGGACGAAAAAAAAAATCCCTGGAAATAACCCCAATAGGCAATCTCCCAAACAGGGCAATCGCTCACGAAGGCCAAAAAAGAGAGTTGTACATATGGTCTGCGCAGCATCTCCAATTCCGGGCTGTCGTTTCTTTTCGCGCCGTGATGTTTGTTCTGCACGGAAAACCCCAAAGAGGAAAGACATGAATACAAGCGGAAGAGAAAAAAAGTTTCTCGGGTTACGCACAATTTTTGGCAAATAAATGGCACAGGTCTCGCTCAAAAGTTTGAGTGGAATTGAGCACTGGCAAATCCCACACACTCTCCTTCCCAATCCAGAAGGTGTAATTATCTGCAGAGCAAATCTCCTCTCACTTATAAAAACACACAATTCCTACGTTGTCATAGAAAGGTTGACACGCCAATAAAAAGGGCCCCACGACCATTTTCCCACTATAAGATTTGATCTCATCGCAGTAAGTTCAACGGCTTTTTTTTGTGTCCTCGAGAAGCTTTTTCTTTCTTTTTTGGCGGGCTTTACCAGAATCTTTGACGCATCTAAAGCACACGACTGGTCAAAAGAGGTATAACAAGCGCGTTTTGACAGCTTCCTTCCCATCCAATTGATCCTGCTACACGCCGATTCGTGACACATTCGAACGATGGATTTCCATAACAAGCACCTTCTTGAGTCCACTGTCAACCAGCTGCAACCGCAGAGGCTCTCCAACAATGTGTGGCTAGGTCCTCTGAACTCGGTTGCACAGTCAGAGTTCCTCTCCCAGAACAACATCAAGTACATTTTCGGTATAATGGCTTCACAGAAGTGTGCCTACTACCTGAAGGACTTGTCCCCGAAGCAGTTTTGCTGCGTGTCCATAGACCCACACTTCAACATTCAAAAGCTCACGGAGGATGAAGGCGAGTGTCTCATGAGATTCAACACACAGTTCACGCCGGCGGTCTCCACGATCTCGGGCAACACGATCACCAACGCCGTTATAACAAGCCTGGACTTCCAGAAGATGTTGGAGGACTTCCTGCTGTTGGTGCATGCCATACAGCACTCCGATCCAAGTGGTGGGATCCTCTTGTTTTCGCTGAACGGTAACGACAACTTGTTGTCAACATTTGCCCTATCGTACATCCAGGACGCCCATAACTGTGACGTTGCACAGAGCTACAGCTATTTGAAGTCCATCAGACCTTCTGTGAAGGAATTCGATGAGTACGGATTCTTCGCCAACGAAGTGGCCAAGTTCCATCTCAACCACAAGGCAAGAAAGCAGTTTGATACCTCAGTATCACCAATGAGAACCAAGAGAGGCGCTTGCGATGTGACTGACCACGAGGAGGCTGAGCGTCGTAGTCCGAGGGTGTTGAAAAGAACTGCTCAATAGAGCTGAAATTGACTGAATTATTCATCATTGGTTATTATTGTTGTGCTTGTACACGGGCGCTTGGTTTATTAGTACGAGTTTTATTACGGGATGGTATCATACAAAGCTAGGGCTTTTATATTGAATTTTATGTGTGTTTGTCATTAACTGGTTTGTAGTACCTGAAAGTATCCTTGAACTGTGATCATTTCTTCAAGATGGTGATAACATCCTCGTCTTCCAAAACGTGGTTCAAACCAACGTGCTGTGGTGCATGCTTAACACTCGACCCGTAGACGACGGCACTTCTAAAGTCGTCAACCAAGGACTTGTGGATCTGGTTACAGAAGTCTTCGACGGTACAACGGTCAGATCTCAACACAACAGGCTCGGAGAAGTCTGGCATTCTGCCCTTTGGTTTGGTGTATACCCTCACGAGGTTGAGTCTGTCCCACATCACTTCCAACAGCTCATCCAGATTCCACTCCTTACCAGAACTGATAGGCACGGCGTTTGGCACTCTCTTCAAAAGATCCAACTCTTCTATAGAGAATGAGTCGATCTTGTTCAGGACGTAAATAGCTGGGATATACTTCCGCTGCGAGGCCTCTAGAACGTCGATCAAATCGTCAACAGTGGCGTCACATCTGAATGCAATGTCCGCAGAGTTGATCTTATATTCACTCATGACGGCTTTGATTCCATCTTTATCCAGCTTGGTCAGTGGGACTGTGTTTGTGATGTTCAGCCCACCTTTCTCCTTCTTCTTGATGAGGATATTTGGTGGCTCCTTGTTCACTCTAATACCAAAGCCCTCCAACTCCTTCTCGATGATCTGCTTGTGTGCCAAAGGTTTGTTAACGTCCAACACAATGAAGATCAGGTTACAAGTTCTTGCAACCGCAATAACCTGCTTACCACGACCTCTACCATCCTTAGCACCTTCGATGATACCCGGCAGATCCAACAGTTGCAGTTTGGCACCTTTGTACTTGATGATACCTGGGACCGTTGTCAACGTGGTGAACTCGTACTCCGCAGCCTCAGAGTGCGTACCAGTCAGTTTGGACAGCAAGGTCGACTTACCAACGGACGGGAACCCCACGAACCCAACAGTCGCCACACCTGTACGTGCAACGTCGAAACCGACACCTCCACCACCACCTCCTCCGGTTGGTGTGAGAAGCTCACGACGGAGCTTGGCCAGTTTGGCCTTGAGTTGACTGTCCGCAAGCGTTAGTACAATATCACTACACCATAATCACTCTGTGCCCACTTACCCCAAATGGTACTCTGTGGCCTTATTCTTCTGTGTTCTGGCCATCTCATCTTCGATGGCCTCTGTAGATGGAACGTCCTGTTAGTAAACCGCTTCGCTGATGGCCTCTCTAATGCCCTCGCTAATGCCCTCGCTAATGGCCTCGCTGATGGCTTCCACTCGCCACAAGAAACACACAAAAACTTACTGATCTTCTCAACTGTCGTCATCTTGAACTCAACTGCCCGTCTCTACTCGTCAACGCAACGATACAACAGCCACTTCCAACCACCAGAACCAGCTACAACGCAGTGCTATCCACCTCAAAGCAGTTTTTTTCCACTTTTTGCTCTGCCATACAAAGAAGACGAAGAGTATGGAAAAAAATCCAAAGAGGCAATTTTCGCGGCCTCTCGGTTTTTTTTTTTGCTTTTTGCGTTGTCCACGCTACAAAACTTTTCACTCAACTTCGCAAGCGCTCTTCGAAGGCCATCGCAGCATCAACGCTAATTTGGGCTTCACAACACTGCTGAAACAATGGCTAAGAAGTGAGTTTTACGTGTGAGCGTTAGGCGGTATCTGTGTTACTAACGGCGGTTGCGGCAGGGATAAGAAAGGTAAAAAAGCCGGTGACTGGGACGACGATATCGAGTACGATCAGCCAGAAGCTGAGGAGTTTGGGACGCCGGCGGCACCTGCTGAAGGAGAGCAGAGCGGGCCAGTGGGCGCCAGCGAGGCGACTGAAGACGACTTCGGGAACGACTTCATGGCCACGTTGAAGAAGAACAAGGCCAACAAGGCCAAGAAGGCTGAGGAGGAGAAGGCGACGAAGGGTAACGGTCCTGTGATCAAGTCCAAGAAGGAGAAGGAGAAGGAGAAGAAGGAGAAGGAGAAGCAGAGAAAGAAAGAGCAGGCTGCCAGAAAGAAGGCCCAGCAGGCTGCGCAGAAGGCCGCTGGTGGCTCAAATGAGGCCACGCCTGAGCCAGCTGAGAAGAAGGATGAGAAGAAGAGCGAAGGTGCATCTGCTCCAAGCTCAACGCCTGTGCCAAAGGGCAAAGGTAAGAAGGTCCCAGCTGGGTTGGCAGCTTTGAGAAAGCAGTTGGAATTGCAAAAGCAAGCCGAGGAAGAGGCCCGCCGTCTCGCTGAGGAAGAAGAGAGACTGGCCAAAGAGGAGGAGGAAAAGGAAAAGGCAGCTGAGGCTGAGAGAGAGGCTGCTCGTGAGGTTAAGCGTGAAAAGGAAAGACTCAAACGTGAAAGACTCAAAGCTGAAGGTAAGCTCCTAACAAAGAAGCAGAAGGAGGAGAAGAAGTTACTCGAACGTCGTCGTGCGGCCCTTCTTGCATCTGGCAACGTTGTTGTTGCCGGTTTGAACTCTGGATCTGGCGAAGAGGCACCAAAGCCAAAGAAGGTTGTCTACGGTAAGAAGAAGAAGACGAACAACAAGGCAGCTGAAGATTCTAAGAAGGAACAGGAGAGACTTGAGGCTGAAAAGAAGGCCAAGGACGGTGAGGACGAGGATGAAGCATTGGTTGATGACTGGGAACAAATGGCCTTGTCTGATGATGATGAAGAAGAAACCGCTGCTGCTGAGCCTGCTAAGGAGGATACATCTGACGACACCACCCAGACTCAAGAAACCTCTGAGATTGAAGAAGACAAGGTTGATGCTGCTGCACAGGCCGAAGCTGCCATTGCTGCTGCTGAGGCCCAAAAGAAGGCTGAGGAGGAAGCTTCTGCTGCTGCCACCCGTTCCGTCGAATCTAAGCCAAAGAAGAATGGTAAGAAGAGTCCTGAGCCTAGCTCTGACATGCGTTCCCCAATTTGTTGTATCTTGGGTCACGTTGATACTGGTAAGACCAAGTTGTTGGATAAGATCCGTCAAACAAACGTGCAAGGTGGTGAAGCTGGTGGTATTACCCAACAGATCGGTGCCACCTACTTCCCAATCGATGCCATTAAGCAAAAGACCGCTGTCATGGCACAGTACGAGAAGCAAACCTTTGATGTTCCAGGTTTATTGATCATTGATACACCAGGTCACGAGTCTTTTACAAACTTGCGTTCTCGTGGTTCCTCGTTGTGTAACATTGCCATCTTGGTTATCGATATCATGCACGGTTTGGAACAACAGACTTTGGAGTCCATCAGATTGTTGCGTGATAGAAAGGCTCCTTTCATTGTTGCTTTGAACAAGATTGATAGATTGTACGATTGGCAATCTACTCCAAACAACTCCTTCAGAGACTCATTCGCAAAGCAGTCAAGAGCAGTTCAACAAGAATTCGAAGACAGATACACCAAGATCAAGGTTGCCCTTGCTGAACAAGGGTTGAACTCTGAGCTTTACTTCCAAAACAGAAACATGTCCAAGTACGTGTCCATCGTTCCAACTTCCGCTGTTACTGGTGAAGGTGTTCCAGATTTGTTGTGGTTGTTGTTGGAGTTGACTCAAAAGAGAATGTCCAAGCAATTGATGTACTTGTCCTCTGTTGAGGCTACCATCTTGGAAGTTAAGGTTGTTGAAGGTTTTGGTACTACAATTGATGTTATCCTGTCTAACGGTTATTTGAGAGAAGGAGATCGTATTGTATTATGTGGTATGAACGGTCCAATTGCAACGAATATCCGTGCTTTGTTGACACCTCCACCTGCTCGTGAGTTGCGTATCAAATCCGAATACGTTCATCACAAGGAAGTTAAGGCTGCATTAGGTGTTAAGATTGCTGCCAATGACCTTGAAAAGGCTGTTGCCGGTTCTCGTTTGTTGGTTGTTGGTGAGGATGATGATGAAGAAGAGATGATGGAGGAAGTTATGGATGATTTGACCGGTCTTCTTGATTCCGTTGATACATCTGGTAAAGGTGTTACCGTCCAAGCATCTACTCTTGGTTCTTTGGAAGCTTTGTTGGATTTCTTGAAGGATATGAAGATTCCTGTCATGTCTATTGGATTGGGTCCAGTGTACAAGCGTGATGTTATCAAGGCAACAGCCATGCTTGATAAGGCTCCAGAATATGCCATCATGCTTTGTTTCGATGTTAAGGTTGATAAAGAAGCTGAGCAATACGCCGAACAAGAAGGAATTAAGATCTTCCAAGCTGACATTATTTACCATCTCTTCGATGCCTTCACAGCTTACCAGGAGAAACTTCTTGAACAACGTCGTAAGGACTTCTTGGAGTACGCTACCTTCCCATGTGTGATGAAGACAATTCAAATCATTAACAAACGTAACCCAATGATCATCGGTATTGATGTCGTTGAAGGTTCTCTAAGAATTGGTACACCTGTCTGTGCTGTGAAACTTGACCCTGATACTAAGCAAAAGACAACTATGGTGTTAGGTAAGGTTGTTTCCATGGAAGTGAACCACAAGTCTGTGGATATTGTGAAGAAGGGTACAACCAATGCTGGTGTTGCTGTTCGTTTGGAGAACCCATCCAACGCTCAACCAGTTTGGGGACGTCACGTTGATGAGAAAGACACATTGTACTCGTTGATTACACGTAAGTCTATTGACACCTTGAAAGATCCAGCATTCAGAGACACTGTTCCAAGAGAAGACTGGCTCCTGATCAAGTCCTTGAAACCAATCTTTGACATCAAATAATCTCCTCCTGGAATATATCATATATATCATCATGTTAATGTCCATGTTTTTGTTTAACCATATTTGTAGGCATCATTTGATCTATCAATGCATTAAAGATTGTATATAAAAGAGATATCTAATGTACAATAAAAACATGAGTGTAACTTTTCTTCCAAATCCATTAAAATGTGTTGATCACACATCCTTTGGCATTTGTGCCAATAAATCGAAACCACCAGTACCAACACCGGACAACTTACCCAACACGATACGAGCAGATGGAGATTCAAGCTTTTCACGATCGCTATCAAGAACTGCCTTAGTGAGGAACTGACAAGTTGTCTCATAAGACATCTTCATGAAAGCAGACGTAGATGAATCAATACCTTGACGGTTAAAGGCGAGATATGTACCTTCCCTAGTCATCATATCACCAATCAAATCCAAATGACGAGAAGACACTGTAATGGCATAACGGCCGAAAACGTTCTGGATTTCATTAACAATTGTGTTTCTAGCAGCCTCAACACCATAAGTCTTCAAGACAGCGTAGACATCGTTGGAGGTGATACCATTGACGTCGATGAAGTCATCTTGATCCCACATGGCCTGGAAGTTAACACCTTCAGTTGTCAACACACGCTTTCCATTCTCTGGTTGTGGGTGGAGACAACGGCCAATACGTGGAACCTCCTTAACGACAAAGCGACGACAGATGTCTTCAATGATGTTGACCATCAACAGCTTCTGTGTGCCAGCAGGAAGCACAAGACTGAACTGGCACCAAGCACCGTTGGCGTCATCGAAATCAAACTTAGTGATAAGATCGTGTGCACTCAAGACTGCGGATTGTCTGTCACGGGCATTCTTGGTTGATACAGTCTTCTTGGACTTTTGCTCCTCTTCATCAGAATCGGAATCTGAGTCAGAGTCATCTGAGTCGGAGTTCATCTCTTCATCAGACTTCTCAGCAGCTCTCATAGTTTCCAGTTCATCATCATCCGGGCCATCGTAGGAAACGGATTCCTTGCCCTTAGAACGTTGCTTTTCGTCATCAGCATCTTCATCTTCGCCTGCCTTTGAAACAAGTTCGACGTCCTTGAACTTAGGAAGAGCAGTACCAACCTCTGGCATGGACTCATTATTAGGCTTCTTCTGTTTCTTGACCTCTTTGATGATAGCCACCTCGACAGTTCTTAAGAACTTGTCCACAATGATCTTCTCAAGGTGCTCCTTGGATACATCATACTCCAGATGGTACTCTTCACTGTTGAAGAACTTGAAGTCAATGTTGTAAGCACGACCCGCATTTTGGCCTTCACCAGCAGTTTCAGTAACAGTGACATGATCCACAAGCTCAGAGAATACAACCTTAGCAACAGAACGACAGAAAGCATCAGCCATATCGTCATCCACTTCATCTTTGATTGGCAGTGTCATCTGTGGTGTCTTGATAGAAGCGGAGGCTGTCATAATGATTTCTCTCATACGAGGAATACCCAAAGTAACGTTTGCTGCACCGTGACCAGCAAAGTGGAAAGTGTTCAAGGTCATTTGGGTAGATGGTTCACCGATAGATTGGGAAGCAATAATACCAACAGCCTCACCAGGGTTAATCAGAGAACGCATGTACTTCAGTTGCATCAACGCAGCAAACTTCTTCTCAGAGATTCCGGATTTCTTGAAGAGTTGTGGATTCTCAGAAATGAAGTCATCCAGCTTCTTGTCAAATTTCTCAGAAACAGATCCCAAGTATTTTGCTGGGTTGTAGACGGACAATACTGGGTCATATTTCGTTGATTCAGAATTCTTCTTGAGGTGTTTTTTAACCTTCTTGGAATACTTCGATGCAACCTCGGTGTCCAAATGCTCAATCAAGTGACCTGGATTGTATTTGGCTAACAGAGCATTGTAGTTATCCATACAGAACTTGAACTGATTCATGTGAGATTCTTTGGTAACATCAATGGCATCACCACCGTACAAGAATTGAATCAGTCTACCATCACCATCTCTGACAGAGTTATCATATGTGACATGAACACCCTCCAACTGTTTAGTCAAACAACGCTGTAAGTAACCGGATCTAGAAGTCTTCACAGCAGTATCAATCAAACCTTCACGACCAGCCATACAGTGGAAGTAGTATTCCTGTGGTCTAATACCAGAATAGAAACGTCCCTTGATGTAACCACCTGCTCTGGCATCAGTCTCGTATGCTTTGAAGGATGGCAAGGTCTTACCACTCACCATGACAGGCACACGTCTACCTTCCAAAGCCTGTTGACCTAACAAACACATAATCTGAGACACGTTGACATTAGAACCCTTGGCACCAGATAAGGCCATCGCTTGCATGGAGTTATCTGGGAATCTCTTCATAGTACCATCAGGAACACACTTTGAAACGACTTGGGATGTAATGGCGTTAACCTTCGACTGGGTGACAGCATCGAGAATACCAGATTTATTGTCATCACGGTAAACTTCTTCCAAACGTTTCAAGAACTCAGGATCATTCTGTTTGACATCTTTATCCAAGTTTGTCACCTCAGCAGCAGCAAGACGACCGACATCAACAGATGTGAGCAAGATCTCGGATCTCCATTTGTTACCTTCTTCAGTCAAACGCAAGTCATCCATACCACAAGTGAATGCAGTATTCACGATGTAGTTTGTGAAAAGTCTACCAAGCACGGATAAAGACTTACCAGCAACAGCTGGACCATAAACTTCGTGCAAAGAGTGGACAATACCATATTCGGAAGCACCATATTGGGACTTATCCAGAATACCACACAACAGCTCACCATTTCTGAATAAAACCTCGTTCTCCTTTGATCCCTTACCCCAGTATTCATTCTTGATCTTATTCTTAGAGAGCAAATTGATACCTGGTTTATCAGCAGGAGTAATGTTCAACAAAACAGTTGTGATAATTTGCTTACCAGTCCACAGGGGTTGTGGTTTGTAAATAGCTGGTGGAACAGTGACCAATTTTGGTCTTGTAGAGTGACCATCTTCTGGACGAATACAAGAATATATGTACTGTTGGTATTGCTCCCTGGTAAAGAATGAGTCCTTGTTCGTGATCCAGACACCAGCAGAAATGTGATCTTGAATCAAACCTCTTAAAGGAGAACCAGAAGTTGGAGTCAAGTATTGCGAGTCGGTGTTTGCTAAGTTCAAAGCTTCAGCTCTTGCATTTTCGTTTTGTGGGAAATGCATATTCATTTCATCACCATCGAAATCAGCATTATAAGCATTAGTGTTGGCATAATGCAAACGCAGTGTCTTTTCACCAGGCAGGACTCTAACCTTATGACCCATCATAGAAGCCTTGTGCAAAGTTGGTTGACGGTTCATGATCACAACATCCTTGTTCTTGATATGACGGTAAACCTTCTTGTTAATAACATGAGATGTGTTACCAGATGGAGTCATCAATTGGTTGGCCAAGGCCTTACGTTGGTCCAAAGTCATACCAATCAAAGATATCAGAGAACCATCCTCATTTTGAATTTGGATGGCACCTGGCCACTTGTCGGGTCCGTTAATCACAGCCTGACGCAACTCTGCAGCGTTGTGAGCAGTGACCGGCTCAGGATAAGTGAGCTTTCTGGCAAACACTGGTGGGACACCAATCTCGTTTGTCTCGATGTTTGGATCTGGGGAGATAACCGAACGAGCAGCGTAGTTCACACGTTTACCCATCATGTGCTTTCTGAACAAACCTTCCTTCTTCTCAAGGGCTTGCTTCACACCCGGAACTGGATTACGAGAGGCGCCGGCATTTTGGTTCTTTGTAGAATCAATGAAGGCATTGACATCGTTTTGAATGGTGACAAATGCATTCATGAGTCTGTTGAAAGTGATTTTTCTATCATCAGCAGTCATCTTGTCCTTTTCAACGGTGGAGATTTGGTCATTTAAATCACGGATGAGCAAAGATGTTGTCAAAATCTTGGACAACAGCTCATTTTGAGAGTTTTCATGGACCTCTTCACCAAGTTTCGAAGGCATACGGAATCTTGTTGGTGGAACCACAACAGCTTGGAGGAAAAACAGGTCTGGTGAAGTTCTATCCGTAGCTTTTGGTCTTGAGTGGAACAAGAAATGAATGATTCTCTCCTCCCTCTTGAAGAGAGCACGCATGATGTTTCTGACCTCAGTGCTCAAGACGTACTTGGATCCCTTAGATACTGTTCTTCTTTGAGGAGCATCCAGGTCATGATCACCACTTGCCTTCTTGTTACCAGCCTTGATCATGTTTTGACGCGATTGACCCTTGACTCTGTTGTTAATCTCCTGTTTATCGGTCAATGGGTTTTCAAAGATTTTGGTGAATCCATCTTTTCTGAAAGTTGGTGAGAACATGGAACAGTTATCACATTTCTTTCTGGACAAGATTCTCTTGTAGAAATCGTGGATCAGCTTCTTACGCTCCTCGTTAACAGAGGCCGTTTGAATACCATACTCGCTAGTTCTTCCCTCTGACAATGCCTTGGCGACGGAAACATCAACGAATTCTTCTCTTCTGGCAATGAGGTCCTTCTCAGCCTGCGGGTTGGACGACAGGAATCCTTCCTCCTCGGCCTCGTCCTCCTCGACATCCAAGTCAAGACGCATATTGTCAATCTCAGCTGTCTCCAGCAGCAGTCCGTACTGTATGAGTCTCAGCTTGCAGGCAAAGAGATGGACCTCCAATGACTTGAGCTTGAACTTGTGGCAGTAGAGACAAGCAGATCTCAGAAAGATGTAGAGTTGGTTGAAGAACAGCGGGTTGTAGACTGGAATAGGCAGGTCGATATGACCTTGATGACCAGGACAGTGTTTATCATCCAGTCCACACGTAGCACACAAGTTCCTCAAAAACGCTCCGAGAGCCAAATCGTACAAACCGCCAGAGATGGGATGACCCAGGTTGTCAAAGACTGTTGGGTTCGTGATCTGTTTAGCAGACAGCTTGCGGATCTCATCTGCAGTAAGAGCACCAAAGTCCACTGAGACAATCTCTGAACCGACAGGTTTAGCGATATCCATTGTTGTACACTCGAACTTGGCCTTGTTTGTGTCCTGTTAAAGTGTTCTTTGTTGTGTTTTGAAAGAGGAAAATTTTGGCATGAAAAAGAAGCAGAGGGAAAAAAATTTGATGCGGTCCGCGCACTCTTAGGCGATGAGGTTGGAGGAGTTTTCATTAGATCGGAAATCCGGTTTGGTAGTCATCGAAGGTGTATTCTGTTCCAGCAATGGGTGTAGTACGGGCTGATAATGCGTGGTGTAATGTTCAATTGAGGACGGAGACTGGTTTCCCAGAAGAATTAGGGAGTAGCAGTTTCTAAAAAGGGAATATGGGACAAGATAAAAGAGGAGCCGAGTCCTCGGAATTCCACTAGATCCGGAACTTCTTCCCTCGGATCTCGCTCCTACGGTTTAATTCAGCAAAAAAATCTCGACAGCGGTTAATTTTTATGCTTTGTTTACACAAAAACAAAACAAAAAAAAAACATTCAACCCGACAAATCAGATCTCTCTAAACAGCAACGAGAAAGAGGTGAACGTAGACGACTGTTAGGTACTCTCTGTTTGATATGTTTGGAGCCTCTAACAACAACGCTACGTCTGGTGGAGGGCTCTTTGGGAATCAGAGCACTTCTTCGAACGGAGGTTTCAGCTTTGGGAATTCCAATGCCAACGGTGCTGCCAATGCCAATGGCGCCAACAAGAACACCTTCTCCTTTGGTAACAGCAGCACATCCTCTCCTGCCGGGTTGTTTGGTAATTCGAATGGCAATGTGAAGGCGCCAGGTGCCGGAGGCCTCTTTGGAAGTAACTCCGCCGCTACCATGAGTACTCCTCAACAACCTGCTGTGTCGTCAGGCAATTTGTTTGGTAGCAATAACAACAACAACAATAACAACGCGGCTGGTGGGTTGTTTGGACAGAAACAGAACACTTTTGGAGCCAACAATCAGGGTGGTGGACTGTTCAGTAACAATGCCACTTCAGCTTCCAAACCGCTCTTTGGTAATGCAGCGGTGAGTACACCAGCTCCAACAAGCGGAGGACTATTCGGTAACAACGTTGCTTCTAGTACAAAGCCATTGTTTGGTAACTCCAACAGCAATACCACATCATCGTCGGGACTTTTTGGAAACAGTTCAAATCAACAAGGGTCGTCGCTTTTTGGAAAATCGAACACAGCATTCAATCAACCGTTGATGAACAACGCAACTCCCGTGAAACAGTATAACTTCAAAGATTTGCCTAAATCGTTGACAGATTCGACAAAGGCCAATAAAACAATAAACCTCACTGAGTCTTCTAGAAAAAGAAGCTTGTCTTCAGTCAATGGATCAGCTGTACCTCAGGGGAAATCTGCATTGTTGGAGAAATTTGGATCGAGATTCTCCACTATCCAATCACAAGTAAACTATAACTCCGAGGGCCTATTTTCTCCAAAGAAGGATCTGATCCAGTCAATGCTGAGATCTGAAAGGTCTCATGAGACAAACTCAGCTGTTAGCAAACTTCCCCAAGACCGTTTTTCATCAAATGTGGTTTCCTCAAGATCAATGACAACCCCAAGATCCATGTCCACCGACTATCTCAAGTTAAAGATTAACCCATCAAGAACTGAATCTAGAAGATTGAAGATATTTGGTGATTCTGGTGGAGCAAAGAAGGTTAGAATATTAGGCAAGGAAGAAGTTAAAGACTCTTTTGTTGATGATTCGAACGGCAACGCTGAGCTTGATCAAACACACCTCTTGTCAACGTCTCCGAATAAAAAGGAACAAGATAAATTTGCTGAGACTATATCAGGTGTATCATCTCAAGACTCTGAATATTGGTGCTCTCCTTCAATAGAGGAGTTACAGACGCTTCCTCTGAGACAGCTTGCGGAAGTGCCAGGGTTTACCATAGGAAGAAAAGGTTATGGTGTTATTAGATTTGAGCTTCCTGTTGATTTGACTGCCTTTTGGTCGGACTTGAAGGGCAACTTATTTGGTAACATTGTGAAGATCAACAAGAACCACACCGTTGAAGTATATCCTAACGGATCCGTTCCTTTGGGCACTGGCTTGAATGTCCCAGCTATTATCACTTTGGAAAAAGTGTTTCCAATAACTAGACGTAAAGTTGCTCTGAGCTCAGCAGAGAAAGACATTGAACATCGCTTGTTTGTTAAGAAGCTGAAAGAGCTGAAAGACATGGAATTTGTGACCTATGACCCTATTAATGGTTCATGGACGTTTAAAGTACAACATTTCAGCATTTGGGGGTTAGTGGAAGAAGATGATGCTGTTGTCGATATTGAAGAGGAACTTGCAAAGGCGAAAAGAAAAATTGCATCAGCAGAACCAGCAGAACCGACACAATCACTAAAGAGACCAACTCCTCCAGCAGTGTCGAAAAGTACTCAAAAGGTTATGAAAACAAACAACTTTGCCGAAGACACATTTCTCTACAAAAAGCAAAATGACAATAACACCTACGAATTCGATACAACTTCCTTCATTCCAGGGAGTTTCTTCTCCCCAGATGTTGATAATGAAGAGCATGTTGAAGAACATAACGACGAGATAAATACTGAAAATATACTTTCAGACTCTAGTGTTGATGATGAGGAGGTCAATGCAGCTGTGCCTAGTCAGTTGGGATTTGATAACGATGACTCGCTTTCTCCGGAGGACTTTGAAATGGTTGAAAAACAGTTTGAGCCGGAAGCCTTGGGTCAACAAGACTTTGATGTCTTGGACGCGAATCCATCTCTGAGCATTAGTGATGATTGGGATACACAATTGGAGTTATGTTCCCGTTATGATTCTGTTTTTGCTAGTGATAAACTGAAACAGACCACCATTTTTGAGGGGCCCTTTTCCAAAAACCTGACAGCTGGTGATCTAGACAAGTTGCTATATGGAGATTTTTCTAAAGTTCTCAAATCGCACCAGGCCATCAGAGATGAACTCAGATTCTCAAATTATTCGTTCGTTGAATTCTCGGCATCAAATAAGCTATTGAGACAGACATCTCAAACGACATCGCATGTAAGTGCAAAATCTATCTACTTTCTATATGACTCTGATAATGGGCAGTTCTTAAAGTCTGTTTTCAGAAACCATCTATCATGCTCAAAAATTGTGGAAAGAAGCAATGGATTCCCAAAAGTTGGGCCAAACAAATGCTTTGACTTTAGACAGATCGCCAACAGCCTAAGCTATGATTTTTCACAGGAGCAGGGAACTGTTTGGGAACTGGCATCTGCATTGTTTGACAACAACACCAACGAGGAAATTGTCGGCCTTAATGACACCAGCGTTGTCAATAGAGTCTTGGAAATACAACGCCGTGAAGCCTTGATCTCATGGATCAAAAATGATATTCAGTCAGCAATCGACGCCAAATTGGATGCTTCAAACGACACCTTTGAACAGATATTCTTCCTTCTCAGTTCTTTCAACATATCAAGTGCTGCTAAACTTGCTATAACATCTAATAATCTTCATTTATCTGTTTTGATCTCGTTGCTTGGTTCAAATGACCCTGAAGTGAAATTAAGTGCTGGGAAGCAACTTGAGGTTTGGAAACGCAACGCTGTTCTTCAAACAATTCCTTCGGGGCTTGTAAAGATTTACCAATTGCTCAAGGGAGATGTCTTGGCCACTGATCTAATTGATGGTCTCTCACCAAGCGTTTCTTGGAGAACCAAATTGGGTCTACTTCTTTCGTACGGTGACATCAATGAGTCTTTAGCTACACTCATTGGATCGTTTATTGATTCTGAGAGTGCATCAATTCCCGAGCAAGATCAAACTTTCTTCAACCTTTTCAAGCTATTTGTTTTCAAACACCATTCGATTTATGATATTTCTGAGATCTTTGCGTTGCTCAGAGGCTCTAAGTTGTACGATGTCACTTTACAATGGTATTTGTATGAAATTCTTTTCAGATCGACCAAGCAACTATCTTTTGGTGCTGATAATGAGTTCCTTGGAGATCGTACAACGTTACTCTTCAGTGAAGAATTGCAATCGATGGGGTTATGGGAAGAGGCACTCTTTGTGCTTTTGCATTTGACGAACAACAGTGCGTGCGAGTCCTCGATTACTAGACTGTTGTCCACTAACCCACAGATCTTAGAGAATGATGATGTTACTGAACGATTAGTTCAGCAGTTATCAATTCCACAATCTTTGGTGTCTGAATGTAAGGCGCTTCATTGCAGATACACTGGAGACCACTGGAAGGAAGCACAGTATTTATTGGATGCTGGCAAATATGACGAAGCTCATAGAGTGATTGTCTCGTTTGTCGCCCCGGATGCTGTCATCAACAATGGTTCCAAGCTTGGTGAGTTGGAATCCTTGATATCACAATTCCCAGAGCGTCCAAATATCGAAGGCTGGAACATTGGCGTATCTGTTTACAAGAACTATTTAAAACTTGTCTCATCAAAGTCAACCGCACAGTCACCATTGCGCTTCCTCATTGAGTCCCTTCCTTTGGTCAAGGCCTACAACTTCCGGATGAATGTTGCCCTTCAACTCATGTCCAAGTTTGTTGCCGATAAACTAGCTCAATTACAGAGTAAAGAGGGATCTGGTGTATTGGATTTAGATGTTTCCAAGACCGATAAGCTCCCTCTTGGAGAGAGCGATAAATCTGCGGTGATGGTTCTTGATCGTTTCTTGAAAAGAGAGGCACTATCTTACTGATTTAGATTGTTCAACTAGGTACATTACGTTGTTTTCATAGAGAGTGTGTTTGTATAAGAAATGTATCAATTGAAAGAAAAAGAATCATATTTATGTCTTCCGTTGTAGCGTTTCGTTTAATGGAAACTGGAGATGGTTTTTTTTTGTCTCTCTTTTTTTTTCGTTTCGAATGGCCAAAACAGCTGAGGGAGAAATAGGGAAGAAAACCCCAGAAGTGGTGATCCACTTTAACGTCATAGGGCCCTCATTGATATCTGTGAAGTTGTTTCTGCACAATTGCTAAGAACCGTCTCCCTTTGTATCTCCAGGGTTAGGAATAATGGCTGAGAACTCCATTGAGAGACCACAGACCCCGCTGAAGTCTCGGGCTGTACCTATCCAAGATGCCAATGTTAGTGTCGATTTGAAATCACCGGTATCATCACCACAATCAATGCTGAAATCACCCACTTTCACGCCTTCATCGCTGGGGACAAGTTATCAGGTCTCGAGTTCCCCTTCGCCCCTGCTGCTTGCTGTGGATGAGGTGACTCCGTTGAACCCTCGCGATGAAGAGTCGGCGCTATACTCAGATTCTGATGGCGCTTCGCAAATCAGTGCACTGCCATCGAGAGAAGAGAGGCGTAAGGGCAGAAAGAAGAGCAGTAGTGGGAAGAATCGAAGAAGGAAAAGTGATTCAGAGAAGAGTGGGAGAAGTGCGAGGTCCTCTAGTGGGCAAAGGGACAAGATTCCTCAAACTACCAAGATATTTCGAAACCTGTTGGTGTTGGAGGAGAGCTTACGACAACAGTATAAGGAGCAGAAATCCTTACGGCGTAAGTTTACAATGTTTTTAGCAATCTTGGCTGGTCTTGAAGGTTTCGTGATATACTTACTCTATTTCACAAGTCCTGTGTTGTCTCAGTTTAGACAATATTCCATGAAATTCTCTGCCTTTTTCATTCTAGTCACACTTGTGCTCTTCCATTTGTCAGGTGAATATCGTCGAACCATTGTCATACCCAGACGCTTCTTCAACTCGATGAACAAGGGTATCAGACAGCTAAACCTTCGACTTGTTAAGGTTAAGAGCCCTATGAGTGATAAAGTTGTTGACTTTATAAGGTATTCCTTATCAATAATCCACTACTGGTGCTCGAATGTATTCCAGTATTCAGGTCCATTGAAGAGGACGTTTATTGGAAGGTGGATCGAGTTGGCCCTCCGCAAAATTGAGCTTACATCTCAGCCTCGTATCGGTGCTACAGATTTGAAGTTGGTTTTAAACCCCAGAAGTTTCAATTCTGAGATAAGAGAAGCCTGGGAGCTCTACAGAGATGAATTCTGGTCTAGAGAAGGTGCCAAGAGGAGACAGCTATCCAACGGAGATGAAAAGTCCAAACAGGTGATGAACAAGGAGTCATTGGTTGAGAAGCACAGACAACAAAGAAAAAATCGTAGAAAGAGTAAACTTGATGAAAAGTCACTCTTATCATCCAAATGAAGTCATGCAGATGGATCAAAATGATGTATAATTTAATAATGAACCGTAAATAGTAGTGACTCTTATGAGATTGTTTACGGTAGAAGGTGGTGCTTTACCACATCATCAATGTTTGTATGGTGAACTTTTTGGTCTCAGTTGTATTCGTTCGCTTTGCTAATCGTTAAGATCCTACTGAGACATACACGGGCAAAACTGGTCGAACGATCTGTTGGTGGCCGTAAGCCTTGGGAACCGCTAGCTTTCTTCAGAACAACTTTCGGCCACTTGGTAATTCTGGTTTGAATATTATGGAGGACTTGAAGTCTCTACATTACAGTATTTAGGACTACAGCCTAGAACTCATTTATCGACAATGATTGGTTGAGTTCATAGTGCTATGTGACAAGATCGACGCTAGGCAAAGTTGGTGTCCTGATGTTGACATCGGCCTGTCGATATTATCGTGCTTTAAGGCAAAAATGTTGAGGAACATAGCTTCAAATACGTTGGAGAATGTGTTTTCCAAAGGTTCAAATGCTTGGTTTCCATATATTGATTTAACTTATAAAATTAGTAGTTATGGAATTGAACATTTAATTTGATTATGTGGGTTATTTCTTGCAATGTGAGTTTCAAATTCGGAAAAATAGCCTTGAATATTCTTTCTCAAAATTAAAATTCAACTTATTGAATACTGTGTTATTGGCTATAAAAGCATCCATACTTTACAATTATCATTGGATACTGCACATAATGAACTATAAAACACTCGTGATGTTTTAGAGTCTACCTGTGAAAACACAGCTGGCTGCTTTCTGGTCAATTGTATAAGCGTGATGCCGACCCTTTTACTTTAATACAACAACTATACTCAGAAACGGCATTGATATATCTGCTAAGAAGATTTAATCCATTCTGACACGAATTATATAGAATGCATGGGTGTATCCATACCGTATTGATTGTCTCTACACTTCACACAATACCTTCGATGGCACTGTCCCTTCCCATAACACCTAGCGAACTTGACCTTGGAAAGCCAAAACAACCCCAGTTGATACAAAGTATCATTTGGCCACATCCTTATAAAGCACACCGCTTCAGAGCCTCAACACTCATCTACCGGGAAAGATGATATCTGAGTCTGAGACTCGATCATCATCATCAAATCAGAGCTGTTGATGTGGTTACCTCTTCACTTCAGACAACTTCCAGACACCAACCACTTCTGACACACTTATGCCCGGGCTCATAACGCCAATTCGGTACACACCACACGGACGCACCGAGGCTTTTCCGAGATCAACAACAACAACAACGCATACGTAAATTCACCACCTTTCTCAAAATCACGAGGATCAAAAGGTACTAAGAACAAAGGTGTTGTCATTTAAGGAGTGATGGACCAGGTAGAATGCCAGAAGTATGAACGCCTTCTTGGACGTGTGACAAACTCCGTCCAATTGGAGAAGTTTGTGCATGCCATTGAGTCTGCTGAGGCCCAACTTCGAGACGAGTTGGACGACTACATCGATTCCAGAAACCATGTACAGGAGAGTAAGAAGATCGAGCTTGCACGGACCGAGCTGTCCACCACGTTGAATAATTCGAGTAATCTTGTGAACCTGTTGTCCAATGCAGGGTCACTGGCCTCCAAGATCACCGCGAGGGTGAGACTCCTTGATGCTGAAAGGGCTAGAGTCAGTGAGACATCAGAGTACGTGGCGAAGGTTAAGGAGTTGAAAACGTCTGTGTTGGCCGTCAATGCTGCATTTGAACAGCACGACTGGGAGTCTGCTGCAAGAACGATTGGCACCATACGTACTCTGCCTAGATCTGGCGAATTTATAAATGCAGTGGTTCCATCCACAGACGTTCCAGAAGTTCCTCAAGTTGTCGTTGATAAGTGGATAGACCAACTCACGGATCTCTTCAGCTCAGAGTTCTCAAAGGCTGCTGAGGCGAGAGACGTACCAAGACTGACGAAACTGTTCTCTCTGTTTCCTCTCATTGGTAAAGAAGCGAAAGGTTTGGACTGTTACTCGATCTTCATATGCAATATCATTGCATCTCAAAGTAGGTTGATTATAACGAATCAATCACAGCAGGATATTGTGGGGTTCTATCCAGCAGCGCTCATGAAACTATTGGAGATTGTGTCGACAATGATCAACCAACACTCACACGTCATTGCTAAGTACTATGGCCTTTCTCATATGACTGGAATCATTGAAAGGGTCGAAAGAGAAACAGATTCTCAAGCAGGACTTATTGGTGATACGTTCTACGACCATAGACATTTCGCTAGAACCATCGATGAGATTCAACTGTACTCGTTTCCTCTTTTGTCAAATAATTCACAATCAAGAAATTCACCCTCTCCAAGAGGTAGTGGTGAGTACAAAAGAATGAGCGAAGAAGGTATATCTGTTGTGATGATTGGTGATTTGGCCACCGAATTATCTTCTTTCCTACACTATTGGTCGCTATACTGTAAGTTTATCGCAGTCAAATGGAACGAGTACAAAGGAATTGACCAAGAGGAGTTGAAGTTACCGACTCCTATATTGGAGAGTAAATTCTTTAAGAAAATCCAGGGTAAATTCTTACCAACTTTTGAAGTTTTTAGTACTTTTTATGTCAGGAGGTCATTAGAACAGGCTTTCCAAATCGAGGAGTTCCCAGATTTGAACGTCTACATTAAACAACTCAAGAGTACATCACCAGAGTCACCACCCGTGTCTTCTGCTATGGAGGATTTCATCATGGTGGTTTCAACAGCTTTGAAGCAAGCCATTGAAACGGGACAACCTGTGACAGTAAAGAACATCATCAACAACGTGAAGAAGATACTTGAGAGCGACTATATTATGACACTGCATAAGAGATTAAAGGATCTGCACCCACGATCTGGTGCTGTACTTCAAGCATCTACCACTGCAAGTGCAGCACCACAACCTAAGCAACAAAATACTGTGGGAAGTATATTCATGAGGGGTGCCAATGCACTGAATCAGATCGCAGCAGGTGAAGATACAAGACTGCATACGTTTATAATCTTGTTGAACACCGTGAGTTTGGGATCGATATACTTTGACAAGATCATAAAGCAAAACACGTCACTACTTGCTACGAACTATCCCTTTGGATCAGATGCCACCAAGCTAGAGACAATCATTTCGTCCGTGAATGATCAATTCAAGAAGAGATCGCAAGGAATTCTTGACGAACAAGTACAAATTCTTTTCAACCAGGTTCTGAAGAACAAGCTCAAGATCCTTCTAACAGACTGCTTCAAGGATGTTGATTACCTGATCAGTTCATACGACGAAGACGACAACGTTGTTACAAGAAGGTTTGTTCAAAGCTGGAATGCCCTTATATCTCCATATTTGAAAACACTGGACTCACATGTCTACGACACCCTCATCACCACCATTGTCTCAACACTCTCAAACTTGTTGGAAAGAAAGCTGTGGAGCCTAGAGAAGATCATCAACGAGCTGGGCTCAATCAAACTGGAGAGAGATTTCAGTGGACTTATTGGTGAGATTACGCATAATAAGTACAGCTTAAGGGATAAGTTCTTGAGGGTTACGCAGATCATCATGATCTTAGGCTTCGACGATGAGGAGGATGAGATCGATATGAACTGGGTTCTCACACCATCCGAGAGACAGAAGGCAAGGTCGCTTAGAGTTGATAGAAAGTGATTACATAATTCTGCAATGAGTAAAGCTACAAGGCTATTGTGTAGTGCGCGTAACGAAATTTGGCCAGGCTCGGTTCTCCCAGTAACAGACAGCGTTGACAAGCAGCGTAACTGTGCCCAAGAAGATCACTTCTCACAGCCAATTGACGGGCAGAGCAAGCGTAAATGAAGGAGTACATGGACTACATTCTCCAGTCATTCTATCGAGCATCTGGTTGGAGTGAAGATAACTCCTATGAGAATATTGTGGCCACCAGTGAAGGTGAGTGGGTGCTTGCGTTGATCTCTCGGACAGGAACTAACACCACCTCGAATAGCGCTGATAGATTTCCAGATACCAAATGATGTGAAGCTGTGTGTAGGCTCAAAGTCATCAGAGAATACAGCTACGCAGCTGACGTTGAGTAACAGTGGCTCTATTAACGGGTCCTTGGCGTACCTCTACACTTCAGCACCATTAAAGGACGTGCTTGGTACGAAAGATTTGTCTCTACAAGATGCCATCAACGGATACCGTGTGATAAGACCTGTCTATCCCCTTTCAAAACCCGTGAAAGTGGATAAATTTAGCCCTCATACTCTCTACTATGGAAGAATGTACTTCCCTGGATCTGCATTAGAGGCAATGGTCATCAAGAGATGGTCAAAGACATCCCAACTATTGGTGAAATGTGTAAGTAGCGATAAGTTGAAGAACAATGGGACAATGACCTTTTACTGGCAGAGAGACACTGGTAGACTGTCACAGGAGTATATATTCTCCACGAATGAGGCACTCTTAGGGTTCAGATGCCTCTACAATTTTAGCCAAGGTGCAAAGAGGCTCAATACCGCACTGTACAACAACTCATCACTTTCCGTTGGAACGGAACTATGGTTTGGTACTGCAAATATGAGTCCTGGAGTATCTACTGCTCTGAGATACTCTACACAATCAACCTATACGGGGAAACCCTTGACAATGACATTGGCATGTAATCCGTTACTGGGTCACATCTCATCAACGTACAGTGTAAAGACAAGTACAAACTCCACATTCTCATCACGTTATGATTTCAACATTTATTCATACGATTCCAACTTGTCGTTTGGGTGTGAGCTCTGGAAATCTAGTGGTAAAACCTCAGTGCTTCCCCTGAAGAAGATTGACCCATCTTTGAAACCACATGCTAAACACTCAAATAGTGACCAAACAGTCATCGAGGCATTTGAAAGCTTAGTTAGAGACACTGATTATTCCAGTGTGATCAAACTGAGTACTTCATTGAACGACCGAAACATCAGATTCATGTGGGAGGGAAAGTTCAAAGAGTTTTTACTTTCTGCAGGAACTGAGCTTCGAATGAACGACAAATCCTTAGAGACGGGAAGATATGGACTTCAGATACAGTATTCATCGTGAAAGTCTAAGATGGTTCACTCTTCACCTTCTTTTGACGCTTCGGAATAGCCAAAAGTGGATTATCCTCGGTCTATAGTAAATGTTAGTAACCGTCATGTATAGTTGCAAAGCTAGAGTTTTACTCACGGTTTTTCTTTTATTGTATTTCTTTGGTGGGTTCTCCAAAAGTTCCAATTGTTCTCTCAATTCTTCAGCGAGGTCTTCATCATCATAAGCATCAACTTGATACCATAACATGTACTTAGGAGCTCTCTCCCCTGTCGATATAATTTCTTCCATAATCTCAAGTACTTTCTCAGGTTTGTAAAAACTATTGAGAAAGATTGGATCATACTTCTCCTCAACCCCAATTATCTTGAACGAAAATGCAGTGAAGTAAGGTTGTGGTTTCGGATCATTGATATCTTCAACCTTTGGAGGAACTGGTTGTGCTTCCTTTTCAGATTCGTCTAAATGATCATTCCCTCTTGTACGTCTATGAGACTTCTCATCGTTAGCATCCTTTTTAACTTCGAGTTTCTTGTTTTCAGCAGCTTTCCGCTCTTCTTTCTCTTTTCTGTTCTGTTGTCTCAGCTCCCATTTTTTGATCTTTTCAATGTTGAACACAACAAGGAAAGAAACGAGGTACTCATTTGGTGCACTTTTCTCTACTATACAATCCTTTGGAAGAGTGAACCTAACATTTGGGTTCTCAGCAAACTCAAACACAAGTTGTGCTCCTTCGACGTACTTTTCCTGGAATGTCGTTAAGAGTTTCTCTCTCGGAGGTTTCACCTTCTTTGGTTTCTTTGGTGGTTTTGGTGGTTTGGGAGGGTTATTGAAAGTGGAAAATATTGGTTTAAAGTGTGGTGGAGGACCCATAGACTTTGCCCGTTGGATATAACCTTGGAACTCCCTTATTTGGGCAGGAGTAGCGTTTCCGCTTGCAACGATCTTCATCAATGGGTTCAAGGCAGGATCTGATCTTGCGATGATATTCAAGTTTGCGATGGTCATTTGAGATTCTGGCGTTTGCATTGCATCGTTTGTCGAGTTTTGTTGCCTCAGAGGTTGTTGTACTTGAGGTTTCAACTGTTCCTCGGGTTTCTGGACCTTTTGTATGTTCTGTTTAGGTTGATCCTTGCCAGAGGATGCCGCAGTATCCAACGAGGGAGTAGGCACTTTACTAGGTCCATTATCCGTGACAGTTTCTGTCAAAGTCGGTAGCTGCTCAGTTGAATCAGTTTTGGAGGGCTCTTTCGATTCATCCGCATCTGTTGTATCTCGGCTTTGCTGCTCATGGTTCTCTTCTCCCTTATTAATCTTATTATTTTCATCTTCATTTTCATTTTCATTTTCATCGTCATCGTCATCGTCATCGTCATCGTCCTCTCCTTCCTTTTTTTCACCATCATTGCCACTTGTCTTGTTTTCTTCGCCGTTGACATCTTCGGTCTTCCCCTCGTCTTTGGTATCCTCAGGTTTAGAGCTTGAATCTTCCAACGGCTTAACTGCAGGTGAGTCTGCCGGTGTTGATCCACTCAGCGTATCCGGTATTGGTAACCCCTGTTTCTTCAATTCCCTAATCTTCTGTTGTTGTTCACGGGCCTTCTTATTGGCTAGTCGCTTCAGCTTCTTAGCTTCCTTTTCTTCTTCCCTCTTTCTCTCAATCTCGTCATCTTTCAAGATGAAAAACCTGACGTCGAAAGTATGTGGGCCCATCTCCATCTTGCAGTCACAGAACTTGTTCATGCGGTCTCTTGCATTGACATCGTTGTCGAACTTGGTCTTTCCCTTGGCCCAGTACAGTTCAAATATGTTACTGTCGGTATAGCCCTTACGGGACCTCATCAATGAAGAGTACAGCACAGCACTATCTGACACTGATAGCGCATGGCTCAGAATATCATATTCAGGTGGATCAACAGACACCGGTAGCCCATACTGTACCTTGAAGGGCCTTGGAGGCTTTTCAGGGAGTACTTCGTTTTCATTCTCAGACTCATCATCCTCTTCAGCTTTCCTCTTTCGACCACCACCGCCACCAGCACCTTTTGCACCACCTCTGGCAGTGCTCTTTGTGGGCTTTGTCGTTTTGGAACCTTTAGAGGTGGCCTTCCCCTTAGCCTTTGGACCCATCACCAGACAACTTTACCGCTAATTATCTCCTGGTTGATCAGTGTTGTTGTTGTTGTAGGGCGCAAGTCAAAGCTCAAAACAATCGGAATTTCCTCTTCAACTCTTGATGTACGGTTTCCCCAGTAACCCGAAAAGCATAACTGTATTTCTTCCGAGGTTACATGGTCTGCCCTCGGATTTCAGACCTCTTGTCCACAAACACGAAAACCAATTTACACGCGTCCGGGACATTGTTTTCGCTTCTCTTGTTGTTTTCATTTCGTTCCAACAGACTAGAGAATATCAACTTCAGTCCGCAACTGAGTGGTAAACAATGTCCAGCGTTGTACATCCAGCGCCATCTCACGAGATTGCTGGCATGGAAGAGCGTGAATCAAAGCGTAGAAGGACCACAACTGATCATGGTGAGTATTAACCAACATCTCCCTCTATATATGTCCCGACTTGGACTAACACGTGAACAACAGTTGACAAGTCAAAGTTCCAGCCGGGAGCTATTCTGAAGGTTAAGGTGAAGAACTTTGTTGTGTATTCTCTGACCGAGTTTCAGATGTCTCCCTCGTTGAATATGATCATTGCGCCGAACGGTACTGGTAAAAGTACACTTGTGTGTGCCGTTTGTCTTGGTTTAGCTGGTTCTCCGGCGTTGCTGGGTCGCCAAAAGACTCTAGCTGGATTCATAAAGAATGGCGAGGAGTCCGCAACCATCGAGATCACACTGAAGAACAAGGGCGATCAAAAAGATGTTCTGATCACCAGAGACATTTATCAAAACAACAAATCTGATTGGTATCTTAACAATAAGCCAACTTCCGAGACAAAGGTTAAAGCTGCACTCGAACAGCTGAACGTGCAGTTGGATAACCTATGTCAATTCCTGCCACAGGAGAAAGTTGCATCGTTCGCTGCCTTGGATCAAAAGGAACTGCTGTTGGAAACTCAAAGAGCAGTGGATAACAAACTGTTCCAACAGCACAAAGAATTGATTTTCTTCGACGATCGCAAACGTGAAATCGATGCAAAGCTAACAGAAGCACTTGCTGAGAAAGCAAGACTTGAGATAGAGCAAGCACGTTTCGAAGAAGACGCAAAGAAGTATGACGCCCACCAAAAGAAGCAAGTGGAGATAAGGCTCCATACTGATCTCTTGTCCTTTGCTAGGTTAGAGGATCTCAAGGTTCAAACTGCAGAACTTAAAGCCAAACGTGATGAGATTAAAGCTAGGCTGGACTCGTATGAAGATGACATTGCGCCCTTTGAAGACGCCAAGGCAGATGTGGAAAGAGAACTGGAGAAGGCCGCAAACGAGTCATATGATAAGCGTAACATTACGAAGAAGTATGAAACCAAATTGAAGGAGTCCGAAAATGCCATAGAGAAAGTCGACGACAAGATTGAAAAGTTAAAGAATACCAACCGTAAACTCGAAGAAAGAGCCACTGAGAAGAAAGCTGAGTTAGAGAAGAGTACTCAAATTTTAGAATCGGCCAAGGAAGAACTTGCTGGGTTGGAAATTGTGACTGACAAAGAGCTGAAGGATGCTTCAAATGAAACAGCGAGAATACATGATACCATGATTGAATTTGACAATAGGATAGACGATCTGAGGGAGCAGGTTGCCGATAAGAAAAGAACAATCAGGAATTGTCAACAAGCAGCGGAGAGGCATAAAGCAGAACTAAACTCAAACGATAAAATTCAAATCTTTGACATGGACTCCATGAGAAGAAATCGTGGTGCAGTTGCGGTGAAAAAGGCAGTGAAACTGTTACGTTCAGAACTAAAAGGTCTCAGGAATGAGATCTTTGAACCACCATGTCTTACAGTAACAGCAAAGTCTTCATATTATGCGGACTATCTTGAAGAGTTGGTTCCTTTCCAAACTTCAATTTCTCTCACAGCCATATCGAAGGAAGCATTTGACAAACACTCCCCAGAGTTCATGGAGAAGAGAAATATACATGTTCCATTCAGATATTTGAGTTCAAAAGTGTCTCCAACTAAGTTTTCTCAAGAAGAACTGAAACAATTCGGTTTCGATGGCTACCTCAGCGATTTTCTGGATGGTCCAAAGCCAGTAATTCGTATGCTGTGTGATATTGCCTACGTCAATGATGTTCCTGTTGCAGTCAATCCACTAAGTGACAGAGAACTCGATGCTCTGTGCAACCCACGCAATGGACAGATTATGTTCAAGAAGTTCTTTTCTGGTGATACGTTGTACACGCTGGCCAAGTCGCAGTACGGTTCTAGACAGGTCACCACTAGAACTACTCACGTTTCAAAAGCCCAAATATATGGCGATGGTGGTATATCTGAAGAGACAAGGCGTCGTATTCATGAACAGATTAAGAAAGCCAATGACACTGCTCAAAATTTCGAACGCGAACTAGTTCTATTGAAAGAGAGTATTGAGTCTGTTACTCAGGAAAAGGAAGAGATAATGGGCAACTTCAATCATTACAGAGCAATTGAGGGATCTTTAAAGGAGAAGAAGAAAAAAAGAGAAAAGGCAGAAGTCAGAATTTCATTGATAGAGAAGAAAGTTGATATACTGAAGACAGAGTCAAACAAAGATTACAAACAAGAGATCCGGAAAAATCGACAGAGGATCAAAGTTCTAGAAATAGCTAGAATTGATTCATTGTGTGATATTGCCGATACCCAATGTCTTCTAGCTAAAGCAGCTCGTGAAGTTGCTATAGCTGATATCCGCAAAATCGAGGCCAATAGCAAAAGACTTGCTCTTGAGACACTTTTCAAATCTATTTTGGAAGGGAAGGAGAAACTGAAAGCAGAGTTGGCTCATGCCAAAAGGGAGCTACAGAGACTCAAGGATGATCCAGAGAGACAGGAGTTAAAAGCACGTATTGTCAACCTGGATGTTGAGACAAAAGAGAGTCTCATTGATCTCATCCAGAAGTATAGGGAGGAAAATACATTTACTGAAGAAGGTGTCAGGCTCACTTTGGAACGTTTGCAAAGTGAACTGACATTGCTTGGTTCAAGTTCTAGATCTTCCATCAAGGCTCTCGAAAGAGTTGTAAATCAACTCAGGGAACTTGATGCTAAAATTCCAGAGTATCAGGGAACTAGGGAACTTGAGAATAAAAAGATTAAAGAGATTCTGAGTGTATGGGAACCCCAACTGAATGACATGGTTCAGAGAATCAGCGCCAAGTTCTCCACCATTTTCCCAACTGTTGGAAGTGCTGGTGAAATTCGTGTTACTAGAGCTGAAAGGTTTAGTGACTGGAAACTGGAAATTATGGTGAAGTTCCGTGATGAGGCCGACTTGAAGCCGCTGGATTCCCACACCCAGTCTGGTGGAGAACGTGCCGTTTCTACCGTGTACTTCATGATCAGCATGCAAGAGTTGACTTCTTCGCCGTTCAGGGTAGTGGACGAGATCAACCAAGGTATGGATACGAGAAATGAGAGGGTCGTTCACAAACATATGGTTGAAGTGGCCTGCAAAGAGCAGACTTCACAATACTTTTTGATTACACCAAAGTTGTTGACGAGTTTACATTATGCGAAGAATATGAGGGTTCACTGTATCATGTCAGGTCCCTGGACTCCGAATCCATTTACCCACCCAAAACTCCTCACACTTGGTGCCACTTCGTTGTACGACTAGTGGCTATATAGATGAGATAGAGTGTGTTTTATCTGGATAATTCAATTGGAGTGCCCTTTCCCATAAGCAAAGATTATCAGATAGTGAACGTTGCCGAAGCGTGCAGATTGATACTGATGAGCCTTGAATGGATTGGTATAGAAGACTCACTTGAAGTTTCATTCAACCCTTGAAAGTCTGTCTTATATTTACTGAAAGGTCGTATTCGAAGACCCCGACGTCAATACTATCTTCTCAGTCAATTGAAATTTCCGCCCCAGAGTTGATGCCTGGTTGCTGTCAGTAGGAAGTGGACTGGCGCAAGGTTCGTTCTCTAACTGTGTGCGTGTGTGTATGTGTGTGTGCGTGTATGTGTATCAGTAAGTGCACTAATTACAGTCAGTCATATTCGAAATATACTGTTTTGGTATAGGGACTCTCTCCAGAAACGTGTAATTGAGAAGTTACCTCCACTTGACTTCTCTCTTTTCAACTTGTCTTCGAAATGGATTCAAAATCAAAGCAATGGTTTACAGTGAAGCGGTCACGTGAATTGCACTTGAGAAAAGCGGTATTAATATCTGGACAGTTTATGCGTATTGATCTGCGAAATAATACAGTATCGGCAGGCAGAATTCAGATTTGAATGATTATATACAGAGGAGTTGGGTAGATATGTGAATTGTTCCCTTGTACATGTGATCATGATGTTTTCTTTTCTTTCATAAGTTTTGTCATTTAGACCGTAAAAGACACCAGCTGAAATTCCCACCTGCAAGGGCGCATAAGCTGACATAGCCCGTAATATTTGGTGGAACAGTGACGGCAGCTTTCTCAACTGTGGGAAACAGTCTTCATACTTTGTAAAGATTCGATACAGTTTGTGCGTAATATCGTGTAAGATGAAGCGAACGACGTTTGTTCGACAGTTGAGAGCCATAAGATGTTTTCACGCCACGAGTAAGGTACTGTTCAATCCTCTTTTGGGACCCATGGATACAGTTCTCGAGGAGGTGAGCGAGGACCTGCACAGTTCAAGTTCAAAGAGACTCAAGAAGAAGAAGGATCCCAAGATCCTTATCCCACTAGGTGCTGATTCATTCAAGAGAAGTGATAACGACCCGATTACACTTGGCGATAAGAACAGTGATGATTCTGGAATTGACAATGGCAACAGCAACAATAACAGCAACAATAATAACAACAACAACAACAACAACAACAACAACAACAATCACGATGAAGGAGATTACGAATACGAGGAAAAGTCAGCATGGGAGAGATTCAGTGAATTTCTAGTCAAGTGTGCAGAGACTTCAGGCATCACATTTGCGTCGCTGTTTGTACTTGGTGCTGCTGGTGTTGGCTACCATAATTTCTACAAAGAACGTGTTATCGACAAGATGAGCCAGGCGTTTGATAAAGGTGATGAGGCATTTGAACTCACCATGCATAAGCGTACCACAAACCAAGAGGGCGACTGGATTGAAAGGCCCCAACAAAGACTGCTGACGTCAATACTCGAAGGAAGTGTTGTTGGACGGTACTTCCTCGTAACAGGTGAAAAGGGCTGTGGTAAGAGCTCCATGATTCTAAATTCGATGAAAAATGTCGATAGCTTCAACTGTGCTTTTTTGGATGCACACTCTGATCCTGAGATCTTCAGAATCAGACTCGGTAAGGCGTTGAGATTCGAGTTCCATGAGGATTATATCGGTTCCTTGTTCAGCATCAGAGGTCCAAGAGATACAACTGCTTTACTTGACATTGAGCGTGCCTTTAATAAACTTGAAGAGGTTGCCGTACGTCGAGTGAAGAAATACGGCAAGCCGTTGGTGTTGATCATCAATAATGCCCACTTGATCAAAGATGACGAAGAAGGAGTCAAACTTGTCGAATTGTTACAACAAAAAGCCGAAGCATTGAGTGGTGCAGGATTGGTCACTATGATCTTCAACTCGGATGATTATTGGCTCTATGAAAGGCTGAAAAAACTTGGGACAAGGTTGGAGGTTATCAATGTCCGTGATTTTAACAGGAGCCAAGCAATACATGCTTTACGAGTAGCTAGAAGGAGATTCTTTAACGAGCAGGTTGATGATAAAATTGCCAACCAAGTATACAACCTCATTGGTGGTCGCCCTCAGCACCTTGCAGAAGTTTCCAAACAGGCTAATATGATTTTGGCTTCACATAAGCTCATTGACCGTGAAAAAACTTGGTTTCTTAACCAATGTGGTTTGTTAGGCTCGAGTATGGATGACGATGTCAATGAGAGCGGTAAATTTTCAACGAGTGCCATGCTGTTAATGAAGATATTTGTTAAAATGTACGAGAAGGATGAATTTACCATGAATGGTGAAGACAAGGAACACCACCTACCTGAATTGCCTCTATGGAGAGCTCGTCAGATCATGACGAGAAACGACTACATCCAGCACTATGACAATCTAAACATCTTTACGATTGATTCGTCCAACTCCTTTGTCAGAGCGGACTCTGTTCCGATGATGAGAGGTTTTGTTGAAATTGCATCACAACCTGGGTTTGAAGAATTATTACAGGACAGTTTAGATAGGGTTGCGGAAATTGAATCCTTGGGACGTACGAGAGAGATCGTGGCTAAGGATTTGTTCCTAGGTGGTCAGTATAGAATTGGAACCTCTTCTAACGAGGCTGAATTCGTTGTTAAGCTAAAGGCTGCTAAGGGCGATGATGAAGAAGATACCCCGATAAAGATGCAACCCACAACGAGCTCAGGGGCTCGTAAGTTTTGGGATAAACGTTTAAATGAGGATAAATGACATTTGGTATCATCTACTTATTCATATATACAATTTGTACTGCTAATAGACCCGTAGAGGTTAGAACCCCAGACATTTCAAACGCTCATAACCTTTCCCCTTTGGTAAAAAAATTTTCTGAAAAATTTCTAGAGCTCATCGCATTAGTTTCATAGAGGTTTCTTTTATCCATTTAGCACCACCTTGAGGGTTGCAGATATTGAAGCAATAGCAAGTTCAATATGCCTGAGAAAGTGCGTACTGCTTATGAGATGTTGTAAAGAGAGCATTACTAACCCGAGATTTCATCTGAAAAGGTCAACTATACGCTGTGCGTCCCATCCAGTATCATCAGTAAGGCCAATGCAAAGAATCTACAACAAGCCACGTCTATTCTCTATCAACTAGCCAAAGTTGCCAGCATCCATAACGTCGGTGAGATTGTTGTTATAGATAGTGATAAATGCGTTGGTGATGAAGTTTCCGGTCCAATTGACACCAAGAAGAAGATCAAGTTTGACGATGAAAACAGTTCCACGGCTAACTCCAAGAGCGATATCAGTGAAGATGCGATGGTAATAGCTACAATCCTCCAATATTTTGTTACCCCACCATACCTCGTGAAAACCATCTTCAAGCAAAAGTTCTGGAAGAACTTCCAGTACGCAAAGGACTTGCCCAAATTGACGAGACTACCATTCATGGCACCGGACTCACAGTCTAAATACAGAGAGGGCTTGACGGTTCCGATGGGGAAGGTATCCAAGCCTCAGAATGCTAAGACCAAGGCAAAATCCAAGCCCTTGACCAACACCAAATATGTGAACGTTGGGTATCAAGAGTACTTAGAACTCTCGGGCCAGCAAGTGCCAGTAAACGTTCGTGTAACGGTGGATACATCTACAAAGAAGATTGTATCACCAAGAGAGGCATACGAAGACCGGGTTGGAGTGAACTCTTCCTATGGATACCATGTGCGTCTCGCGTCGACATTTGCCAAGGTGTTCACAGAGTCCGCATACCCAGAAGGCTATACAAAGACCCTCTTCGTGTCTGGGGGCGAATACCACCACCATAACAAGCATCCAAAGCTCCCAGCATCAAAGGCTGTTGATGGAGACTGTCTCTTGCTCATCGTCAGCAAGTGGTCAGAGCTTGAGAGGCTTTTCAAGCAGGACAGACTAGAAGGTGTCGATGACGTCAAACAGTTCTTTGATGGTGAAGTTCCGGTACCCTGGGGCCTACGTGTTGAGGACAGTGCAATGTACGCACTGACCAAGCTGAGCCCAGCTTGAAATGCTGTGCCCACGCACACAACATCACACACGCACGCTCCGCCTAAAAATAAAAGAGAATGAAAATTTACATACACTTTGAAAAACCAAAAACACATAGTATTGAACTTATGTTCACGGTGTAGGCGAAGGCCATGAAGGACTCAACCATTGGAGTGATATTGCTTAGTTTAACGTGGGGTGTCTGCATTTCAGCGTCACTCTTTTTGAGCGGCATCCTGACCGTCGAGTGTGACATTCCAATCCACAACTACTATCCGCTGGCTGTGCTGTCGCTGCCTGTTCTGGCGTGGATATGGTGCCCGTTCAGCTGGGTGGGTATTAAGCTGTTTGAGCAGTCCAAGGGTCTTGGTATTGCGCACGAGGAGATTGGTCATCCATAAGCCAGAGCAAGGCGATGTAGACGATCACTTACCACACCCGTGCGGACTCTTTCCAAATGCGTGGCATCTTCTGTCGTTTTCTATTTTGGGCAGAGGCTTTGACAAGGTTGCTCTTCCCGCATTGGGCCTGATGATCAAATTGCTGTCTACGGGCCTAAAGCTGTGTGGGCTTGAAACGCGTCAGCTAGCAACCAAGCACAGCGCAACCAAGCACAGCGCAACCATGCACAGCGCAACCGAATGAGATTGACAGGAGTGTATATAAAGGGGTGTATCCCTTGATACGCCAGGTACATGCTGCTTTCAAAGCTGTGCTTGATATCCGCACAAGAGTTTTAATATCACAATGGCCATTACATGTACGGACATCTTCAAAGTTATTGCAGGTGAGTGCCTATTACCGGGGGATGATATAGTGGATTCATACTGACGGGCCGTATCTTAACCAACAGCTATCATTTTACCACCACTAGGTGTGTTCCTCGAGGTTGGGTGTGGGAGTGCGCTGCTGCTTAACGTTCTTCTCACCATACTGGGTTACATTCCTGGTATCATCCATGCTTTGTACATCATCATAAGGCACTGAAACCAGAGCATAGGAATGTGTATGCGAACTACAACGAGCTGAGAAAATAACAGGGGTGGTGCACACAGTTGCTATTAAATTAGGTGTTTAAGATAGTGTTTCTGTCTTCAATTGTTTACAGCTTCCCTTCTCTTTTCCACAATAGACAGTATACGGGCAGTGTTGCTTGCAGGCCCATATTTTCTGAAGTCCTTGATGTCCTTGTTTATGTCCTTTGACGCTGATGAGAGGTACTCCTCAAAATATTCGCCCAATTCACTGAAGTATTCGTATGATAGGTAGAATTTCTCCGGATGCTCTTCCAATTTGGCCAAAGATTTTTCTTCAGTCGACTTGGTTTGGAATCCTTCACCCTCACCAAGGACAACACCTGGACTTTTCAATTTCTCAAAGAGACCCAGCTTGGAAGCCTTGACGATACCGCCAGCTCTATCAATCTCCAATTCGCGATAGTAGTCTTTGAATTCGTCCACTGTAGCCCTTCTTGAACCGGTCCAACCAATTGAGATCAGCTCTTGTCTTTTCTCCTCATCCAATTTTTCGTTACTGGTAATCTGGTGGTTTGTAATAGGATTCATAGAATAAGGGTTAAACAACCCAAAGTACAAAGCCCCAAAGGCAAACAGACACTTGAGAACATGTGCTGCAAAGAAGATGGACTGGGCAGTCTTGGAGTATGCATTAACTGTGGTTTCTTTCAACACTTCCACTGCAACGTGGTCCAAATCGAAATATGTCAACACCTTTGCAATCAGGTAGGTGATTTGATTTGTCAATCCAATACCTGGCGTTGGAGAGATGAAGTCAGGCAGATCTGTGTACAACCACGTCAACAACAACAATATGACCGAGTAGAAATTGAAGTCGTTAAACCTCCAAATAGGCAAGATGAGCTGTCCTGGCCAGACGTTATCACTGACTTTATCATCCAGCTTCATAGTCTTGAGATGTTTATGAGCATCGTCGTTGAAGAGTAAGCCACCGTAGGGGGTCAAATAACCAGGATCGGTGGAAATGGCAAACCCCTGAGGTATCTGCTCGTAGAACACGTTTGGTCTTAAGGAGAGTTTCAACGTTGTAAAGATCTTGGTCAAATCACCAAACGTATCGTTAATACCAACTGAAAATCCATAGTCCTTTTCATTATCATCGTTCATACGGATGTAAACTTCCAAACGGGCATCGGATTCATCGTTCTCTTCAGACATATTGGCCGACTAAGTGTACTTCCTCTATTCCAAGTTGTTCAACAGATGGATGGCCAGAGACGGTGTTTATAAGGGGCGGCGGGGTGTGTGGTGGAGGTTGAAAAGAACCGGAAAAATTTCCGCCTAAATTGATATGGCTTTTGATGTAAGGAAAAACTGGAGCACCACAAGCAATGGCGAAAAAATAGTAGCAAATATGGCCTAAAGAGGGGGGTGGCAAGAAGAGGATCTGTTGAGCAACTGGAGAAACTAAGCAGAGTTCTTGAGAGGGTTGAAAACAAATTACAGTGAGTGTGATTTCGAATTGGACATTTACACGCTGACCCCACGCGCACACAGCTGATGCACCATTTTGAGCTGTTGAAAGTCGAAGCGGGTCGGAGAAATCCCCGGCATCTCCCCAACAGCGAAGCGTCGTCTCCTGGTTATTTTTTTCTGGTCGGATAAATAATATGGGTTTGCGCACGCACAGAGACGAAGACTTGGACATTTGGGACTAGCTGGGACTCGGACTCGGACTCAGACTCAGACTCAGACCCTAAGTCTCCAAGAATTTTACCGAAGAGGTGAAGGAAAAAAATACAACAGCACAATAAACAGAAGACACAAAGAGGAGCTCTGTACAACAAAACACAACAGAGAGGCTACGAAAACCGAGCCAATGTCTGAGCTAACACTGTATAACATCACGCTTGAAAGGCAATCTGCTTCGGTGCAATGTTGCTTAGGCAATTTCTCCGGTACGAAGAAACAAGAGATCATCACTGCCTCTTCCAATGAACTGGTTGTATACAGAGTGGATTCATCGTCTGGTTCTTTACAGCAGCTGTTTACTTTTAAGCTGTTCTCCACTGTCAGATCAATAGCACCTGTTAGGATTGCTGGTACAACCACGCACTACCTATGTGTATCCTCTGATTCGGGGAATCTGACGGTGCTGTCGATGGATCTTCAGAACAAGAGGTTCACTGCTCTGTTCAATGAACCTCACTCCAAGAGCGGCATAAGAAGGCTAACACCATCCGAGATCACAGTGGACCCGAAGGGCAGGGCTGTGATGGTTTCAGCCATTGAGAAAAACAGACTCGTGTATGTGATGAATAGAGATGACACCGGGTTGACGATTTCATCACCGTTGGAGGCTCATAGATCAAGGCATCTGTCGTTATCAACGGTGGCTCTGGATGTTGGGTATGAAAACCCCCAGTTTGCATCATTGGAAATCGACTACTCTGACTTGGAATTATCTGATATAGACATGAAGAAACAACTGACATTTTATGAATTGGATCTTGGTTTAAACCATGTCGTTAAGAAACATTCGGAACAAGTCCCAGAAACTTCAAATCTACTCATACCAGTCCCAGGTGGGAGCGATGGTCCAAGTGGTGTGTTGGTTTGCTCTTCAAATAAAATCTCATATCGTAACTTATATGGTGATAAACTATCCATTTCGATACCAGGGGAAGATGACACAGTTATAACCTACGGTGTATCTCATAAACTGAAAAATGAGTTCTTCTTTCTACTGCAAACAAACTATGGTGACTTGTTCAAATTGGAACTGTTAAAAGACATGTCACTATCCATAAGTTACTTTGATACCATACAACTGTGTACCTCCTTTGTTATTCTTAAATCAGGGTTCCTATATGCCGATGCAGAGACAGGTGATAAACAACTGTTCCAGTTCGAAAAGCTTGGTGGTGACATGACTTATAAATCAACAAATGATAACCCTGTGAGAACTTGGTTCGCAAGAACAGAGTTACAAAACCTATCACTTGTTGACGTCGTCGAGTCACTGGCACCAATGATATCATCTCATATAACTCCTAACAAAAGCAGCAACTGCTTGTTCTCATTGAACGGAGTGAAAGACTCTTCTACACTCAGGATGTTACAGTATGGTGTTTCGATATCGGAGATAGTAGAGCCTGATTTACCAGCCACTGCTACAAGATGCTTCACTACAAAGACTGATAAATCCGATGAGTTTGACAAATATCTCATCATTTCATTCGAAGATAGAACTTTAGTGCTCACCATTGGAGAGTCCGTGGAAGAAGTTACAGATTCAGGAATTGATCTCTCTGTGGAGACTCTGGGAATCCAGCAAGCTGGTCAAAGTTCAATTCTCCAAATTCACAAAGATGGTGTTAACGTCATCAAGAATAACACCATTGTAAACCATTGGTACCCACCAGCTGGTATCAAACTAACCGCATTGTCTTCAACAAATACACAGCTAGCACTTGGTTTGAGTAACGAAGACCTGGTCTATTTTGAAATTGACCAAGATGATAACTTGATCGAATGGAATGAGCATAAACACATGTCTTGTAAGATCACGTCGATGTCATTAGGTGAGATTCCCGATGGACTTCGTAGGTCTTCGACTTTAGTGGTTGGCTGTGCTGATTCTACAATTCGTGTTCTATCTACAGATCCAAAATCGACCTTAGAGTCGATATCATTGCAGGCATTGAGTTCAGTTCCATCAAGCTTACTAATTTGTAATATGAACAACCAACTATGTGTTCATATCGGACTGGAGAATGGTGTTTACGTCAGAACAGTTCTAGATGTGAAGTCAGGGGACTTGTCAAGTACAAAGCAGAAATACCTCGGTAACAGACCTGTCATTTTAACGAAAACAAGACTGAACAAAGAGAACGTTGTGATAGCATTATCTGCAACCACATGGATTGTGCACGAGATGGAATCGTTCAAGGTCCAACCACTTTTGATCGAGCCATTGGCTTATTCTACAAGCTTCCATAGTGAGGATTGCCCAGAAGGTCTTGTTGGTGTTTATAAGAGGAAATTGGTTATCTGTACAATTGATTCTTTGACCCAAACTTTCAAGAAAGACTCTCTACAGATACAAACAACAGGTAAGCTGTTGTTAGAAGATGACAAATACCTCTATATCATTCTCAGTGGAGAAGGATCCTATATTCAAAAGTTCAACGAAAACACGAATGAGATTGAAAAGTCCGTTGAAATTCCCAAAGGAACCAAGATCGTGACCGCAAACATGGTACACTTCCAATCGAAGAATGCTAAGTACCTTGTATGCTCATCTACAGGCGAAGAGAATTTATTATCTGTCTACGATTTGAATGACTTATCTCTTATCCACTCCACCAAAATTCCAGAACAATGTCATTGTCTGGGAGAATTCCAGGGCAAGTTAATCGCAGGCTATGGTTGCTACTTGAGACTCTTCGACATGGGTGTCAAGCAACTTTTATCCAAGTCGAACACTCATTTAAAAACTTTATCATCTATTGTGAGATTGGATGTTCAAGGCTCAAGAGTCGCAATTGGAGATATCCGAGACTCCATAACACTTGTGACATTTTCTCATGAGATGAACGCATTTGTCCTTTTTGTTGATGATATAGTAACTCGTCATGTAACATCCCTGAAATTCTTGGATTACAATACCGTCGTTGGTGGTGATAAATTTGGCAACGTTTTCGTACTTCGTGTACCTGAAAGTGCAAGTGATGATGACGTTGGGTACCTCTCAACGAAACCTCTCAGCACGAATGGTGCTCCATTCAAGTTCAATACACTGTGCCAGTTTTATCTTGATGACATCCCCATGTCTTTCCACAAAACAAATTTCACTCCTGGTGGTCGTGATATCATTGTATACACCTGCTTACTGGGCACAGTTGGTGCACTGATTCCCTTGATTACGATGAGTGATATCAAATTCTTAAAGTCCGTAGAGAAGGCTATGAGAGATTCATTGGAACTTCCAACTGGAAGAATGCATCTGAAGTATAGGGGTTACTATGCACCTGTTAAGAACGTCATCGATGGTGACTTACTCGAGCTGTTTGATACTCTGGACTCCAATTCACAAGATCTTGTAATTTCAGAAACTGGAAGAAAGAAAGAGGAGATTTCTAGAAGGGTGTACGATGTTAGACTTGGATCTCTCTAACATAGAGTGATGGTGTAAAGAATATAGCAGTATAATTCGGTATGTTAAACGTCTATGAAAACCTTCCTCTAAACATTTCCTTTATGATATTCTTATTAATGATGGTTTCTTGGATGATTCCATCAACATGTCGTGCTTCACATCTACCATACCAAATTGTGAGCCCATCTTCGTCAAAATACAATACATTTCCAGCGTACGCGTGTCCTCCGATGTGGCTCACTAGGCCAACCCTCACACCATGCGCATTGTCAATCGGATTATACAGTAATCCTCTTTGTTTGAGGTTTTCTCTAAACTCATTGTGTAGTATTGGTGCAATCAATCCACAACGAATATCTCTTTGTTCATGTCCACAGATCAATACTAGTTTACCCTGGAACGGTTGGCTTGGGATCTGTGAAGGGTCTCCATTGGGATTCAGAACTTGCTTCATAAATTCACTTGCATTTGAGCTTGAAACATCGTATACCTTTGCGTCTGGGAACACCAGCACGGTCCCTTCACTTTCCCTTTCCAATTGAACGTTTGAGATGAGCACAGGATGCATTGGATCAGTAGATGATCTCTTCGTCGCAGCCAACCTCGAAATGAGCTCATCAGGCATTAGCTCGACTTTTGACTTCCAATGAGAAGCCAACGTATCAGAGTACACAAGTGCATGCTTCCAGCTGATGGCTTTTGTACCGTAAAGAGGCTTTTCCAGGTCAATTGGTTTATCCTTTGGATATTGGCACTCACACATCGTTGATGGTGTTTGGATCGATGGTGCTGGACATGGCGTCTCCACCAAATTGTACCTGCTTGAGAGCCGTAAAAGACAACGAGGACTGAGTCGCATATCGATTGATTCGATAGCTGATTAGAGACTCGGCGACAACAAGGGAATTGACATCCAATTAAGTATTAAAAGCAAATTAAATGGATCCCATATCGTTTGCAACGTCTGACATATCATTGTGCACATAAAGGCCGATAAATTCGGCTAGCTCCTTATAGCCCCGCAAACTACCCAATATCATATCGGTGATAATATAATGTTATGGTATCGTCTTTTCTAATATCCACGGTCTAACAACTCCTTGATATCGTGCAATACTTTCCTCTCTTCCGGGTCTCTCAGTTCGTAGATAACTTCTGTGTTTTTATGTAATCCCAGTGTAATAGCCAGGTCTCTACACTTTGCTATACAATATGAGAGCTCGAGGTCCGACACCTTGTGAGAGAACATTCTAAACGTTGTTATCATCAATGTGGCCTGAAGCACCGTGAAAGAAGCCCTTGTTTCAATCTCACCAAGCTCAGCAGATATGTAGCTCGACCTCAGCAGATCCTGTTCAGGATCTTCCAGAGGGGTCCTCTTATAAAGTGAAACGATCTTCAACACCAAGAGGATGATCGACAGTTCCACAAAGCAGTCCTTTTCCTTCAACTCATCAAGTTCTATGGTTCTTGTATGGATGTTGAAAAGAGAGTGGAAAGATTTCAGCAAAAGGGGTTTAGATAGCAATGGTAGATACCTGTGGAAGTTTGTCGTGAAGTAATAGTTCAAATACTCCTCAACGTCTCGCAAATCTGGTAGTTTTGAGACAACGTTAGACAAGAAGAGCTGCTTCACAGCGGGATCACTTGGGCACCTGAAGTAGGTCATGAGTCTTGGATATTCCACGGAGGAATATACCTGTGCTGTGATATCTGTGAAATCCAACTTCAGGATCTGGTTTGTCCTGTTCCTTAACGGCGTCTCTATGGAGTCCTTCAAGAAGTGGTAATCCTTGATCACAAGCCTTGGTAGTCCCTCAGTGGCACTTGGAGTATGCGAAGACGAGCCTGACGGGCTTGCCTCAAGCGAGCCAGTCTGGCGGTTTGCCGTGCGAGCCTGAGAATGAGCATCCCGCTCATTCTCCAAGTTGTGCTTCTTCTTGAAGAACATGATAACGGTTCTATTCAGGTCGTTCACCTCAGCAACCAAGTCATCGTTCTCTTTTTTCAAGGCGTCGATATCCTCATACAACTTCTTCTCAGCTACAATGATATCGATCCACGGCGACTTCGAATACGAACAGCTCTCCTGTGAACCTTTTGTAATGCAATTTTGACACACCGGTTTCCCATGGTCACATTTGATCTTCCTCCTACGGCACTCTGCACAGCTTAGAATGATCTTCTGACGTCTACTTACACCAGCTGAACTCTTTCTTTTCCTGACTCTGGATGACATCGCCTACACGCTGGTTGCTGGTCCAAGTCAACAGTTAGTTGTCCCTTGTCGTCTTATCCATCCGCTCCCAGCTCGCCAGTGCTGCTGCTGTTTAATACCAGTGCTATTAATGGCTGCCGGTGTTACTGTCACGGGCTGCAGCCTAGAAGAGCGCACGTATCCCAAATAGGCAATCGTGGGTCGGGCGTGGATTACGTACGCACTTACATAAGCAAACGTGCTGTTTGGTTTTCATTTTCTGTGAAAAATTTTTCGCCACGTTTGTTGCCCCAGTGACCGTCTTAAGGACCACCACCACAACACCAACAACAAACTGTTTTTTTTTACATCACGTTTTTCTCACGTGGTTGAACCTCCCTTCCCCTTTTCCCTCTCTCACTACTGGCCCAGTGGTAAAGGGAAAACAAGCTGTGAAAATCAACCAAACGGGAAGGACGTTCAAAAGATGGCAGGGACTAAACGGATCTCCGAACACACAGAGCAAGATGGTGCTAAGAAGCCAAAAACCGTAGGCGAGAGCGAAGACGTTGAGCTTGTTGAGAAGGCGAACGGCAGGGAAGACGGTGGGGACGAGGGACACCACAATATTGATTCTGAGCTAATCACCAGAGATACAGAGCTTGTAAGAGAAGCAGGGCACTCAGAGTCGAAGGGTGAGGCCGGAAATGAGTCCTGCCACAGTGAAGACTCTGTTCAGCTTGTGTCGAAGGAGCCAGCGCCGGTAGGCGATGGTGAGGAAACTGAGAAGCCGGACTCTGCCGGAGAGTTGAACGACAAGCCTGCACCTGGTTCGGCTGATTGGCACAAGCAGAGAAAGGATAATCACAAGGAGGTGGAGAGACGTAGAAGGGAGAACATCAACGCCGGCATCAAGGAGCTGGCTATGCTGCTGCCATCTGCTGAAACGAACAAGTCGCAGATCTTGCAACGCGCGAGTGAATACATCAAGCGACTCAAGGAAAATGAACAGAACAACATTGAAAAGTGGACGCTCGAGAAGCTTTTGAACGATCAGGCTCTGACAGAGCTGACCGCTTCTAATGAGAAGCTCAAGACAGAGCTCGAAAGAGCTTATAGGGAGGTGGAGCACTGGAAGAAAGTGTGCTCAATCGCTAAGGATGAGAAGTGAGATGGCTGATTATCCTGTTTCCCATGCCCATCAGTCTTGAAGTGTACTGTTTTTTCTGTAACGTTATTAATCCTCTAATCTAAGTGTTGTAAAGTAGTATAAACATAGGCCTATGTAAAAGTAGTTGATGAAAATCGATTCTTCCCGTTACAACAAACCAGCAAGCTACAGCGTCGGTGGAAATATGCCTCGCTTACGTATTGCTACGCTCCAGCTCAATCCCAGGATCCCTGCTGTGAAGGACAACATCGCAAAGGCTGAAAAGATCCTCTCATTGGCATTCCCAAAGAATGAAAGCCCAGATCTGTTGATCTTGCCGGAGATGGCACTCTGTGGTTATAACTATTCCTCACCAGCGCAGGTCAAGCCTGTTCTGGAGTCCGTGGAAAGACCCGGTCCAATGCTGAGATGGGCCGAAGATATCAGTAAAAAGTACGGTTGCTTCATTGTCATGGGATACCCAGAGTGGTGCTCCAAACAGCAACAGATCTTCAACTCTGCCGTGGTTCTTGACAAGTCGGGGCAAGTGATACATCGATACAGGAAGTCGTTCTTGTACGAGACTGACGAGGTTTGGGGATGTGTTGAAGGCCCTGGGTTCAAGAGCTTCCAACTATGCGACGGTGTAAAGGCCAGTATTGGTATCTGTATGGACTTGAATCCTTATCAATTCAAAGCACCCTTCACTGACTTTGAGTTCTCATCGCATTGCTATGAGGAAGGTACCAACCTCATCATCTGTCCAATGAACTGGTTGCACGGTAAGAGTCCAAGTGTGCAAGAAGGATTGACAAGCTATGAGAAATTGGCGCTGGGTGCTGAGTTACAAGGGGCGCTGGATGAAGTTGATGGAGAAATCGTCGTGAACGACAAGGGAAGTCCTATTAGAGAATACGAGGAGAATTTGGCGTACCAAGACCTTCATGAGCCAGACTTTCACAATTTGAACTACTGGCTGCTGAGATTCTTCCCATTCATGAACCATGCTAGGAAACCAGCGACATTTGATGGGAAGACTACAGTGGTTTATTGCAATAGATCTGGGCTCGAGGATACCATTCTGTATGGTGGAACTTCGAGTATCGTCCAGTTCAACGGTTCAAAGGGGTTTCTCGGCTACAATTCCATAGATTTAACAAACAAGAGCGTTGATGTTCTTGGAGCCCTCGGCAAAGGAGACGAAGGAATTCTAATTCGTGAGGTGGATATCTAAATGCGGCTCCATCTATTGGAGAACAACACCATCAACACATCCAAACCCTGCAGCAACACCACCTTCGTTGGAGTTTGAGAATTTCGATCTCAACAACCAGCCAGCATCAGAGTTTTTGATAACCTCACCAGTCGATTGGTCGAATAAGATGGTGCCGAAACGGCCAAGCTCAGAAACTATCTCATCTGTAAATACCTCACCCTCACGGACGAGTTTATTCTTATTCAGAGGTGGATGGATCAATTGCATTAGAATGTAACCTTGCCATTCATCTTCTGGAATAGATCTTAAGAAACCAGGTATATCTTCTTTGTAAATGTTATTACCACCACCTTCACGCTGAGGCTTCAACACGTACTCCTCTGGAGACTCAAATGCCAGTCTTTTAGCCTCTTTACCAAGATCTGAACCATCCAATGGGTATATCTTGACAAATGTTGACACCAACTCGGAGACATCAGACTTAATAAACCTGGAGAGTACCTTCTCATCCGTCAAGATTTGTTGAATTTTCTTTGCACCACTCAACTGGGTCAGCAATGAAGGAGCCTTGATGGCCAATGTAGTCTCCAACGTTACACGGTTTGTCCAATCCTGGTCAGTTTTGAAGTCTGTTGGTGCATATCCGGATCTAAAGTACACAACTGATACTTCCTCATCCGTGCTGTTCAGGAACAAACGACGGTCATGGCCAACACGAGTCTTGTCTGTAAGCTCATGTAACGTGATACGACGTGATACGATTCCGTGGTTTTTTAATAGTGAGTATTCCAAATGACGTTGATCAAAGACATTACGCTCACCTTCTTGAACAATAACAAGCACAACGGTATCCTTGGTGCCCTGGCTCTTGTTATAGTGCTTAACACCATCAGCTAAACCATCAGCAAGCTTCACAGAAGATTCAGACACCGGGATGGTCTCGTCTGGATAGAACCTTGAAGCACTACTTGTGTAGTAGCCAGAGTCATTCAAGTACTTGTGCAAATCACCAACTTTGGAGCTTAGTCCTCCAAAGCTCACACTGACGGTGTTGAATTCAACCTGCTTGATTTGGTCATGATCAAGCATATAGTCCGATCTAAAGACACCGAGGGAAACGTTTTGCTTAATACCAATTTCCTTTGCCTTCTTGTAACTCTCCCATAGCTTACCGGTGAATCCTGCATCGAATTGGGCAAACGAGTCTAAAACAGCACTCAGCCACTCAACGTCACTCGAGACCTTAGCGTAGAGTTCATTGAACTTCTCCTGTACCATCTGGGCCTTCTCAAACGCCTGTTGAGGGAATGGTGTTGGGTACAACGTCACTGGAGCAGCGACTGGGGAGTGTGGCTTAAATCCAACTGGGTACATCACCAGCCCATTGGAGAGGGCATAGTGGTGCAATGCATGGACTAGATCATCCTCCTGGACCTGGGATAACTGAGGAATACTCATCTTTCACAGTCTCAATGCTCAAGCAAGCGGTTGTGTTGCTGGTTGTATTGGCTACTTAAGGTGTAAATTAATGGGCGAACACTGTGATGTGATCGAGCATCGCATTATTTTACCTAGTTGGGTATAAAGCCCGAAGAGTGATCATGTGTCCCCTACCAAAAATATTACTAATGCGGAGACGGGCAAAAAAAATGGACGAGTCCGGAGTCGAACCGGAGACCTTTCGCATGCTAAGCGAACGCGCTACCAACTACGCCACACGCCCTTTTCGGTTGAAATCATTTTGGGACTGTTATCCCCACGCTGATCGTGCTCAGCTCATCCGTCACCACACGACTCGTACGATGAGATGCCCAAAGCTTCGAAGACGAGCAGTTTGAAGAAAAAGTTTTTGACACATTTCTGAGCCAATTCACCCGTTTTTCCTTGAATTTCGAGAAGCTGTGGTGGAGAAGTGTCGTTGATTGATACCGTGCAAGATGACGAATGACGAACCACAAGTGAAGAAGAGAAACATCAGTCGTGGAATCTCTAGAAATACAACGACAAACAGACACCCTCTGAATGTCAAACCGAGTGGAAATTCTCTGATCTTTTCAGATAAGGCTTTGAAGGAGGAGCGTGAGTGCCAGCTCGGTGATTTCAAGAGCTTTGACGATGAGCTCATCATGGAGCTCCTGGGATATATCAGGAATCCAAGAGATTTGAAGAATTTGAGTCTCACATCTAGAGTCTGGTACGCTTACATATATGACGAAGAACTCTGGCGAAAACTGTACATTAGCAGGGCGTTGAAAGAGGAGAAAGAGATGGGCGACGACGCCCCTGTTCCACCTCTGGGGATTAAGTACTGGAATGGATCCTGGAGACGTACTATGCTTCACTTACCAGAAGCGAAAGAGGCAAAGATTCAGCTTCCTGACAACCTCTTATGTTCAGATGTTCTGTTCAGGCCGTATCAATGTTCTCAGATCGATTATGATGACTTATTCAAAGACATCATAGAGGAAGAGCATGAATCTTACCTCTTGAAGCGCACACTTAATGAGAAATTTGGAATTCCAAGATATAGCGAGCAATGGATGACTCAGGAGAGGTTTAACGAGGATTTCACAAATAAGCCATTCATCTTAACCAAGGAGTCAGAGACTCGTTGGCCAAGCTGGTCTCTACCAGAGCTGAAATCTCGTTTCCCAACTGTTAAATTTCGCCAGGAGTCTGTTCAGTGGCCATTGGAGTTCTACTCACAGTACTTTGTATCAAATTCAGATGAATCTCCTCTATACTTATTTGATTGTCAATCATCTGCTATGAAACAGCTTGTGACAGAGTACAAGGTTCCCGATATCTTTAAAGATGATATATTCACTGTTTTTAATGAACAGAACTGTCGTCCAGATTACAGATGGATTATTGTCGGACCAACCCGTTCTGGATCAACTTTTCACAAGGATCCCAATGCCACGTCTGCTTGGAATGCTAATCTAACCGGTAAGAAGTTGTGGGTGATGCTCCCTCCAGGTGTCAAGCCACCAGGTGTTGGCACAGACGATGAGGAGTCAGAAGTCACATCCCCTGTTGGTGTTGCAGAGTGGGTTCTATCTGGCTTCTACAACGATAGTGTCAAGCTTGCTCTCGATGGTAAATGCCAAATAGGAATCACTTTCCCTGGTGAGTGTATGTACGTTCCAAGTGGATGGTGGCATACTGTGATCAACTTGGAAGATTCAGTAGCCTTGACACAGAATTTTGTACCAAGTGGTGCTCTAGGTGAAGCTCTGTGGTTCTTGAAGCGAAAGGAAGACCAGGTTAGTGGGTTCCATGTGAAAGATCTCAAGAAATCCATCGAGAAGTTTGTCGCAAATAATAATGTTAAGGGTGAAAACATGGATGTTCTAAAGGATTGGCTGAAAGATGTTTCCAACAAGACACTTGACAACGAAGATGTTGGCGAATGCTCACACTTTGCTAAGTTGCCAATATACGAATATTTTGTTGAGTTGATCAAGGCCAAAGCTGAGTACGCCAACCTATTGGAGGATGGCATGAAGACCATGGAAAAGTTAGAAAAGGAAGAGCGTGAAAGATCTGAACCTAGAGTTGTTCCTTCAAAGAAGTGGGACCAACTCGTGGAGCAAGAACATCAGAGTACAAGTGCGTTCTCCTTCAACTTTGATGAAAGTGAGAACGACGAATAAAAAACATTGCTTTTATATAAATGAGATAAGGAGTGTAATTAAGAGTTCTAACATCAACAAGCATAGTGTTTATGGGCTTGAATGACCGTTTACTGTGACCTTTTCGTTTTCCTCAATCAATTCAACGTCGTTGCTTTCTGGCACATTTAGGAATCTTAGGATATGAGGGAACACCAACTCTTCAATGTGATCACCCCAGATGAGGTCCAAATGTTCATGATTTGGTACAGCGACACACTCGGTTAACCCCTCTGGAAGAAGATCAGTCATCTTGTTGATATCCACTAATGAATCAATCGTACCATAAATCAACTTGATGGGCACTTTAATATTTGTTCTTGTAGGGAACGATGGTGTTCTGAATGCCTTTGAGAGGGCGTTAGTGAGCGACACGCCTTCGTCAAACATTTGGAACGATGAGTTTCTAATTATTTGAAACCAATGGACAACAGATTTGACAGATGTCGGGCTGTATAGATGTGCAAAAGATGCAATTTTCTGATCAAAGGTAATGTTTTCATTTTGCCAGTTGAACAAGAATGCTACACAGTAATCAATGACCTTTGAGAATAACGGTGGATAACAAATCTGCTGCCAGAATGATGCTGTTGGTAGCAATGTCTTCTTTCCAAATATCAAATACATTATACTTGGAGAAGACTTAATCAACGTATCAACAACCCTGTGGTGTAAACCATTGGGAGTCATAGCAGGTGATAACGCTATGAATAAGTTGATCTTACTGTTGAGCGTGGGATTCATTGAGAGGGCAGCAAATGCCTGTGCTGAGCCCTGCGAGAACCCAATATATGTCAAATCCTTTGCACCTGTATACTGCAATGCGTATCTGATAGAGTCAGGAATGTCATAGATGGCAAATTCATCAATGGCGAAATCCCAGAACTCAACATCGTTTGGTTTCAGGTGGATGTGCTTGGAAGAGTACTTGTTGCCTCTGTTGTTACCCATCCAAACGTCAAAGCCCAACTCGTGCAATAGGAATGGAATATTACGGTCCTTCTTGATGTTTACACACCAGATGTCGGAGCACATGAGTAAGCCATGGTGTAGGTATACCACTGGAGCGGACCCGTCCAACTGCTTTGGCTTGATACGGTGTAAATTGAGGAGATATCCATCTTCAGTCTCCACAATGTGATTATCGATGTCGTACCCAAAGAGCTTACCAATCTCGACAATCGACTGCGTGTTTCTGATGTTGTCCCTCAACTCGATGAATTCAACCTGGTCCCGTATCTTCATCCCGTTCAACGTGGCCCTGCTGGTCTCACCACGCCTCTTAAACAGCAGCCCGTGTAGGCCCTTTAGCGTCGAAGTCACGGCTTCCACAACAACGTCAGGCAACAGCTTTGTGACTATGGAGATCACAAACTCCAGATACGTCGCAAGGAACGAGAGCACCAACACGGGCCATTCCGTCAACGACAGTCTTCCGATGAATGGAATGTACATTGCGAGAAAAGCGCTTGACTCACTGGCCAAATATCAACGAGTCACGTACCGCTGTAGTGCAAAATGTGAAGAGAGGCCCGCAGAGAGGAAGCCAGCTAAAAAAGCAAGCAAAAAAAGCAGCAAAATACATTGTGTCAAATTGTGTTGTGCGAAAACGGAGGCTGTGAAGCAGGTGGAACAATTACATAATCCATTACGTAATGCTAGATTACATAATCCACGCTTATATAATCAGACATCCGAAAAGGTTCGTGTCCCGGGGATAAGTGAAAATTCTGTGTGCGAGAACCGAAGGCAATTACGTTTTCCCACCCTCCCATTGGCCAAATGGTCATCCGACCGCAAGCCCGTAGAGCCCCCGGGGCGTAGGAAGAAAAACCACACACACACAAAGCGTACACAAAGGGGAAAGGGTGACATATTTTTCACGATTCGGGCCCGTGATGCCTGGGAATTGAGTAACCAACAGACGATGGGGATTTTTTCACCACACTTTTGAATTTTACCCTTTTGCCTTGGGCTTTCTCTTTTGCGTTGTTGTTATTCTTTGAAGACAAACAAAACACACGGGTCATACCACCACTGTCTGTTGATATAAAATACACAAAATGCTTTCACGTCTTGGACTCCGTGGTATTGCTAGACCAGCTCAGAGCTTTGTTCGCAACCAAGCCATTAGATCTCTCAACACGGTGAGAACCACTGCTGATGCTGAGCAAGAAATCTTGGTTGAGCAGAGAAAGAACAGACCAGTGTCTCCACATTTGACCATCTACCAACCACAATTGACATGGGTGCTGTCCTCCTTCCACAGAGTCACAGGTCTCTACCTCGCTGGAGGCTTCTACGGGTTGACCTGTACCTATGCGTTTGCTTCTCTCTTTGGCTACCACATTGACTCCACTGTTATTCAAGAGGCATTCTATGGCTTGAACCCAATTGCCCAGTACGCTTTGAAGGCTGGTATGGTTTTCCCATTCTTCTTCCACTTTGGCAACGGTATCAGACATTTGATTTGGGATGCAGGTAAGGAGTTGACCATCAAGGGTATTTACAGAACTGGTTACGCAGTTTTGGCATTCACTGCTCTCATGGGTGGTGTTTACACCCTTATCTAAAGTTGATTGACCCCCTTTGCATATACAATTTATTCACCTCCGGGATATTTTTTGTTTCTTTCTCTAAATATATCTAGTTACGACATGTGTTCTTACTTGAATTCGTATGCTTTTTTTTGATTCGCTTCATCTGTAAAGCTAGTACACCTGTTTGATCAGAGATGCCCATGACAAGGCGTTGACTACATCAAGTCCTAAAGCAACCATTCATTCTTATACATCATCGTTCTTTTTTTTGTGTTTTTCTTATACCCTTCGGTACTTTCTTTTCGTACACACCATTTCAATCATTACATTATGGCACTCTGTTGAACATCGTCTTAGATGTAACGCCATTTTCAAATCATCAAAAAATCAGAATACCCGTCATCGTTCTCTACTTTTAAGAACTCTTCAGTCTTCAAAAAGTTCTCAACTTCATCACCTTCGTTAATGACATTACTTTCAATGTCTCTAATCATCATATCCCTCTTAACATCATCAATAATTCCCTTCTCCGCGCATAGACAAGCTCCTTCGATTCCCTCATTGCAAAATCCACATCCGTATTCTGGCCAAGTGAATTCCAGAGGATCAAAAGTGGTGTTTGTCGTAGTACGGCTTAATACCTTGTGAGTCCCATTCTGCTGGATATGGCTCCAGTCAGAAGGCGTGGACATGGATCTGTCCAACATCACAGACGTTGGCGGTGACATCATATCAAGACTCAAAGATGCCGATCTCTCCAGTGTGGTATTTGTTAGCTTGGTTTTCTTTGCAGGTTGTCTGTCCAGGATCGGCTCTATGGAAGGTAAGTCTGACGGTACCACTGCACTAGTTGAAAGCGTGACAGGTAATGGGGAGGGTGATTCCATCTTCACCTTCACTGAATCAGCAGCCAGCGTCGTCCCTGAGGCTGCAGTTGTGGCAGTTGCAGTTGTAACAGCTGCGACATCGTCTTGTTTCTTCTTCTTCTTCTTTTTATACGTTCTCTTCTTAGGCTTTGCCATACCAATATCCTTTGGATCAATCGTGGATGGAGAAACATCTCTTGTCGTTGTAGCTGTAGTACTCACCGGCGTAGATTCCTGTGGAGAGAGAGCAATCCCAGAAGCGGTTACCGGAATCGATGGGACAGAGTAAGAACGGCGCTGTTGGAGTTGATCAATTTCAACCTTTAACCTAGAAATTATAGACTTGAGCTTGTGGTTCTCTTCAGTAGCGGTTTCAAGTTGAGATTTTAACACCTCGTGAGGCTTCAAGTTCAACACAAAGTTCTCAGATTGGGACTTGTTCAAATTGAGATTTACCATGTTGTTACTCAGATTCGTCACAGATGCATTGGAAGTCACAGATGCGCTGGTGTCCGTGATCGCCAGATCTGGCTCCAGCTGTGATTGAGGTTGCGGCAGCTGGGTTCCATGTTGTTCGGTGCTGTGTGATGAGCTTTTCACCTCTTGAGCATCCTCGGCTTTAGGCCCAACGTGCTCCATCGATTCAATCTTTCCAACCTTCTGTGAACTAACTTGTTGATCAGGTTGTTTCGCGTCAACATCTCGGGCCTGATTCGTTTGGTTCGTCTTACTCGACTGTTTCTCTGGGATATTTGTCTTATTCTCAATATTTTTAGCATGCTGTGCCTGTTGAGCAGCCTGTTGTTTCTTCTTCTCCAAAGATGCAGCAGATGGCTTTCTGCCAGACTTCGGGCGTGGAGGAAGCACCCAATGCTTGGATGTTATGATCATCGGTGCCGGTGGTACTTTATTGGAGCTGGACGCCGAGCCAGTCGATGTGTTAGGCTTTGATATTTGCCCTTGGATTGGCTTTGGCAGCACATGGACGGGCCTAGGCGCTATTGCAGGAGCAATTGGCGCAAAGTGCGAGTTGTAATTCTTCGACTGTTGCTTCACAATGGGTATTGTATTATTCATAGTGTGTCCCTGGATCTCTTTATATATCTAACCTCGTTACTCACTCTGCGTATACCTCTTCTTCCTCTTAATTTTGTGTTGGTCTTTATCACTCCCCCTTTGCTTGTTTGGAACGAGACAAAAATCAACCCAGGCTAAAGAGATGTTGTAAACTCCTTGTATTAAAATTACTCGATTAACGATAACCTCAAAAAAAACTCATACACAACAAACCTCCCGCAATATGAACAAGTGAAGTAACGACAGAAATCAAACACCGCGTAAGAAGGAAAACAAGTGCACGGTTGTTTTGGATTAACCTGGTGTGTGTCCTTTTTAATCACAAAGTGGAAAAATTAAACCATATATGTAAAATCGTGTCTTCGATTTTGGCAGTAAGGTTTTTCTGTGTTTGACTTTTCTTTTTTTCTTTTTCCTGTTTTTTGTCTCTCTTTCTTTTCCATGGGAGTGCGTCCGCCTAAGCTGGGGGGGATTTCTTCATTTCCTGTTCAGCTCCGTTGAGCGCCTGCCTAAATTTTCAGTTTTCCTCGCATGCCGCTGCTTAGTTTTTCCCTCTGCGAGACTGCAGTTTGCAGTACGCGCTGGGAGTGTCGCTGACGGTTCTCGGGTAGCTGGACAGCTTTACCCGGGTAGGGTCAGCCATTTCGTTGTCCGCTAATTTGCTACAAGAACGGGCCTTAGAATGTTGGAGGGATTTTATCGAGTTGCCATAAGGGGAAGTGTGGTGTATCATGTGTGTTGAATGTTCATTTGAGTGTGGATGAAAATCTGTAGGACTGTGTACATGGGTGTACTTTCTGTATCAGTAATTGGTATTTGGAACAGCCGGTATTGGCTGGAGAGCGTTTGTGTCAAAAGTTCTTGATAAGGAAGGACTGCAGTAGTTAGTCGGTGATGTATTTTTTTCTTTTTATGTCCAGCATCTTCCCTATTCGCAGTTAGTTCTCTGCAAATGGTGGATTTAGATGGTCTACACTATAAAACCCTTTCAATTGTAGCACATCATGGAGCTTCTTGTAAACAATTCTACGCTTAAGTTGCAATTTCCGTACAGTGTTCGCGGGGCGGGATTTTAGTGAGGTTACTGTCGCTCGCACTCAACAGAGATTTGGCGGATCAAGTGTCGCAGGGAGTGTTTTTTTTCGCTGCCGTTTTTCAAAGGCCGTAGGAGATAGTAGAGCCCGCTGCACATCGTTGTCGACCTTCATCTTCCTTCACTACATTTGGATAAATATTTCAAGGCTAAAAGCGTTGGAAAACAAAGGCAAGATGTGCTCGGCCACTACGCTGGTTGGTATTTAAGTGATGTCCTATAATGGCTGTTCGGGTGTCTGGACACCAAATTGCTCAATTGAACGCTTCCGGCCCAGTAGGCCTTGTCACAAAAATTTGGTGTAAGAGCTTTAACCTCCAACAATGAGAAATACACACTGTTCAGGACCCAGGCGGCTGCTACGCGTAATGCAATCAACTTTGTCCTGCTTTCAGAGAAGCCCCTTCTAATATACGGCGTTCATACATCGCCACCTTAGGACCTTCAGTAGTACTTTCCATGGAACGTTGTCGATCTATGCAATGTGTTTATTTTTATCGAACCCAATTCATTCGTTCGTAATGGGTTCAGACCTTGTGATCTATACAATATTCAGTGTCTTGTTCTCTGACACATTGTAACAAGCACTTCATTCCGCCCCATATTGCGCGCAGGAATTATGGCGTAGGTGGGCGGGGGTGGGGCAGCGCTGGCGAGCGACATCCAGCGCTTGCCCCATTGGGCCTATTGGCGTCCTGCCCAAGTCTTTGTAAAATTGATACTAAAAAAGGATGCGGATATTTGTGGGCTGATCCCGTCGCCTAACAGTGCATTACATTCTCTTCATTGATGGTACCTACGAGAAGTGGACACTTAGACAGAGTACACAACGCAGGAGTCAAGTACTCCAACGTAGAGAGCCTTTAAACTGCTTTCCGTGAGCCACCAGGACCATTTGCATATTTATTGGATCTAGGTTTGGGCTTGCCCGGTTCCACCGTCCAGTCCAGTCCGAGGAGATAAAGTAAATCTACAATGGGGACCAACAAGAAGCAGCAGTATGAATAGCGTTCTGCCGTCCAGAGAAGCCAGTATTTGATCAATGCTCTTCCAAAAAGCGATATGTATTATATAACATCTGATGGAAACGGCAGAACCCTAAGGTCAATAGCCCTGTATGCAAGCCATCGACCTCACTAACTCGCACATCGCAATGATCTAAAAGCCGAAGCTTCGTGGTCAATCCTGACGCAACGGTTAACACAGTAAACGTTATACATTTTCAAAACACACCAAGTTCTTAATTAGAAGTGATAACCATATGCAGTGTGACTGGACTCCTTTTATCTTCAACTCCAACGAAGAAAGTGCTCTCAAATCGCACATCGTTTAACTGCACTTCGGATTGTATCTGTCCCCAGCCCTCCTGCTAGGCGAGTGAACCATTTGTTGCGCGGTTCAAATTTCTAAGATCAACAAAAACTAGTTGAAGCAAAAAAGTAAACAAACATCACAGTTTGGGCGGCAGTCTCCAGGCGGCAGTGGCTCTATAACTCACACGATGCTCAGAAGATCAACAATAGGGAAGAACACTTCATCACTAAAGCAGAGACAACTTTCCCATCTACATTCACAGCTAGCTCAACTTGAAGCAAACCTTTCCGACTTTGAGACGTTGATGAAAGTAACAACATTTCAAGCAGAATACATCAAAAAGCTAGGTATAATGCATGGCAGCTTGTAAGTATTACCATAGTTTATATCTTCATTGGTACTTTACTAACAGTTAAATTCGTTTTATTTAGATTCATGTCCAGTCACAAGATCTTTGAAGAGGAAGTGCGGGCGCAAGAGACGGAGGAACAAGAAGAAGGAACAGAAGAAGACTGAAAACTGTCGGTATATTCAAAGCAAGCATAAATACCAAAGTAACGGAAAACTTCTTATCGTGTTTGACTCTGTTTACAACACAAACCTCACTCTTCTATGGACTGCTGAATGGTGTTATTCTATGGAGGATAAGATGAGACAATATCCTTACCATAAACAACTATGCCAACCATGCAAGCTCATGTCAGAATGATAAATTACATCTTTGGCTTCTGGACACGTTACGCTCTGAGACATATACATCACACTTTACGTTTACATTACAATCATCAACTAATTGCTTACAGAACCAGTAGTGCTTCAGAATTGATTTCGCGAACTTTTGACCGAAAATGGAAAAGGTCAAAACTTTTTCAACGCTTGTTGTTGCGATGGACAAAGTATTCGAGTCGTCTCAACCTTAAGGAAAACTAATAGACAAGAGGATAATGTTTGGTCCTTTCAGAACTTCGGGTGTCAACTTTAGTGGCCTTCTCTGGTAAGCGCTTATTCAACTAAACGAAAATGATAAATCTCCTTGGAGATATACCAAGTCTTCATAACTAACATCAACGTTATTTAGGAAAATTCCACACACCATGTCACAGACCCAGAAATACCGTCACCGTAAGCGTCTCCAACAAGTTGACTCTGTTGTGTCGACTGTTCTTGGAGGATTGAAGAAAGAGAACCTTGCACCATCGAATCTTTTGGCACAATACTCGAAATTCCCAAAGGAGGAGGAAATGACCACTTTGAACAAGTACACCGTTTTCAACAGATTTAGCAAAGGCTACAGAAAAAGTATACACAGAACTCCACACTGGACAAAGAAGAGTCAAAGAGTCAACCCAGAACATTTCTGATTTTGATCGTCTCCAACAAACTTCACATCATGCACTCCGCATAAGCCATTGTATATAGTAAACGTGATGATTCAGTTGATATGTGTGATAGAATACTACCTGTAATGATAAGCATATAGATACTCTAAAATATGGAGCTGATACATGTCTGAATTGCTCTCCACACTTTTTCTACGTTAGTGTCTGCTGATTGTACAAAACGAAATAACATGATAACACAATTATAAACAGCTCCATCAGCAGATATTGGGATACCAACGTGGAACATAAAACCTAAAGAGAAATGAAAGTAATTTACCAACTATGTGAATTGTATCTCCTCAAAGTCTATCCCAGATGTAGTTAGAAATAAAATACGAACTGTATTTTTCATCTCCATAGTTCAAGAAATCAGTCAAGTTTTTCTCCTTGTTGTATATGATCATCGCTGAGGACTTCATGTCAATCTTGAGACCTAGCTTTCTATAAACCATGAGTTTCAAACTGGATGGTTTTCCCCAGTTAGTATGTTTTTCTCAAAAGCAGTCAGAAAGTGATACTTACACAATAGCATCTTTATCTTCAATGTCATCAACAAAGTCTAGATCTTCAATTTGCTTCTCCAAAGAGGACAATTCATCAACAAGACTACTGAGCGTTGTTGATAGCTCCTGTTTATTACTGGTGACTTCCTTTAAGGTCTTGTTTAGTTCCAATTCTGATGATTGGTTCTCTTTAATCTTCTTCTTCATATCGTTTCTCATCTTGGACGATTCGGTATTCTCAAGTGTTTGAAGCTGTTGAGATAGTTTCTCAGACATCACTTGAATATCAAATATGTTAGACAGCCTTCCAATATCGTAAAGTTATATTACTCACGTTGAAGTTCTCGCTGTTCTGTATGTATTCTCTGGTCACGTTCAGACTGTAATACCCTCAAGCTCGCAGCAATACGATCGATCGTATCGAGATCCGATTGAATATCACATCCCTCAAGTGTCTGTCGAAGAAGACCAGCCGGGTCCTGTAACACCATAGTTACTCTAATACTTAAGGATAGCTCTAGATAAGAAAGAGAGGTAAACAGATGTGTTTGTAGTTGTTTGTTTACTTTTTGACAACAGCAGGTGAAAATGTCTTGAAACTCCCAAAACGGAATATCTCCCAATACGGACAAACGAGGTGCTCCGATGATGAAAACCATCAGATTTCTTTCAAATCCCAAATGACAAAGCATACAAACTTCGATAAACAAGGCACAGTGGAACCCTTTTCAAGTTGTGCAGTAAGGATGGATAAACACAACGAGAAGTTACCAGTATGGATGCTCACACCTGGTGAGGAAAAGGAAGCTAGAAAGCGTTGGAAAGACTACGCATACCATCAATGTGATGACGCTGTCAAGAGTTAGTGGATACAATTTTACCATGGAGTGTGGGAAGCTTTAGTACTAACACTGGATGTTATAGAATTTGCAGAGTGTTCCAAAGCAGCCGGTTTGAAAGTCTTGTTCCAATGTACGGACGCCAGAGATGCCATGAATGCTTGTATTTTGAAGTACCAGGGACCAGGTGAGCTGGATAGACAGAGGAGAATATTGATTGCCGAGAAGCAAAGTAAGCTAGCTGAGCAGAAATAAACCAGCGGTTACTTCATTCAGAGATGAGGCCCATCTTGTAAGGTAAAGGATCTGGAATTAACCATGGACAAGGCTTTGCGGTGCAAATTTTTCCTCTTCAAGGAGAGGAGATCCACTGTTTCACTTTATTCATCACCCATGTGGTTATACATAGCGTCATAGTAGGTATCGTGTACATACAGAACAAAAAATAATACCTCAACAAGAGTCTACACAAGGAACGTATATATCATCATTTTATCTCATATTTTCTGTAGAGCTCCACAACCCCGCTGTTCGGTTATGTTGCCCGTTCTTTCAATGGTAAGAGAAGAAGTGTTAAACGCGATGGGGGTATATCCAAAACGACAGCACTAGCAATATTACTTTGGGATTAATATTCTGCAGTCTTCTCAACTCCCCTCGATGGCTTTTGATCTTCACCATGAGTGCACTGACCACGTGAAGAGCACATCTCATCTAGAATTCCCCTCCTTTTATGGTTACTTCCACGCTCATTTTCGATAGCGATGTGACACAAGATGACCTCAGATAAGTCATGATGGCAATCGCTGGAATCTGAGTGGATGGACATAGAGTTTTAATGTGAGTTCTTGTGTCATTCAATATGTATTATTTGTCATCTATGTGTCAATCAAATGAACATGTTCTCCTCGCTTCTTTCCTTTAGACTGCTCGCCAGCTATATAAACTCAATGTGATCACCACTTTATGCCCCTGGACATGATTGGTTAATGATTATATTTAGAACAAACATCAGAATTAACCATGTCTGGAATCTTTGATAAGTACATCACTATGCTCTCCGGCACCTCAAAGAGCATGAATTCAAAGGCCAATGCTCAGAGATACATCTCCACCATCGACGGTCATGAGATTGTCATTCCAGCTCACAAGATGAGAAGATCTTCCTCGGTATCATCAGACGCCAGTGACATAAGTGCAGGCATGATGTCGAGAAACGGCAGTGTCTCTGGCGACTCCCATGAGGCTGTCATCATGGAAGTTAAAGAGGTTAAGGTCAAGACAACGCCTAACAACAGAGTCAACTTTTGACCTGTATATTTTTGAGGGCTTATATATCCTTGTGAAGAAGTGTCTAGATCTGTGTAAAGACACCAAGAGCTGATGTGTTAGTGATCCTCACAAGAGCAAGGAATACATGAGGATTGGGACGGCGACGTGAAATGACATAATGAATTGGATGGGATTTTTGGTTTTGAAGTATTGATATTTCATGAGGTGTTAGAGTTTACAATTTATTGCAATTTATGACATATTTATGTTTTATATGTGTAGCGCTGTGGAGTATATTCCAGAAATTCATCAACAGCAATGAAGTACATAAACGTGGATATTTCTATTGTTGTGATGGTATACCCTGTGGTGATATGGGCGGCTACGCTTTGTGCACTGAGTGGCTTTTTACGCCGCACCGACCCAGAAGGCTCTATCCGCAGTGAGAGCAGACCCCGAGTAGTCTAAGGCAATTCTCAAATTGGAAGCTCAAGCCCATGGAAGACTTGCCATTGTGGGTGTTGACCTATTACTCCTATGTTGGTGCCCCCACTCATCCCCAGCTCAATGCATACTTTCGTGCCTCACTTTTCGATCTTCTATGACTCAGCAAAGCTCCACCGCCTGGACAAACGGACAGGAGTATAGAAAGACACAGCAATGAAGAACGGATATAGAGAATCACAATGTCTCCCATTCCACAGATTCTTTTTGTACTTATAGCTCAACGAGAATGGGTTGCTACAAGAATAAGTCGAGGGAGCTCTCTGTATTGGAATCTGTTACAATGAATATCACCACGGAGATTTCCCCAGACAAAGATTACGTTGAAGTCCATGCTACGGAAGCAGACAAGGAGCAATTCCCAGAAGGCGGGAAAGGTTGGCTGGTGGTGTTTGGCTGTACGTGCTGTAGTCTAATGAGTTTTGGGATGACGAACTCATATGGTGTGTTTCAAACACATTACGAGACAGTGCTGTTCTCCGACGTGCCAAGTATCAAGCTGAGTATTATCGGGGCCTCACAGGCTAGTATATGCTATTTGGTCACATCTATGACATTGCCGCTGATCTATGCATTTGGGATTAGACAGGTGTTGTTGTTGGGTTGTTCTCTGATGATGGTTGCTATGTTTGGTCTTTCAACCACACACCAAGGACAGCTGTGGAAATGCTATCTCTTCCAAGCAGTGATGTTCTCCATAGGTATGGGGCTCGTTTTTGCAGCCATCCTTTTCAGTCCGATCGAATGGTTCAAAAGAAGAAGAGCGATGGCACTGGGAATATCGATGAGTGGTGTTGCTGTTGGCGGTATTATCTGGCCTATTATTTTCAAGAACATGATTAAGCACAACAGTTTCAATTGGACTGTTAGAACAATCGCTTTTCTATACGTTCCCTTGTCTATTGGCGCAGTAATACTCGTCCCACAGGAACTGGAACCAAGGTTCATACACAAAGCGGAGACCGTTTCGAATTCTAGATGGTGTATTGAGAAGATCAAGAATTTACCATCAACATATCGCACCTCTTTCAAAAACTGGATTAGACAGACAACAGACATGAGGTATGATTCCATGCTACTATCGAATATCCTTGGTATGTTTGGATCTTATCCAGCAATCTTTTACCTTGACTATTTTGCAACTCTCATAGCCCCAAATGCCACCTTCACAAACTACGCAGTGACGATTTATAACCTATTTGGAGGCCCTGGTAGAGTACTCCCCGGTATAATTGGTGATAAAATTGGCAGATGCAACTGCTTGATTGCATTTCTTCTGGTGCTGAGTATTTCTATCTTCACCATGTGGATTCCATGTATAAAATACCAGATACTGCCGTTATACGCTGTATTCGTTTGCATATTTGGACTCTGTGTGGCACCATTCTACTCATTGTTTCCTGCTTGCTTTACACAAATCTTTGGAACCCAAGGATCCGAGGCAAGGCTTGGTCTCTTTCTCTTTACATCTTTCCCGGGCCCCCTACTCGGTTGTGTCATTGCAGGCTCATTCATTCCTAAGGGAACTTCATCTGCTGAAACAGTGATTCACGCGTACTACAAACTCACCATATATTCTGGTGTTGTGATGATGGCTTGCGCATTGGTTCTACTGGGCGTTCGGCTGTCAATCACTAAAAGACTGCTGAGGTTTGTATGAAGTTATTACCGCATATAACAAAATTGGTGCCTTTCATAATTCTACGTACAGCCCGTTGATACGAAAACACATCCAGCACGTGCGATGGTCAATCTCATTGAGTACTTTCATACCAATAAAAGACAATGTACAGCTCTCGAGTATATATAATTCCAAAGCGTGAACAACAGCCAATAGTCAACTTGATAGTGCTTGCCTGTTAATACGACTGACGTAGAGCAACTCAACTGTTCTCTCTCCCCCTCTCAGTAGAGTTATTCTTAGTTGTTATTTTCCTCCACCATTGTTGCCCCAGTGATAACCAGCATAAACAAGGCGCTTGTCATTGCTGCAAGTAATTACGCATATTTCCTGGTGTCTGGGTGTTGCGGAACACACCTGCTCTCTCAGGGGCTGGGGGTGTGGGCTCTGTGGGGCCTTTTTTGCTTTGCCACTTTTGTACTTCCTTTCTCTTATCACAACCCTCGGTCCTGTCATTTAAAACAAACAACAGAAGAAAAGTCCAATAGTCTTCAACACACGCTGTCTGTGGTATTAATTCGGTAAAAGCTCTTATTGTCCGAATACTTATTCACTCGCTGTTTGTTGAACTCGTCTGCCACTTTATTCTGTTTAGCTAAACGAGTCAATTTCCTTTATCAAACATTTACAATGCAACTAACTGGTTTGTACAAAGTTGCTCTGGCGCTTGCCGCAATTACAGACGCTGTTGAAGCGAAAGTTCACAGTGCAAAGATCCACAAGCGTCCAATCGACGATACCTTGAAAGATGCGACTTTTGAAGAGTACCTCAAGAACTATGGCCATAAGTACTTGACTGCTTTCCAAAAGGCATACCCAGAGTCTCAAATTCCAATTGATGCTGAAGGTGGTCACAGCACGCCATTGACCAACTACTTGAACGCTCAGTACTATACTGAGATTGGTTTGGGTACCCCGGCTCAGATCTTCAATGTTATCTTGGATACTGGTTCCTCGAACTTGTGGGTCCCAAGTGCCGATTGTACCTCGTTGGCTTGCTACTTACACACGAAGTATGTTCACGATGATTCTTCCACTTACAAGGCCAATGGCTCTGAGTTTGAAATTAGATACGGTTCTGGGTCCATGGAGGGTTACGTGTCCCAGGATACTTTGCAATTGGGTGATTTGATCATTCCAAAGCAGGATTTCGCTGAGGCCACCAGTGAACCTGGGTTGGCGTTTGCCTTCGGTAAGTTTGACGGTATCCTGGGGTTGGCTTATAACTCCATCTCCGTCAACCACATTACACCACCAGTGTACAATGCCATCGACCAAGGCTTGTTGGACAAGTCCCAATTTGCCTTCTACTTGGGTGACGCTGATAAGAACGAAGAGGATGGCGGTGTTGCCACTTTCGGTGGCTATGACAAGTCCAAGTTCACTGGTGATATTACCTGGTTGCCAGTCCGTCGTAAAGCCTACTGGGAGGTCAAGTTCGATGGTATCGGCTTGGGTAAGGAGTACGCCGAATTGCAGGGTACCGGTGCTGCCATTGACACTGGTACTTCTTTGATTGCCTTGCCATCTGGTTTGGCTGAGATTTTGAACGCTGAAATTGGTGCTAAGAAGGGTTGGTCCGGTCAATACGCCGTTGAGTGTGACACAAGAGACAGCTTGCCAGACTTGACCTTCACCTTTGATGGTTACAACTTCACCATTGGACCATACGATTACACTTTGGAGGTTAGTGGTTCATGTATCTCCGCTTTCACACCAATGGACTTCCCAGAACCGGTTGGTCCATTGGCCATCATTGGAGATGCCTTCTTGCGTAGATACTACTCCATCTACGACTTGGACAACAACGCTGTTGGTTTGGCCAAAGCCATCTAATCCAATAGAACATGTTGTGTACGTTTTCTACTTTTACCTTAGCCCTCCAAAAAAAGGAAAATTACACGTTGCTTAATCTCATCAAGGTGTACGCTTGTTCATCGCACTACCTTGTGTTTTATACGTTAAAAGACATGCAATTAATATATGGATCTTTCTTCTTGCTCTTCTTAGTTTGGAGCGTAGAACAGTTGCTGTGAGAACACTGTGGTGTGCGGATGTTCTTGTTTGTTTACATTTCCCGATTTGATAAAAATTGTTTAAGGACGATGAAGAAATTCGGAAGTTTTGATGAGTTCACAAAAACGTCTTAGTGGAAGCCAATCAATTTACAAACAGCTCAGTGTAAGATCACCATTACACCATGTACTCTTCACGAAGCCAAACTCCCAGTAGAAGAGGTGTTCCTGGTACCCCCTCAACTCCTTCAATGAGGCCAACGTCAAGCATTTCGTCTCGCGCACAGACACCATCAAGCACCAGCAGATTGCGTTCTTCAAGGTTTGGAGATAGACCGGCGTTTACACCGGTAAGGGAGAGGCCTTCTAGTAGTTTGTCGTTTGGTGGATCGAGACCTACAACACCTTCGGTTTTGTCGCAGTCACAACCGTATACCGGCTCAATTTCCGTTGCGATTAGGGCTAAACCTTCAGAGACGTTTCTGAAGGACCCATGGCTTCTTGGGGAGGAAACGATCCAACATAATGAAGTTGGTGAATTCAAGTTTGACCATGTGTTTCAACCACACTGCTCCAATGCTAGTGTATATGAGAAATCCGTGAAAAATCTCATTGAATCTCTCATGGATGGCTATAACGCTACTGTATTTGCATATGGAATGACTGGTTCTGGTAAGACATATTCGATGACTGGAACTCATGATGAACCCGGTGTGATTCCATTATCCATTGGTGAGATATTCAGTAAGATCGAAGCTTCTGATAAGGAGATTTACAAATTCGACTTGAAAGTGTCATACATGGAGATCTACAACGAGCGTATATATGACTTGTTAAACGTTGACCAGTTGAAGGGTGCTGCACTCAATACAACATCTTCTGATTTGAAGATAAGAGACGTCCCAGGGTATGGCGTTAAGGTTGTTGGTCTTGTGGAGGAGAAAGTCACTTCTGAAGCTGATGTTTTACACTTGATGGATAAGGGAAACTTGAACAGAAGAACTGGTGAAACTGACTTCAATACAAGATCGTCACGTTCACATGCCATCTTTTTGGTACGAATTTCAAAGACAAATACAGTTACGGGTATGGAGAACTTTGCAACGTTGTCTCTGTGTGATTTGGCGGGTTCTGAGCGTGCTACGGGACAATCAGAAAGAAGAAAAGAAGGTTCATTTATTAACAAGTCTCTCTTGGCTTTGGGAAGTGTTATTGTCAAATTGTCGTCACCATCTACAAATGCAGGACATATAAACTACAGAGACTCGAAACTAACAAGAATCCTTCAACCAGCCTTGTCTGGTGATGCTGTGGTTTCGATTCTTTGCACAATCCATACAAGTAATACTGCCTTAGCTGAGACCATAAACACTGTGCGTTTTGCTGCTAGGGCCAAGAACATTACACTGACCGTTAGAAAGCACGAGACTGACACATCTACCGAGAAGGATAGAATGATTGAGAAGTTAAAGATTCAAGTTGAAAGACAACAAGAGGAGATTGCGTCATTAAAATCACAAAAGACAATCTCTCTTAGTACTATACAGGCATCAGAAGGACTTGTTCCTGAAGACATTAAAGAACAGATTACAGAGCTGACTGCTGAGAATAAGATTCTCATGGAACGTGTCGAACACTTCACTAGACTAACAGACCAACGAAACGCAGAGAAGATGGTCCTAAAGAATGAAATCGTCAATGATATCATAAGTAAAAGTTCAGATAGTAAGAACTCTGAGGAACTCATCATCAAAATTGAGGAGCTTTTCAAGAAGACGTTCTCCGAAATTGATGAATACAAATCATATATTGGACATTTGGAGAACCAGCTGAAGAAAAGAATACAAGATACTGAGAACAGAGTTCCGTCTTCAAATGATCATGATCATATTGTCGTACACAATAACCCTGATATGGATGTCAACGGTATACTGAGAGATCAAGAGGAGGAAATCATCAATCTAAAGAATGAACTCAGAGGCAAGGAAAAGATAATAAAGGCCCTCCAGAGTACCCGAAGAGTTAGAGAAAGTTTGGTACACACTATTGGTCTCAACGAATCCAGAAGAGAATCATCGAGGCATGACACCTTAAAGCCGTTGAATCTTGACCTAAACACCCCGACTAAGCTCAAAGAGGAGACATTTTAATGTCAAATCCGTCCTTTAATCAATGTAATATTCACCATGACTTGATATAGGAAACTACATGTATTGTCCCACTATTTGAATTCTCTAAGGATATATTGATTATTGTTTCATCAACTGACATCCTTATTCAGTACTCAGAACCAACGATGGATTCCACTGTGTTCATCGCTTCATGAGAGTTTCTATGATCTAGCACAGTTGAGCTAGAGTATTCGCTATTCTCAACGCTATAATCAAGAGAGGACATAGAAGTATCATACTGATTTGTGGGCATAAACTTTTCACCCCAAATCGCATATATACCCTTCAAATAGCCTTCACTATGGACATATAATACTCGACATCTCGCTGTCTCTCCACATAAATCTCTAGTTACTTGTGATAATTGGTCGAGGTTCGAGTTTCTCGGGAGGAACAAGCACACATTCGGTGATATTTGGAAGAATGATCGAAGCAAATCGGCCAATGGAATTGGTTCTAACTGGGTTAGATCAAAGGAATCGTTTGCAGTGTAGCCTGGTCCGCCCCAAGGAGGAGATGCAAATACAAAATCAACTTCATTCTGGAATTTTGACAACAGCTCAACGTTAATACCAGAGGGCCACATAGCGAGATGTAGCTCTATCTTGTCCATCACTCCATATATCTCTGAATTCTTCTCCGTGCAATAGATGTGTTCTTCGTTCATATCTACACCTATCACCTTGTTGAAATATCTAGCCATCTGTATTGTATTACCACCACCACCGGAGAAAACGTCGAGAACGGTATTTACGCTAGGATCACAGGCTTGAATGAATTTGGCAATGAATATTGCCACCATTTCAGGGGTCACTGAATACCAAAGCTCTTTGTTCATGTATACACCTTCATCGAACTTAGAAAACAGACTATAGCGTTGTTTCCAGTACTTTCGTGAGCTCTTTGGGAGATCATCGTATTGTAATAGGAAGCGCTCTGGATGTGCATCAAAGGATGCTCTGTTCGGAAGAAATGTCTTTTCCATATAGCAATCGCGTTCTTCTGTCATATCATCCACAGTGATCTTCGCCAACTACAAGATCAAGACGTATAAAACATGAACAAGGCCCGTAATCAAGAGAAGAGTGCTTAGAGACGAGATGAGACGGAAATATTTTACATCCGGACACCACGTATCACCTCAACCGATTCAGAAAAACGAAAAAAATAGGACAATTACGCAACTTCTCGCAACTTTTCGCAAGTTCCCGCAACAGACTACGCCAAACTAAAAAAAGATTCGAAGTGGCTGGTTGTTGAAATCTATTACTTTACCTCTTTGGGAAGTTACACAACCCCGTCCTTCACTCACAGCACTGTTGAGTATAAAGATCATGGGATCAGCTATGCTGAGTGTAGCCTTGTGCTGGGATGGATCATTTTTACCCCCTTTTTTCTTCCTTTTGATCCATCACAGCTAACTATCTCCATTCGTTACGTCTGCTTTAATGAACGAGATGGAATCATTACAACGAACAGCAACATACGACGGTCCACAGATGGGATTCCAGTTCCCATACTCCGAATCTGGCCATGGTGAGAGTCACCAAGGTAGTGGGTCCCTACCTGCACCAGTAATGATGTCTTATTATCAAACTGGAGGTGATAGTTCATTTTCCGCACACTCCTTTATTGATTTCAGCGATGTATCTGTATCCAACCATGATCAATCACAGGCCAATTTCTCATTTGATAACTCCATTGATGTTTCGATTCCAACACAGTCAAATACAAGCTATCAGATCACACACGGCTCCCGCTCTGTCGCTACAACTAGTCTTGGAAGGGAGGATTCCACAATCAAGAGAATGAAGCTGAGTAGAGATTTGACTAAATCAAGCATCAAGCGTACAGCATCTGTGAAGAGACAGTCGTCTCTCAGAATACCACAATCCAGAGTGAGTTCGAACAGAGCAGCTAGAAGTGAGGATGAGTCGTTGTACGAAAAGACATCTCTGAAGAGATCAAAGGCAATCAAGTACAAAATAGGCTGGTTATCGAAACTGCGTGCTCTTGGAGTCAAGATCAAGAACAGGGTTAAGAACTGGAGGTTCATTTCAGTCAAGAAAGCCTTCAACTTTAGACAAAGAAGTTTGAAGAAGAAATCTCGCACAAAGATCTCCATGCCATTGGAAAGGGAAAGAGCGCAGAGCATATCAGAGTTGAGAATGGCAATTGACAACGCACCAGACTCCAAGTTCCATTATTCAGGACTGCCAGTTGCACCTGTTTATAGAGCTGTTGCGGATGTCTCTGACACGAATGATCTTATCGAGACCAAAAGACCACCACCAGTACCAAGACACCGTATTGCATCTACTGCCAGTATGCAAATGTTGATCGACCAAGAAAACAAGCTGCAACGTGAAACTACGAACAAGGTTCTTTTGGAACCTATGGATCAGCAGCATACTGCCTACAATGCTGAACAAGACTACCCAGCACATCCTGCTGTAGTTTATGACGATAGCGTCGAACGTGAAGTTGCACCGGGTCTTGACAGTGACAACGAAGAAGATAAGGATGACTACGATGAAGAAGACGACGAGCTTCTCCAGGAACTCATCATCGAGAAGTGGAAAAATTATCTCAGAAGAGTTGTTGCTGAGAGGATCGAGTACAAGCTAGAGGCTTATAGACTCTCGTTGATCCCAATACCAAGTCTCGTCAACCATGAAGACGACACTGCATCCATGAAGTCAACCTCTGACTTCGAAATGGACGACAGTGATCTACACTCGTTGGCATCTACGTCCGCATCTAGTGCAGAATACTCATCAGAGTCTAGCGACACATCTACAAGCTACATGTCGTCCACATCTGTCATCCCAACGTCGTGTCACATTTCAACATTTGATATACTCCAGTACCAACAGGAGTATATGAGCCGTATAAACGACATTCCAACTGCTGTGAAGAGATCATCGACGCTACCAATCAAAGTCAAGGTACTGACTGAGGCACATAAAGAACAACACGACAGATCAATATCTGCTGTATAGTATTAATAGTAATTTAATTAGCTCTTTCGCTTAATCCATGCTCATGTAGAGAAAAATGTAAACGTCGAGGGTTGAACCCGGAACAAAATCAGCCTGCGCCGTCGGTGTATCTCTAAAATCCGCTGATTACTCACAAAAAACACAAAAAACACAACGGCATCCACAGAAAAAAAAACTCAGGGGAAACCTATCTACATCAACAAACAACATCAACAAACAACAAAGCCACACAACTGAGCATGCTTCGCACCTTATTCAGACCTGTTTCGCTTACACAGACGCGGAGCACACTGGTACAGTCTGCCAGATTGCAATCTACAAAGACCACCTCTCAAACTCGGAACGCAAAGAATGCTCTTGCAACCAAAGTGGCGAAACAAAAGAAGACTAACAATCTCGATTACAATGCGCTGAGTAACCACAACCTGCAAAACCCTTCAAAGGCGGAGAACAAAGTTAGAGTGAAGAAGGACTACTCTGCTCTACCAAGAGCTCCTACAACGCATCATCTGAACCCACAGAAGCTGATGATTGATTCGTTTTATGCTGGGTACAGACCATTGGCGATGAAGTCATTACAGCCAAACATGGACTCACGGAAGAAGAAGGCGTCGTTGTTTGACCTAGGGATCCAGGACAGCGCCATGTGGTCCTACTCGGCAGCTGGGCTAGAGGCGTTCCCTGAGTGGGACACCATACCGTATGAGGAGTACAAAGATCTCAAACCGTTTAGCCCACCATCAAAGCATAAGAAGAGTAAGCTTGAAAGAGCAGTGGAGAAAGTCAGGGCTATGGAGTTGGAAGCTGAGAAGGAGACCAAGACTAAAGTGAAAAGAGGTAGAAAGAGACCTATAAACGTCTTCAAAACGAAGAAGATATTATGATTCACCACTACTATACTTGCATAATGTCATCACTCACATTTCTTGTTCCATTATTCCATCACTGTACATAGTTGACATTTGTCTTTTATTAAAACGAGGTTTGTTTGTTGTTTTATCATATGTTTTAGATATTATATATTATAAATATCAATGTTTCATGACTGTTATCCCCCATCATCAAGCTAGCTGCACATCACACATCTTGCCATGACGACTGGTGTCTGCCTTCATCACCTCTCTAAGGGCCATAGTGGCATACGCTGAAGTATCCAATTGCAGTTTCAGGATCACTGCTGTTCTGTCACCAGGAGTACTTGGTAAAATTTGGCTTGTCACCTCTTCACCTGCTCTCTTCTTCTGAAGGATGTCGAAATCTGTCAAGACGAGTTGTTGAGTTGGCTCTGCGTATGTTCTGATATGATACTCCAAGTTATTTGGTTTGGCAACAATCTTACGGTAAGAGCCAGCGAACGAGAACTCCCTGACCTTACGGTACATCTCATTTGGATCCAAGCCATCCTTCACCATGACACTCTTGTAAGTGTTGATCAACTCCTCGTTGGAAGGGTATTTAATGTCAAACCCTGGTGATGGAAGGACAACATCAAAGATGGTGAATTTCTTCTGGTCAACTTCCTCCTGGGTAATTGCTCTGGCTCTTTGGAATTTATCAGTTCTGACATCTTCTTCAAAATCATCGTCATCATCTTGAGCAGTCTTGTTATCACCCATTGAAGTACTTGTCTCTTCCAACACAAGATCACCTACAACAACATCCATACCAAAGAGCTCTATCCGACGAGAAGCCACACAGTTCCACACATAACTCTGGTAGGCATGACCGTACATGATTCTCAAGTTCCTTGGAATCTTCATGATGGCGTTGAAGTAATCGTTCTCTGAGTAATCATCCGAGGATTTTGAGCATTGAGAAAGGTGGTTCAAGAGACACCACTCTGCAATACACTTCTTTGGCATCTTCTCAACAGCATCTTTGGCACTGCGTGTGGTTTCCCAGATGGTTCTAGCATCCAATGACTCTGGTAGAACGAGCTCCTGGACTGAGAGGATCAAATTGGCAGCTCTTGACCAATTACTCAGGAGAATCTCCTTGCCGATGACATGCGTAGAGATGGAGAAAGTTCCAAACCTTTGCATTCCATAATAGTTGATAAAACCATTCGTCTTTAGAGATTCGACTGCCTTCTCCATAATCTGTTCAATTGGTTCGTCACTGATGGCCTGGACATCTCTTAAAGTGATGATAAACTCGTTCCCCTTGAGGTCTCCCAGGGAAAGCGACTTATCCTCATAGGCAAACGAACCGAGCTTCATACCTCTTAGTGCTTTGTTCAAGGAATTGACACGTTCAACTCTGAAACGTGGGAGACACATTCTCTGTACAGTAACACCACGACGATCCTTGGTGCCTGCAAATCTCACAACTCTTGGTTGAACCTTGAGGAAGCGGGCCAGAAGGTTGGCAGCCTCCATGGTATCCTTGTTCTCCTTGTACAAGTTGAAGTGGAGAAATGGCTTATAAGGACCCAGTCCCCAGTTCTCAACACCATTCTCGTCAACGGTATCCTGAGGCCCTTGGTTCGATCTTCTGTTCGATCTAGATTTCGGGTGGTTCAAGCTGAAGGAGAAGGTATTCTTTGGCGTGGTCTTGGTCTCCAGCCTTCCTTCAAATGCCTCTCTAACAAGCTGGTGGACTTTACCTCTGGTGGCCTTATCGTCGATCACCTTCTGGGACTCAAACGTACCTGGAGTCTTGATCAATTCAACAAACTTTGTTACTTCATCTGGGCCAAACATCTCAACAAGCTGCTCTCTCTTTGCCGGGTCAATCTCGAATGGCTTTGGAGGCTCAACGGCAACAGCACTTTCACCTTTTGGCTGGTCATCGCCATTCTCCTGTCTCTCCTTCTCACGACGCTGGCGACGACGCTCCTTCTTGTCGTTGATACCATCGTCCAGAAAGTGCACCACCTCTCCATCCAGCCCAATCTCGTTAACGAGGAAGTCCGTGTATCTCTGCTTCAAAGTACCAACAAACCCTCCGATATCCTTGGAGATGTAGGTAGTTATGCCCACGTCTGCCTCTTGAATGCCCTTACTCTCGGTATTGCTGTTGATCTTTTGCTTCTTCAGCTCAATGGCATCACTGCTATCCTCCACAGATCTCTTAGAGTCGCTCATGATAGGTGCCAGCTGTTCACTCCGACGCTTTTAGACTGATATTGCATCGCGATGAGCTGAGATGAGCTGCCTGGTGGAAATTTTTTCACTGCCGGGGCTCTGCTGCGTACAACGGAAGAAGGTGAAAATTGGATGAGGAACAGAGAGACATCAACAGAAATAGAACCAGTTAACTGAGACGAGGAAGATAGAGCACTTTAAGATGAAAGACTTGATGTTTACTGAGCTCAGCACTGTATGTTGATATCGTGTGTTTTCGACAGCTGCGACTGGAGTACTAACGTTCGTCAGGCACAAACAATCGATGTGATAAGGAGAAGAACAGATGCCTTGTTCCCACAGCCAGGACCACTGTTCAACGAAGAGTATGTGTGCTATGGAACTTGTGACAGCAGCCATGATGTACTAACACCAAACAGGCCAGCAGAGTATATAAAGTCTAGGCTGCGGAGGAAAACTGGGCAGAGCGACACGACGGCCCTGGTACCGTCATCCACTGAGGAACAGGCACAGGTTGAGACACAGGTATCGATATATAAACCTCAACCTCAACGGCCATCAAGTGTTGTGCAACAGAGGGATGTGTATGTTCCAGAACAGCCAGCTTGGAAGGCACCCTGGAAACTTATGAGGGTCATTGGTGGCCATCAAGGGTGGGTAAGAGCCGTCGCTGTGGAGCCTAATAACAAGTGGTTTGCTACTGGGTCCAACGACAACACTATCAAAGTCTGGGACCTGGCGTCCGGTCAGCTGAAGCTGACCCTAACAGGACACGTTATGAGTGTTAGAGGCATTGCTCTCTCGGAGCGACACCCGTATATGTTCTCGTGCTCTGATGATAAAACCATAAAATGCTGGGATCTGGAAATGAACAAGGTTGTAAGGGACTACTATGGACACAACTCAGGAGTGTACACTGTTGACGTACACCCTACTCTAGACGTTGTTGTCAGTGGGAGTCGAGACTCTACGGTGCGGGTATGGGACATGAGAACCAGTCAAGGGATCTTTGTCCTTAGTGGACATAAACAGCCAATAACAAACGTGAGATGTCAAGCTATGGATCCACAGATAATCAGTACTTCTAATGATAAAACAGTTAGACTCTGGGATCTCTGTGCTGGTAAAACACAAACAGTGATGACACACCACAAGAAGTCTATAAGAGCCTTGACGTTACACCCAGAGGAGTGGACGTTTGCTACAGCGTCGCCAGATGCCATCAAGGAGTGGAAATTCCCAGAGGGCAGCTTCATGCACGACTTTGTTCCACCTCATGAGGCCATTGTCAATACTCTGAGTGTCAATCAAGACAATGTCCTCTTTAGTGGTGGTGATGATGGAACCATGTCATTTTACGATTGGAAGTCCGGCCATAAGTTTCAAGAAATGAGAACAACGTCCATGCCCGGCTCATTGGATTCTGAGTGTGGTATATTGACGAGTACATTTGATAAAACAGGGATGAGGTTGATTACTGGTGAAGCAGATAAAAGCATAAAGATTTGGAAAGAGGATAGCGATGCCACAGAGGAAACGCATCCGGGTATCAAGTTTGACCCTCAGAACTACCAAAGAAGATACTAATGTGGATTAGACCCATTGCTCAAATGAACGGGCTCTGGCAGCTAATCTTCCCTCTATCAATTCCATGGTTTAAACCTCGCGTGCTTGAACCACATGGCTCAGTAGAAGGGAATCTATGTTATCTATCAAACTCCACCATAAGTGTATCTAAACCTGAGCTATGTATGCCAGATATGTAAATGATAGTCCGCTATTGGCTGCTCCTGCCCTTGGAAAGCGTCACGAGAACATCACCATCTTAAACCACACCATCTCGAACCGTGCGTGATTCTCTCTACACCCAAAGAAGAGGTTTCAGTATTGTGAACTGTGAAGTGCATCCATCCACTCTCAAGCTTGCACACTTGCTCTTTAGCAATGACACCTCATCTAGCCAACCATCCCATCCTCTATGAAATGCTTGAGCCCTTTTCTGTTATGTAAGCGAACCACGATACTTTTGCTGTGCATCACTTCATGTGTCGTGAACCGATATGTGCATGATGGCCCGCATATGTCATATTGGCTTTATTTGGTGGGCTTAATTCGTTCTAAATTAAGGTACAATCAACAGTTGTGGGTGGACTGATATGATTACACGCCATTTCAATGAGGAGTTGATGGTGTGTATGGATGTCTGTCACAAGATTGCTTGTGTGAAGCCACTTTTGGGAATGATGTGTGTGTGGTGGTTTGGAAGGGCCTGCTGCGTGTTGCGCGTTGTATTTGTCTACAGAACGGAATGTTTGAACATGAAAGAAGAACTTGTCTCAAAAAAAAGTATATACTATGTTGTTGTATACTGAGAGAACTAATGGAACAAAATGCATTGTTCCTGTAGGTCATAAGAACCTTGAGAATCGACAAAAAAGACGGAAATAGGAAGCTATAAGGGGCCCATCTATCAGACCAAGAGAGCTGCAACCAAGCCCATTGCGCTCATACCGAGCTTGAAGCCCAAGTTTTCATTCGTGGCTACAGAATAAGTACTCAACGCCTCTGTGGTTTTGGTTTCAGCAGAGGTGGTCTCCTTTGATGTGGTTTCCTTTGGAGACTCAGTTGTTGTTCCTGTAGTTGCCGAGGTCAATGTGGTCTCTTCTGAAGGAGCCTTAGTCGTTGTTCCTTCAGTGGTTGTCCCCTTGGTGGTTGTTTCCTTTGGTGTCTCAACATGGCACCCAGTTTCGTCACAAGATGTTATAGTCAGAGTCTCAGTGGTAATTGGACAATAGGTAGTGTATGTTGTAACAGTACCTTCAATCTCAGTAGTACAAGTCGAGTAGTCCCAGATGGTGGTGACAGTCTCTGGAATTTCATAGTCGCAGGTGTGGGTACAAGTGATTGTAGTCAATGGACAGTACGTTGTGTAGCTGGTAACTGTACCATTCGTCACTGTGACAGTTGAGATTCCCCAGATTGTAGTGGTTGACTCATCACTTTCACTGGAGATGATCTCCTCTGAACTTGTTGTGTTGGAGTAGAGTGCATTGGCAAAGGACAAACTGGCCAGGATTGGAATAAACGACTGCGCACGCATTATGATGGATTTAAAAGCGATTGTCTGAATTAACTTTGGGACGTACAGTTATTTAGGACATGGAGCCTGGGATGGGTACTTTGGTACTCCTTATATAGTGCCATTGGTGCTGAGCCAACCCTGTTCCATTTTTGGTATCAGGATCTAACAGCAATTTCATGTATACAAGTCAGACAATTGGCAATTGAGACAGTAAACGCAATCTGCGCGTACTCAAATGGTTATTTAAAGAACACTCCGCTCAACATATGCAAATATTATTCGGCTCAGGTTAAACAAGCATCACAAGTCACAGTTCAGACCCACCGTATACAACTCGTAGAGATAATTTCCCAAAATAGAATCACATACTGCAGGTAATAGGTAAAAATATCTAACTTCATCCTTAAATACTGCAGCGTATTTCAGCCTCTTCCACCAATTAATTGGGTTCCTTACTCGTTTAAGAAGATGCGTTCACATCTCTAATTTAAGCGTATTTCATAGCAAAGCAGTAGTTGTGAATGTATGAACATCTTGTGGTTGTATGTACCCATATTACTCAAATCATGCGATAACGTATCCTCATTGTGTTGCCGGCTGGCAATCATTTGAATCTTAAGTGGCCCAGCAGCACGCCAAATTTGTAGATCACTTTATCAGCAACAATGGTCCAAGCATAGATCGATTTTGCCCCCAGCCTCAGTGTCGTTTGCCCAATATAAACATCTACAGATAAAGCGATCATTACATGAGTGTATCATATGTATTTAACAATATTGTTCCTAGTCTGTTTGAGTGACACATTCAGCCATCTCGTCCTCGCTTAATGCCTTGATATAGAGGCACTTGCTTAGAACTTCCTCGTCACACTTCAGTTCGTACAACATCGACCAATGAATTGATTGGATAAGTGAACAAACGATCTTTGCAGTCATCCTGAACTTACCGAAATTAATCATGTTCCCCTTGGTAGTGCGTTTTTCTTTGTTGTTGAAATAGAGATCCGACAAGTAAAGACCAATGAAAGGTACACATCCCAATGATGGCTTGATATTATTCAACATCAACCTCAAGCTCATGAAATTCTTGCTCGGAGAACACAGTGCCTCTAAGCTCTTGAAAATCAGAATGTCACCAGGTTCAATCATTCTCCATGTATCCTTCAAAGACATCACCTTGGCGGAAACTAAGGCAAGAACGATCTGCATCAAAGTGGAAAAGTTTTGTATGGCTTTACAATGTTGTGCAATATGGATAAACCTTTGGATGGTGAGCTTCTGAATAAAGATGTTCTTTGTCAACAAGATCTCAGAAATGATCCAATTAACAGTCAAGTTGAAACGTGATGAGCACAAATCAACACCTTCTAAGTCTTCGTTCTGAACTAACAATGCCAACCAACTGTTGGTCGGTTGTAGCTTCTCAGATTCCCAAGTAAGATCAACCAGTTCCTTCCAGTCAATTTGTAAAAGAGTATCCTTCTCTATCAATGTAAGTTGTTCTGCAATAGTCTTTGAATCGTAATTAAGAATGAAACAGGCATGTTGTTCCGCATTTTGAACCTGCAAGATATCACTTGTGATTTTATGACATAACAAGAGATCTAATAGAATCTTAGAGCTCGAGGACGTGTAGTCAACCTGTTTCTTCTTTACTGGGGTAAATGAATAGAGTCTCGTTCTTCTCTTCTGAGTTATAGAGTCAAGATATTCGTTTTTCTGTGTCTTTATTGGGGTGGACAAAGGACTCGATTGATTCTTCTTCTTGGTATAAGCACCTTCCAACTTCATCAATGTCGTTCTCACGGGATCATCATGATAAGAGTCATCAGAAATTGCAGCCAGTTCAGCCATTACATTACTGTCAACTCCATTCATTGCAAAGACAGCGTCAACATCCCCAGAGTCCACAGTAGAATCAACAAAATCTACTGAAACTTGGTTGAACTGCTCATATTCTTTGTTTGGAGAAGTGTGTGATTCCTCATGATTGGGGTTAGTAGTGGTTTTAACAGTGACATTTAACAAGTTCGCCTTTGAGCTGAAGATTGAGTTTGTAGATTCTTGTGTTCTAGCAGAGCGTTTCGAAAGGTAAGACAGATGGTCGTCGTGAGGAACAGAGGATATGGAACAGTCTGATATCTTCGTGAAGGATGGCATACGGTTCAAGTTCATATCATTACTTTGAGCGTGTTCAAATTGAAACGATGATGATGACTTGAAATCGGAGTGGTTCTCATGTAATGACTTTATAGGTGATATTTGCGGTGTAGATGAAATTAGACCAACTTGAGAGGAAGGTGGAGTGCTAGGTTCATCGTCGACAAATTCACTACTGTTCTGTTCTAAACTTCCCGGTGCCTGATCAGACTCTTCCCCAACATCAATGTTTTCATAAGTGGAAACGAAAGATTCAACTTCTGATGCCCAATCCTTTTCCTCAACCTCATCGTCTGACTCTTCAAGATTAAAATCAAATTCAAGCAATTCCTTTATAATGTTATCAATTTGATCACTGTGATATTTGCGTACTGTGGAATTTGATTTAGGCTTCATCATGAGAGCACCATCACTTTTCGGTCTCACAATGGACCCGTTCCCTGAGCCCTGTTTCTCAATATCACATGAAAGTATATGTTTCGGGTGCTGTTCCACATCCTCATTATGATCATCCAGCTGCGGCGTGCTTTCCGAAAGAACTGTTCCAATGGAAAGTTCTTGTTCTTCAAGTCCAAATCTTTCTTTGGTCCCCTCTTGATCGTTTTCAAACTCAAATCTATCGTTTTCGTTACCTTTGATAGAATAACTCTCAAAGCTAAACTTGTCTTTGACTTCAGGAATGACATCAGAATGGATGGATTGGATAGAGTTCTCAGATATCACATCTCTCTGATGCTTCTGCAAAGTCAAAACTGTTCTTGAAATGTTGGAAATTGTTTTGTATATGTTCAAGTTGTCAATATTTGAGACCTTTTCCTTTGTTGAGCTAGTATCGAAACTGAAATCGGCATCAATAATATCACCTCTCAAATCACTTTCATCCATCAATCTGTTGTAGTAGTTTACTAAGTAGTCAAGTTCATCAATAGTTCTTGCACTCAAGATATCAAATTTCCCTTCCACAAGTTTATCAAGATCCTTGTTGTTTGTCTTTGCAACTGACACCACGGATGCCATAAACTTCTCTGCTTGTGGTTTAACAACAGAATTAGAAGCATCATTTCCCCGAAAGGAGAAAGTCTTAATCCAACTATCTATAAGCGATCTCAGTCCCGTTGGTTGGGGTTTATTGGGTGGTGGCAATGCAATTTGTAGTTCCATCTTCTTTACTGGAGTAGGTGGAATCACTTTAGATATTGATGCATCTTGAGGGAATTTGGTATGACCATCGAGTACAGTCTTCTCTGTGTTTGGTGAAACATTCAATGGTACATATAGCTTATCCCTATCAGATGGTGGTGCTGATTTTGTAACATTTTCTGTATCGCCCATTATACTAAGTCGCATAATAGAATTCTTTGGATTCAGTGGGAGCCTTGGTCCACGTCTGTTGCCACTCTTCAGAGGTGGGATTGGTAAATTATGCACAGTCTTTTCATCGTACAGTGAAAGCATCATTGAATTTCTTGTCAGTGGATCATCCCTGTTGTTTAGGGCATATACTGAGAGGTTTTTGTTGCTAAATAGCTGAGGTCCCACTTTGAGTGTGAATGTGTAGTAGTTGTCGGGCCTCACATCTTCCTCCCAGCACTGATTACAGCAGGTGATCCAGTTCTTCTTCAAGTTAGAAATGACTCGCTGCACAAATAACTCTTCGTGGTGTAGAGCGTTAATCTCGGTAATAAACGACAGCCTCAGCTGCTTGGAAGAAATAAAATCATCTGTGAAATAATTTAACAGCCAATGCCTTATCACAACAAAAGTCCTCACAAGGGTTAACTTTCCGATATTCTGCTTCAGCTCGTGAGAGTCATCATCGATATATTGTAGGCACCATTTAAGCCGTAGAATCAAGAGCTTCAGTAGACTGTCTTGTGAGATGAAGGATCGGTATGTCAGGAAAAAATCTGTTATTAGTTGGTAGTCGATAGCTTTGGAGCTTGTCAATAGTGAGATCAGTGTGATCACATCCAGGTAGTTCCCTGTTGTGTCCACCTCTGTGACAACCTGTTCGCCTGGAAGTGGGGCAATTATACTCTGTCTTGAGTCAAAGACGCTTGGTGTTAGCGAGTCTATGTTATAGTCCAGAATGTCAGTCATATTGTACCCTACCTCAAACAAGAGTCGGCCTATATGGGAATCCGTCTGCCACTCAATGAGAAAATCCCAGTGTAATAAATATCAACACCAATGGATTCAATAACAACAAATCAAACCAAACAAGACACAATTAATAAACACAAGAGCACACCAAGAGACTGGACAGCTTAATGAGTGAGTGAAATGTGGTTTGTATACCGCGATGGTAAGCCTCTGTTGCGTACAAATTCTTCCACACGTTGAGAAGTGAGTGACTGGAATGTATGTTTTGGGGAATGTTGTTGTGTTGTTGTTATGGTCGTTGGTCCTAAAGTTGGAAAAACGAACGGAATTGTTTGGACGCGTTGGATCATCGAAACACACGCAAAAAAAGTGTAAACAAACGCCTTGAAATTCGTGCCTTTCAGATCTCTCCAAGAGAAAAAGTCCACAAAAGCAATCCTTTCAAACTCTAAATTCGGCAATATTATGTAATGCCCGCGCGTTCATAGCTGCAGGTGATTATCCTGCAGAGTGGACACATTCAGAGCCTCTTGATGTGTAATACAATCCAATCAACCGAAAAGCGCGAGTGGTTTAGCGGTAAAATTCCAAGTTGCCATCTTGGAGCCCCCGGTTCGACTCCGGGCTCGCGCATTTTTTTTTTTGAAACCACTGGGACCGCACTTAGCAGCTGATGGTTACCCTAAAGCCTTCATGAATTTTCATTAATGACAAGTCACCAATGTAAATACATAGGAAACATTTGAAGAACAGCATCAAGATATGTGGTTATTCTTAGAAATTCTTCTCTGAGTGACACCTACATCACATTGAAATGTTTGTCGAGTGATCAGCGCATTAGACTTGTAAACTATATAAACTGCAAGAAGCGATATCTTAGCTAGTCATAATTCATTGTGGGCCAGGAACTCAAATTGATTGAAGTTAGACATCTGAATTTGAATGAAGTCACTCTTTGGATCCGTTGGTTTAGACTCGCCATGAAACAGTAATTCAACCTTTCCCACAATAACATTGCTCAAATTGATTAGTGCTGAACTTTTCGAAGGATCAAATGCATGGTCATCTGAGTCAACAGAATCAGAAAGCCATGATGATCTTGGCTCACCTTCATCAATATAGTCTAACAGCAAAGGGTGCAGAGTCATCCTGGCTTTAGCACTGATCTTCAAACCGATTGTTGAACGGCTTTCTGTGCCAGTCTCTTCCTCTGTATCGTTATCGGATGCACCAAGACTCGAAGGCTTAATATGAATTGGTTTAATATTCATATCGGATACCAAAGCAAGGGCGCTTGTAATGTGTCTTCTCCTCGTTGATTTGATGACTGAGGTTCTTGATAATGATTTCTTGCACCATTTCATATCGAATAACTGCTGAATAATGACCAGCTAATAACGAGGTTATTCCTCGTCTCCTTGGAAGGACCGGAAGACACAAGCAGACTTGTTGATAACACTCGCATAGCTTGGTTTGTAACTCAGAAGATCACACAATGATATCCTTAACTCCTCACCAGGATTTGGTAAATTAGGACACCAAACACAATACACTTTCTCAATATTTTGGTCTCTCATGATCCTCTCAAGCACAGAAAGCGTTGCTGGTACTATTGATTCACTTGGTGAAGAACAGGACTTCACAAACTGGTGTGGGAAACTCTTTTTCAAATAAGCAATGATATCCTCGTTGATAAGTCCAAACACAAGCTTTCTTATATCTATGATTTCCTTATTAGTCCCTGGACCAATTAGAAACAGCACCTCAAGAAGTAAAGACATTTGTTTCACACTTTAAAGATTCTGTAACTCAAAACTACAAGTTATAAAAGCGCATATCAGAATCACACATGTCCTGTTGAACAATACGGTAAAGCATTTGTAAGAGTTTTACTGAAAATTTATTCACCAGTAATAGCGTCCCATCTCTGAAAGATCTCCTGTATGGTGGTTGGATTCCTGCAAGGGTACATCTTGTCATCCCTAATCACATAAAGAGAAAGACTCCGAGTCTCATCGGCTGATACAAGTTCAATAGGTCTCTACAATCCATACAATAGTCCATCAAGAAGATTGGAGGAATGCAACCATCCATTAGCTAATTCTAGGGCCTGTGGAGTGTTATATCGAGTGATTCAATTTAATACTAATACTAATATTTTGCTCGAATATTCTTGCATAAGGCTATTCCAACAACTTTCCAGTAGTTTGGTAAATACTCCAGAATCACACATGGAGTTCAGCGTCATAAGCCGGTATTTCAATGGTCTAACAATAATGAGTTTCTGCAGCTGCTGAACTGTCAATTAATTTTCCGTGAACCCAATGTTGAATTATAGTCCTTCAAAAGTTTCACGTGTAATCCCAAGCTCCGCAAATGGGATAGAGGATGTAACTATATTGTGACCAGTTATGCTTCTTTGGCCATTTGCTGAAGGCCTTGATAATCAGTTAATCCGCGAAGAGTTCATCTCTGCAACAACCACTGACAAGCAGTTACTGATTGCCCTAGATATCATGTTTCGCCCGGCGTTTGTGATTATCTCATTAGTCGAATGGTCTGTGGATTTGATAGTTCCCATGGATTTTTCCGGGCCAGAACATGAGAAAAGGTTCGGATGTCCATATTCTTTTATCAGAGTCATCACATGGATCAGAATGTGAAAGTAGTTAGAACCCATGCGGATCATCAACTTAACCTCCGGTATCTCTTTGAGGCCTGATTGACTTGTAGTTGAGGAATCTGTAACAGCTCCCCTTCTATTGTTCAGAGCTTGCAACTGCCATGCCTTGATCTTGCTCTTGATCTCAGGTCTCTCATAGAATAAGTACCTGTGAAGTGAACAAAATTGTTTGATCGTTGAATTCAATATTGGAATCTCAGACTTCCTGATGCTGCGTGTCAGTAGGAAGTTTGACATCATTGTAAACAGTTGGAGAAAACTTAAAAAGTCTGAATCCAGATGACGTGAGTAATAATCAGATGACAACAATGCAGGAATCGTAGATATCAATTGCTGTACCTGCCCTGCTTTGATATAGACGTCAAAATTATCAACTGAAGTTGGAGGCTCTCCAAACTCTGCTGGCCATGTATCTAATACATCGAATAAACTTTCCAGTGAATCCATCAGGTTTCTTAGAACAGGAGCAGGTAAAGCATACTTCCGGCTTAGCAGAAACGTGTCTTTGGAATCTGAGAGAACGCCAAGCATCTTTGGAAATAGATTCTCACATAGACAACTTATCACGTCAAACCCGATAATCTTGTTTTGTCCCATAGATAAGTCAAAATCATAAATTGGCGTACAGCTTCCAATGTCAAGACTGGCTACCCCTAACAGTTGCTCTAGTCTTTTTTCCAGAGGCCTCATATGGGTAGAATCATCACAGCAATTGGTGACTCCATGGTTACCTGGATTACAGTCCTGCGCTGGAATTTTGACCCATTGACACAAGCTCTTTAGCATTTCCCGATATTCAGCGTCCCTCTGAAGAAACTTTCCATCGCTTCTCAAAGACGCAGTCATAGAGAAAGGAGTCTCTCCTTTCGTCTTTATAGGACACTCTATATCGAATTTCTCAACGTAGTGTTTTAAATGTTCAAATTCATTTCCCGCTTTCTCAGTCCAAGAAACCGACGAACCATTTTCCTCAGAGGATAGCCATCTATTGTACTCAATCGTCACAGGAAGATCATCTCGGGATTGGTCTTGAGAGTCCTTAACTTTTTGTTTGACCTCAATACACGATAAGCAAGGTGCTTTACCAGCAGTTCCACGAAGCCCAACAACTTTCGTCAACGCGGGAAGGTCACCAAAGAAATTGACAACAGTGGCGAACACTTTTATCACAGGACTGTCCCCAGAGTTAGACGCGTGATTCTTCACAAGCATTCCCTTTCTTTGAATCCTAACAAATTCATCTGTCACACAGCTCAATAAGATTTTCGTGTTTGTCATTTCAGCGTTGAGCATGGAAGGCGTTACATTGCCTGCATCTTTTCCATCTGATTCATCGCCCACAGAATCAACACCAATATTCTCACGAGTAATAGATAGGAAGTTTGTCAACTGGAAATCAGTGTCGTTGTTGAAATCAACAAGTCTCATAACTAATGGCCAAAGTTCCTGCTGCTCTTTGTCTTCATACACAGGCTTTTTGAGCATCGCAACACCGTGCCATCCTAAGGTAACAGCTAACTGTATTTCACTCTCATCAAAGTATTTGGTGTTTGAGATCTGAGGTTCTCGTTCATTTGAGAGCTGAGTTCGTTTATTGAACTGTTTCATCCTCTTGACATACTCTCCGTTGTAGAATGTGTGTGAGGTTTCTTCATCGGTGCTCTGACAATGATGCTTTGAGCAATTCTGCAATAGAACATTGGAAATTGATGGATCCTCGAAGAGACAGGCAATATAAAGTCGTGGTGATATCATGAAAACCACTTGCTGGATTTCACTTGCAAAACAACCTGGTTGGAGTTTCTTGTTTACCGTTTGGCAAACGGGGCAGGTCCATTCAGTTGGTTTGTCATCCTGAGGGGATTCCATTACATCAGAATCAACTGTGCAGAGGTTGATACATACTGCAAAAGCTCGGACCAGCTCGAGTTGAATTAGAACTCTGATCATATTATTTGCAAACTTTTCCGTAAAATGACTCCCTTCTAAAATCATTTCCGTTGCTGCTCGACCAAATCTTGCGCCTTTTGTCTTATTAAAGTCGTATTCTGGTGCAGCAGTAGGCTCATTTATCTCATGGTTGTCCTGTTCGTGATATGACAAGCCTGTAGCTGGTGAAAGTGATCTCGCTGCTTCCCTGACAGTTTGCATGAATCTTGCAGCTGTCAATTCTCTAAGTACTTCTGGCGCCGTCAAAGGGGTCTTTCCGGCGATCGCCTTCGCCTGAAAATTGGAAGCACTTTGGCTCAATGAACCCATTCCGTATTGGATGAAAATATAGAACAAGTCCAATGTAAGAGACTTAAAGTGACCCTTTTTCTTCCTCAATTTTCTTTTCAATGCCTCTAAGAACACAAAAGCTGCGTTTTCGAATGTGATAATATCAAAGTCAATCTCTAGATCTTCATCTTCATCATCACTCCAAGACTCATCCACGCTTTTTGTTGGAGGTTCACCTTCCCCTGTAACATCTGGAGAATCCGTTTCATCGTCAGACTCAAGAAGTGCATCCTCTATCGCATCTATAGCACCCACAGACGAAACGTCAATATAGCTATTCCAACCAGGCTGACCAGCATTGGAATTTTGGTTTAGAAGCTCTAAATAATCTTCTTGATGGGCTGGTGGTGCATCAGGTTGGGCACTTATACCTTTTTCATTCAGAAATGCCTTCAAAGCATCTGAATCTGACTTCAGAAATTGTCTCTCTGGAGGAATTATAAGTCTATCATCGGGGTCTCTTTGATGAGGCTTCTCCAGCTTCTCTGACAGTCTGCAATCAATCACTGGATAATAAAGTGACACATCCTTACGGGGCTGCTCTGGTTGTTTGAAGGACATGAATATCTTCTCGGTAAGCTCTTGATAATTGGAGATATCTCCAAATGTGAATCTATGGGATTGTTCAAATTGTGAGAACTCCTCTCGTGCATATAGAACAGATCGTAAGTCACTTCTGTTCTTTCGATAAATCACAATGTATTCGTGAAGGTGGTTAGAGGCGTTGATGGCAACACGGAATCCGTCCTCTTCCATATTCAAGAAACTATAGTACCGACTCGCAAACCCTTCTTTATTCTCCAGCACATCTTCAATCTTTCTCCAAGATGAAATATAAGCAGGGTCCACAAGTCCATTGCTCTTGTCACACATTGTCCGGATGGTGATCAGGGTCATCATGTAGACAACGTTTCTAGCAGAATCAATCAAATTATCTTCAATGTAGAATACACTTCTGAAATTTTCAAATACAATTGTCATGAAGGTTTCCAGTTCCTCTGGTGAGACAATGTCCTCAATTGTTCCTGATGCCATAGGTGGTCCCCTCAATTTCATGAGTATCATTAACGAGATCTTAATGAAATCCTACAATTCTGATTAGTACCATCATCCTCAAGAAGGAATGTAGTGAGCTCACTTGAACATGACTGATGATATAAGCCACAACATCTCCTTCCCTGCCATCAACAGGCAGAGACAGAAGAGCAGCGAAGTATTTCCCATTAGAGCCTTCCGTGTTCAAAGACACACCCGAACTATGCTGTTGAATGGCATAAATCGAGTGGCCATCTTTGAGAAATGGCATCCAGGCCTCAGCTTTGGCACTTGGGTCATTCAAGCCCTGGACTCCAAGCCTTGGTTCACGACACTGATTATTCTTAGGATTGCCCTCCATTTTTGATTGTTGATGTTTGTTTAGTTGTAACTGGTAAACAAAAGGCGATCCTTTGGAAAAATTCGTTTAGAAAGGAGTTAGAATGTTGCTCAGCGAACTACGTCGCGAGGCCTCAACTTTCAGCTTAGAATGTTCGGTGTGATATTCTGCTTTTGGATTCAGTTTCCTATCTTGTCATTGGATTAAATAAGATTATCTTATTTTCATTATTTCATATTACTATTATATCGTTTAGCTGGCCCTTGAAGTGGAAGGGAGCTTATTGGTAACTGTTTACTTATTTATTATGTGATATTTGAGAAATCATTATCTTTGGAAACTCTAAGCTAACCCTTGAAGAACACACCAGTTTATGGCTATGATGAGTAAACAAATCACAGCTAGACGATGATTGTGTGATTCAGAGTACAACTTGATGTAAGTTCCTTACTTTGAAATCTGATACAATTGTACTCGTGTAGTCTATGGACCAATGCTCCTGATGTGATGATATACCTACAAGCTGGACTATATATTTATCTCTCTATGTCTTGTTCCTTCGTAGTTTAGGCCTGTTGTTCAGGTGAGATGGTTACATGAGGTCAAACACGCTTCATTCAGTACAAATTGTTGAAGCACAGACCTATGTGGGCGTCTGAAGCGTATAGCCAGGTTACTTGTTGTACTAGTGCGTACATTGGTATGTACTATACGAAGCTGCAATAGATGTACAGAGTTCTACAAATATTGGTTAAAACTAGAAAACACACTATATCATTAAATCAGCACTTGCAAATACCTGAGCTCAGCTCTATCTACTCTTGTTCGCCTCTATTTTACAATTCAGCCTCCAATTCAGCCACTGTCTTAACGATGATGTCAATCATCTTGTCAGTCTCCTCTCTGGTGATCGAGTAAGCTGGGGAGAACAAGGCATGGTCACCGTTGATACCATCAATGGTACCGCTACCTGGAAGGGTGAAGAGACCGTTCTTGTACAAGGTCTTTGAGAACTTGGCACCGTATGCAACGCTTGTTGGGAATGGCTCCTTGGTCGTCTTGTCCTTGACAAATTCGATTGCCCAGAAACCACCAGCACCTCTCACATCACCAACAGTCTTGGAGTCCTTGAGCTTGAGCTTAAGTTGTTCACCAAAATGAGCACCTTGTTCCTTGATGTTTGCAATCATGTTTTCCCTTTTAACTTTCTTTTGGATGTCTAGGGCAACTTGACAATTGAAACCATGGGAGTGGTACGTCTGTGCGCCGGCAATGGCTGACTTCTTTTCATGGAAAACCTTCATGATACGTGGACCAACGAGGATAGATGCGATAGTAACATAACCAGCACCAAGAGTCTTACCATTTGTTTGGATATCTGGACCTGGACCGGTCATGAATTGTTGCCAGGCGTGGAGAGAACCCATACGGCCCATACCACACATAACCTCATCCAAATAGAAGACAGCACCATACTTGTGACAAATGTCACGACAACCGTCGAGATAGCCTGGAATTGGCAATGAACAACCAAAGGTAGATCCGGTAACGGTCTCAGCAATGAACGCAGCAATGGTGTCTGGGCCTTCCTTGATGAAGATGTCCTCCAAGTCTTGCAACAAACGGTCCTTGTACTGTTCAAGTGTCTCACCTTCCTTCATGTTACGGTATGGGTAGCATTGTGTGGTCTTTGGGGTGATGTTTTCTGGCATCAAGATATCAGAGAACTCCAACTTTCTAACGTTGTCAGAGATGGACAAAGCACCGATGGTGAAACCGTGGTAGGATTGCTTTCTAGAGATGAATTTGATTCTCTTCAAATCGCCATTCTCGATGTGGAACTTTCTTACAATCTTGAGCGCGTTCTCGTTAGATTCAGAGCCAGAACCGGTAAAGGTGGCGGCCTCAAAGGCACCATTAGACTCGTCAATAAGGAATTGAGCGAGTTGTTCTGATGGCTCGTTACATGTGAGCAATGGGAAGTTGTAGACAAGCTTATCAACGGCATCCTTCATCAGAGTTTGAATCTCCGGGTCACCATGACCTACAGAGGAGACAGCAGCACCAGAGTTACCGTCCAACATCTCCCTGACCTCACCGGTCTCTGGATCTCTCACGGTGACGTGGACGCCCTTACCGGAGAGAACCACTGGGAGTTTCTTGATGGCGGTTTGTAAGATAGCAGTTGGCTTTTCAACTTGAACTTGGGTTTGAGACATTGTGACGGCTTTTATTTGATAATTCAAGGGGAATTTTGAATCTAAGGGGTTGAACACTGTTCTGTCGGAATTGAAAAGAGGGAATACGCTGCCATTTTTATAATCTTTATGGTCCTAGTGGGTTCCAACCTCCGGCACTGATCATCAAAGCACGATAAACACGATTAACATCTAAGACGGGGATCGTTTCCCACCAACCGCGCAGGCCACAGCGCGCGCGCGCGTTGAATAGCAAAATTTGGCCAACGCACTCTGAGAAGCAGTTTGTACTTTACGGGCAAGAAACAGCGTCTCCGGGGGGAAATCTGAAAAATCCTGCTGAGAACATAGCGGTGCGGAGTTCGGGTGCCGCATACGTCCTTCCCTCCTCTTCATCTGGAAATTGCAACCTCTGATAAGTGCAACTAACATGGAGGAGAGTTTCCACAGCACTCTGGGGCCCATTGGCAATGTTGACTCCGTTTCCTCGCGTCTGCAGGTGCCGGGTCTCTCCATACATTAGCCAACCGACTGCTATTCAGGTAGGGACTACATCTGCTGAGTAAATGTGTCAACCTCGGGTGCTGGCGGTATTCGCATCCCGTCTTTCACCAATATGGTGAGAGAACGCCATTGGACAGTTAACACTCGACGATTCCGAGGCTATACCTCACAGCCGAAGTAGATCACCGGGACCACCGTTGCACCGTTCCCATATCGCGTAAAAGGGCACGATACACCACCATTTACCTCTTCGCTGTAAGCTGAGCAGAACTGCCAATATGCGCAACCGCAGAGATTGAGACTCCGAGGAGCCTGCTACTGTTAAGTGGTTGGAGCACATCCACTTATGCGCTTACTTGTTTCGGATAATTGCCGAAACGGGTACTTCTTGTAATAATCTCTAGGGTAAGTTCTAGAAAGTTGTCGAAGGCTGCGACAGCGAAAGACACACGCAGAAAGAGGCCATCGCACACCTCGAGAACACTGACGTGGCATAGAGATTGGTGGGACAACACACACAAGCACAAGCACGTCGCAAAAGAAATACCCAGCGGATACAACAACTGGACTGGCTTAGGCGTATCTATTCAGTAACCAATGAAACTACGAACAACGCTGCTGGTGTCCTTCTTAATATCGGGTCTCGGCGGTGTGTCTCTCACTGAGTTTAATGAACAACTGGCCCTTGTGGATGCTGATTTTGCTCAGCATGGACCTACTGTGGAGGTTCTCAATGGCTTTGAGCAACTGCTGAAAGGGACACCAGATAGCGCTGACGATGTTGAGTTTAGTGCGATATTGGCCAAGACGTGGTATAGAAAGGCCATCGTCAACTTGAGCTTGGGCAAAGACTCCAACGCCATAAACGACCTTGAGAGGTCAATGACCTGGGACCCGAACAACGCAGCTGTAAAGAAGAACCTGCTGGATCTGTTGGTCAAATACGGCAATAGGGATAAGTTGAAAGGCCTGGGTGCATTGATCAATCCCAAAGATCCGCTTTATTCCAGTGCATTAGACCAGATCCATCGCATTGAAGAATTAGAGCACTCTGGTGATCTTGAAAAGCTTGGTGAGGCTATTATCATATCGCCGTTTGATGCGCAGCTTCGAGAGAGAAGAATACAACTGATACATGATAAGATCAAATCAAGTGATGGTATCGCTGAACAGAATGCGCTGTTTGCTGATCTGATCAATGACTATACAGTGATGATCAAAGTCAATCCAGCCATCAAATCTGAGAATTGGAATACACTTTCAAATATCAACCTCTTTGGCCTAGGTGAATATTCCACAGCGTTGAATGCCAACAAGAAATGTCTCCATTACGACATGGACAATGCTAATTGCAAGATGAACTCGAAACTGCTCAACAAATACTCCTCCATCTTGACGCAACTATCCCACCAAAGAGAGTATTACGCCTCCTTACAGGAAAACAACGATGAAAAATTGGAGCTGGAGGCCATTGATATCAAAGATCTTGCTACATCGCTAACCAAACAGGATAAGTTCCTCAAGATACGCCGGTTAAATGAACAATTCAAAACAAATCTCGACTTCATTCTTCATAAAGCTAAAGAATTCAACGATGAGTTCAACTTGAAGTATAACCAGTTGGAGATGACGATATATACGACTCTCGCTATGGATGCGATATTGCGTCATGACTCAACAATGTTGAAGACATATGGGAAGAAATTACCGGAAGATTCACTACCACGCTCGTTGATCAAAATAGACAAAGCTCTCCATTCAAAAGAATTTCATCAAGCCCATCAGATGATTACACAGTTACCAAAGAACATGCAAAAGTGTTCATTTGTCTCCAAACGTCTTGAGAAGATACAGGAACATAACCAACAACAACAGCATCAACAGAGACAACACAGACAAAGGCAATACCAGCAACAACAACAGCATCACCAAAGACCCCCTTCCAAACCAAAAAATGACTATTATGCCATATTGAACATTGACAAGACTGCTGATGAGCGTGAAATCAAAAAGGCATATCGTGAAGCTTCAAAGTTATATCACCCAGATAAGTATAAAGGTGATCTTTCCCCAGAAGAGGTTGAGGATAAGATGACACAGATAAACATGGCCTATGAGGTGCTGAGTGATCCTAAATCGAGAAAGGATTATGACTTAGGTATTGATCCAAACGACCATGAGTCCCAACATCAACATAATCATCAACGTCAACAGCGTTATACGCAACACGCCGGTGGTAATCCATTTGGAGGGTTTGGTAATGGTGGGTTCCAATTCCATTTTGGCAATGGTGGTGGTGGTAATTTCCACTTTGGTTGAATGTAGAATTATACAACACAAGAAGGCCATTAAGGTCTTGATCAATGTGTTTCTTTGATGTATCAACTTCTGTATCAGTACAATATACAGATCTGGCCATATATTAGGAAGTATATAGAAACCATATATAGTAAGAGGTTGATCTCTTCTAAATGGTGGAGTTGTGGAAAATCACATTGCACCCACTTTCCTTGTTGTAGCCAACCTCTCAAGTGTTAAATTCATATACTCTTCAAATTCCATACCATTGTTTCTCGCTTCCAATACCCATGTTATTGATCTAAACATGTTGGAAACTTGCTTATAAGCAGTATCGTCCCATATACTAGGACTCGTTGTAATGTCGTAGTTTGCAGCATTCTTTGCTGATTTCGCATCAACAAACACAACAATACCAGTTTGATACTTTGAAGAGCCCCTATCTAAGATCTTAGCATACTCAACCTCCCCAAAGACTTCAAAGCATTCTTTGAGAATTTCATCAGTAAACAATGCTGATATCTGTTCTTTAAACCTCCATTGTACTTGAACTGTCCTATTGGCCTGGTCTACGCCTACCTCATCGAATGGTCGGTTAGCCTGGGATACCTTACTCTGGTAGTTTCTCTCATACTGTACACGTATCTCAGCTCCTTCTTTCCTTAGTTTCTCGAGATTCAGGGCGTATTGGTTCTCCGAAAGTGCAACGTCTCTCTTGCCCCATTTCCGCTTACGTTCAGCTTCCTCTAACTCTTGCTTCATCTTCAACCTTTCAGCGCCCAGCTTCTCGGCATTCTCACGCTCTCTCTGTCTAGCAAGGAGCCACTGGTCATACGACTTCCTAAGTGCATCGTCCTTGAGTATCTCAAGGGCCAATGAAAGTTGATGGAACCTCGTCTGGGCATCGCTGGACTTATTCTTATCAGGATGGTATAACAATGCCTGTTTTCTATAGGCTCTTCGTATAACAGACAGCGAAGAGTCACTGGGTATATCGAGAAGATTGTAGATGTCTACTCCACCAGACCTGAGCTCTTCCAATTCTTTAGACATTTGGATCTGATGTTCTGTTGATGTTTCATTGGTAATGTGATGATGGTGCCCTCTGTTTTCGCCTACATTTTTTTGGAGAGTGTACGATTTCTCTACGATTATAATCGATAATTATAAAACTGAATAGTGTTCAATGATCCAGTGTTAACTGTACGACAGAGATCACCTGGTATAAATATTGTTACCTCTCCAATGTGTACCTCTGAGCAAATTCTGGTGTGTCTGGTTAAATATGTTAATTACATCGTATATGAAGGATAATATGGGACTATGAGCCACTCATCAAAGCTTTACAAAGATCTTCATTTTGTAGAGTGATGCCCCCACAATCGCTAAGAAGGCACTGTAAAGCACAAGAACGATGATGCTGACACTGTTAGAGCAGTCCAGAGTGTTCAACGACATGTTTGTCAACCCGGTTGTGACATTGGCCAGCAAAAACATAACCATACCGTTGGAATTGATAGCATCTAGTGAGATTGGAATACGTGACTCGTACGAGAGCCACTCTGGTGACATGTACTTGTCGATGATTGCATAGCATAGCAAGAAGCCTGTGTTGTACGCGGACACCCATAGGACGTATGGAAGGTTAGCAAGACGTCTTGAGACGCTGTAGTAGTGGTTGTTCTGAACAAACTTGAACAGGACAAAGTACGTCAGGAACCAGGTAATCAGCCCAGCTATTGGAGATACAGATGTGAAACGGCTCCCTGTGTATTTTACCTCCCTTGAAGGCCTGAACAGGTTATTCTTTGTTCTCTGAGATGGTAGGACGTAGAACCCAGTTGATTGACCAGCAAGATAAATAGCCAAATAGCCAAGCAGTGAGAAGACACCTTCCCTGTTGGAGCTTAGTAGATCTGTTCTTGGGGCTAGCAAGAGATATGAGAGGAAGCCTTCCTTTTTGCATATGAAGTACTCATAGACCAGTGAAATGGCTATGGAAACAACTGCACGTGGTATATAGGAGAACAGTGGGCTTAAAAGGATCGATAATGGTCCTACAAGAACCAGAGTAATGAAGAAGTTCCAGTGAACACCGTATTCGGTAACGTGTTCCTGGTATTCGAGGTTCTTCACAAGCACCAGTCTCAGCAGCCCTAGCACCAATGGTGTCATTGTACTTCTTAAACTCTTATAGAGCTTGGTGAAGTATCCACTCCCACTGTTCGTCTCCTCAAGTATAATGCTTCTTGACGAAACAATGCCCATGGAAAAGACAAATGATCCAACACCAAGGTCCATCAGCGAAGTTCCCCAGGTTTCAACTTTGGCGAATCTACGAGGGAACACCGGGAAATCCACAGCCAAGATCGCCAAAGCTGTAATGATCATCATTGAACCACGATATGCGGTGATGAAGGGCTTCTTTGGAAGGAATGCTGTGGCTGGAGCCGACGCTGAACCCTTTGTAAGCTTAGTGCGCTGGCGGTGGTTGTGCTTCGAAGTGAGGCTCACCAGAACAGCGGGAGTGACTATAGCAACAGCCAATGTCAACGGTGAAGAGGCATATATCGTGATTGACAGCAGAAGCCCGATCCAGTTCAACAAGAAGTCCACCGTTACACTCAGAGAGCTCCATTTCTGCCCTTCAGAGAACAGTGATGAGTTCCTGTTGATCAAACACCATGACACGTATCCCACAAGCGCAATCGCTGTCACAGCATTGATCTCGCCAATTGACCCGCCACTTAGGCCAGAAACAAACTCCTCCTTACGGTCCTTCAGTGTTCTGCTGACAGTTTGTGAGATTCCAATGCTTTTGTCTATCACTCTCGCCATCTTCGTTCAGCTGGAATACGTGTTGTCTCTGCTGTTGAAGGGACAGGGCAGGCAGTTGGAGGCGAGCGAATAAAAATCAGAATAATACCCAAAAAAGCTTGTGATTTGCTCAACTCAACAACTTTCAAAGGGGAGTCTTGGACTGTAAACCATCGAAATAACTGCAGAATGTCCTCTAGAACACGTGAAGGAGTGCCTCGTCATGAAGATCCTGACGTTAAGAAGCAATTGTTTCTTTACAACAACTTCTCTGCTACGCTATGGGTTGTTGTACTCGGAAACACCATCTTTCTCTCTTTGCTCTTGGGCCAACCATTTCTTTTTGAGAAGTCTAGAAACATACTTGTCGGTATTCAGACATTGGCTCTTTACGAGATCTATAACTCCTATGTCGGTAATGTGAGATCTCCAGTGATGACGACGTTGATGCAAGTGTCGTCAAGATTGCTCATCGTCTGGGGTATCTTTGTCGTGCTGCCAAACTCGCCAGCCAATGTCCACTGGGCTTACATCACCTTGAACGTTGCCTGGTCTATCACGGAGATTGTTAGATACTTCTACTACGCGCAGGTGTTGGTTAGCAACGGTGAGGCCCCTTATGTCTTAACATGGTTGAGATACAACTTGTTCTTCGTGCTGTACCCGCTGGGTGTCGGCAGTGAGCTGACCATCATCTATAAGTCTTTGGACGAAGCTGCCTCTCAAGTGGGTGCTTGGTACAAGTACTTCCTCATCATTTGCATGCTCACATACATCCCTGGGTTCCCAGTGCTCTTTGGACACATGTTGAAGCAGAGAAAGAAGGTCATGAAGGCGCTGAACGGTGATTCCAAGAAGCAAAAGTGATCCACCAGTGACTCAATATGGCAGTATATAAACCATTGACATGGCTTTGGATACCATGTATATCGTATTGGTAAAACAGAGCACAATATATACACATTGGCACTAATCGTGTCTGTAAATGGCAATTGCCTAATTGGGATATTTTCGCCCTTTTTCGTACTTTTTCGCACTTCTTTTTTTTTCGTCACAAATGCGCTTTTCCTCGGTGCATTTTGGATGAAAAAAGTTGTTTGATCAACGAAGTGTGCTTCAACAACGCTTTGCTGGAAAGGAAGACACATCGGTTTCCGACGTAACAAAAGATGAGTTTCACACGTCCACTTGCCAGATCACTGGTGGCACAACTTCGTGCCCCAAGCTTTGCCGTTCAAAAGGTTTCCCCTGTTGTTCCTTTCATGATGGCCTCAAGAGCTTTCAGTACACACCTCCCATTATTCCAACAGCAGAAGCCACAGGATGGAGCTGTTCCAGATCTCACGCCGCTCAAGCTCGAAGGCGATCTCTATGCTGTCGTCAAAGTCCACAACAACCCATTCCTCGTCACCAAGGGGGATAAGATGGTGCTGCCATTCAACCTGAAGACCGCTGAGGTTGGAGATGTCCTGAACTTCCACAACGTCACCACCATTGGCTCCCGTAACTACACCTTCGTCGATGAGCCGATAAGCCCAGAGCTATTCACCATCAAGGCAACTGTGCTGGAGAAGACCAAGCTGCCAATGAGAGTGACGGAGAAGACAAAGAGAAGACAGAGAATCGTGAAACATGCCATCTCTAAACCACACAGAACGATACTAAGAGTCACAGAGCTGAAACTCAACTGAGCCTCCTCCCGCCCCCATAATGGCAGATGTGTAAATAGCTTACAAATGTACATAAATAGAGAGCTTTGTTCGATGCTGGATGGAGCAACCGCCTCCATATGGTTCATCAACTAGTAGTAGCACTAGCAGTATCCATCGGTTCACACACCGCGGCCTTGCCGCCGGTGGCTGAAATCAAAACAATAACAATAGCACGAGTATCCAGGCTGGTTTGACTGGGCCAAGCGGGTGGAAATGTCGTCTAAAAACGGTTATGAAGAGGCTTCACAGCGTGGAACGGATGCACTGCCGGAACTGCTGGTCAACGCAGTGCCTCTGTTGGGTGAAAGCGTACGGTCGCTGAAAGGCTCTGAAAGCGTTGCATATTTACCAGCTCAACAGGTTAGGAAGCTGTCATCGTCAAGCGTCAAATCCGCTGAGGATTCACACAGGCACAATATAACGGCGAATAGAACGTCCAATAGTGAAGGTGATGCCAGCAGCAAGTTCTCGTTTGAGGAGCAGTCGTATCCTTCATCGCCGGCGCCGTTGAAGCTGTCGTCTGTGTGTGACGGGGATCAAAGCCTCAGAGATACCACACAGGGCAGTGTATCGTTCCATACAGCGCACTCTGAATCAGTAGGGAGCGTCTACACCGATCAGTCGACGCCTTCGAAGGTGTCTTTGAAGAAAACATCGCCAAAGATCCCCTTGAAGATCGAGACTGCCCTGTATACATCAACTCCTTCAAAATCGCCTGGGGATCAGTTAGCAGTGAACAGCTCAAAGGAGTTCAGTTTCCTCAACACAAGTGCTGCTGCTCCGAATGAGAGTCCTTTGAACTCGCTCACACAGTCAAAGACCAAGACATTACCGAGAAATCCTCCTCACAGTCGCCAGGTATCGGTGTCATGGGACGTTCAAACACCAGAAGAGTGGACTTTGGAACGCATCATATACTGGTTAGGACTAAACCAGTTCAACGACACATGGGCTGTCATGGTCAAAAAGCACATGCTTGTTGGCTCAGAGTTCTTGAGCCTGACCAACTATCAAAAGTTGAGTGCTTACAAGAGCGAACTGGACACGTCCAATGATTCAACGCAATCGAGGTTCATCCATGTCCTGAGGAAGACGCTGGATAGGTCAACATCAGTGACAAACACTATCTCTCCTCTGGAAACATCAAGCGTGTCTTCCATAGATAACATGGACTCAAGTCCACCGTCATCGCCCAAACTGCCACACAGAAGGTCCTCTTCTGAGACTGCTGCTGTGACTGAGAAACTGGTGCCGACTCAATCAGCCCCAACGTTTAAAGACTCTTCGCCGTCTTCTGAAAGTTCAAGACCACCGTCTATTCAACAAGGCCGTGTCGGGAAGAATATAGCAAAGCAAAGACCACTATCCACTACAGACGAGTCCACAGGGAATATGTGGGTGACCTCACCGGTGTCACCAGTCGTTAGCCACGGGTTGTTTAGAAGACATAAAAAGTCGAGCTCCTCTGAAAGCTCGCTGTTTACGTCTTTGTTCAATGGCAGTTCTTCTAACCTCACAGGTATTTCTGAGGACCGGAAAAGGGATAAAGATGCTAAACCGTCAACCTTCAGTAAATTCAACCTCAGAGGGAAACAGAGAAGTCGTGATTTATCAAGAGAGAAGGAATCTTCATCTCCTGTGAGCCCTGCAACTTCCTCATTTGAGAAAGTGAAAGGGAGAAAATCTGACACATCTAAAAGCTCTTCTGATGGTTCCAAGGAGAGGATCTCTGCTCTCCCTCAATTTGTCCTTGATCGTAAATTCCAACCTGTGGCGAAACAGAAGAACTCTGATCAATACGTACTGGTTACGATGGACAATATAAACTTCAAAGCTGTGAACGTTGGACAGTGTGATACAAGGGAGGGCTTCAGAAAACTACTATGTGATGTCTTGGAACTCAAATCTCTTGAATTTACTGTGCATCTGACTGATTTTGGATGCTCCATAGGCGAAAGTCTTGATGAGGATGCACTGGACCATATTGTATCCTCCAGGTACATACCTTGCACAGGGAAGTTCTTTATAACTTCTGCAGATACCCTTTCAACAATCACAAGCTCATCAATTGGAAGCGTGTCTGATCTGAATTCCTTCGAGAGCAAAGAAGATAAATTATACCCAAATACTCCACAACATTACTACGATGCGGTTCAGAAATCACCAAACACTGACTACTGGAACTTTAAGGAAAGCTTGCCAAAGAATGCCGTTGCATCTGGACCAGAGAAACCTACAAATGAACCATTGAAGCCAGCAAAACGACTTGAACCTGTTCAACCAAAGCCAATGAGACCGTCAGCTGTCAAGCAAACAGCCAGAATTCCAACTCTAACAAATGACAGTGGAAGCTCTTTCAGAATCGTCAGACCGGCGAATAGAGGAGAGATCAACTTTGACAAGAGAAGAGAATCACCGTTTGTTGCCAAAAGGGTGGCTCCTCCTCCTCCTCAAAGGCCTGGTATGAATGGTTCTGCCAACTCAAGTTCCGGTTCTGTTACTCGACTGGAACCATTGAAAGAATCTATCAGCGGAGAAAGTACATTTATCTCGACCTATACACCAGGATCGAGTAACACGCTTATACCGCAACCGTATAAAGGTGGTGGGTCTGTTTCACCAATATCGAGAAAGGCCCTCCACACTATATTGAACAACGATGAAGAGAGGGTCAAACGCTCCCTGACACGAACACACTCAACGCGTTCAATTCGGACGGTTGATAAATTCAAAGAAAACATCATCTCATTTGATGATGCTCCTGAATTGGACGATACGGAAAATGATGACTCTGATGATGATGATTTTTGGGCAAAAGCACCATCCCAGAAGTCCAGTACCAACGACGAGTCGATTGCAGAGATGGTTGTCAGACCGCCAGCAGAAGTGTTGTATGACAACATCGAGAAGTTCTTTCCCAACACAGATCTCGATCAACCTGTGTTAGAACTACCATCTGTACCATCATCGCCTTCTAATGTCATTAATCCACCAAAGGCAAAACCAATCAGAAAGGTGGTGAGTAGTATTGACGAGGACTTTGAGAAGTTGCATAAACCACAGAGAATGAAAACCATTCGTGCTGTTGCAAAGGAAGCAGGAGAAGCACGTAAGAGAGAAAACTTAACGAGACAGAATACCCAGCCAGGATTGGTTAGACGACAGAGCACGAAGATGTGGGGTCGTAAAGTTGTGGAGGTTAGACCTAACCGCAAGCAAGAGATGGCCCGTTTAAAACGTGATAATGATGCTGAAATCAAAGAATTCTCTTGGGTAAAAGGTGATTTGATTGGGAAGGGAACGTTTGGCAATGTGTTCTTAGCACTTAATGTAACGACTGGTGAAATGATTGCTGTGAAACAAGTTCACATCCCACGCAAGACAACGAGCGAGTCAGCACGTATCAAAGACGTTATTGATGCCCTTCAATCTGAAGTGGACACATTGAAGGATCTCGACCATTTGAACATCGTACAGTATCTTGGGTTTGAAAAAACTGAAAAGGACTATAACTTGTTCCTCGAATATGTTGCGGGAGGATCTGTTGCATCATGTTTGAGACTCTATGGGAAATTCGAGGAGCCACTTATTCAGTTCCTTACTGCTCAGGTTGTTGCTGGACTGGCTTATCTCCACTCCAGAGGAATCTTGCATCGTGATATGAAAGCAGATAACTTATTGCTGGATCTTGACGGTGTTTGTAAGATCTCCGATTTTGGCATCTCAAAGAAATCTAACGATATCTATGCCAATGATGCTGGAATGTCAATGCAAGGTACCATCTTTTGGATGGCACCAGAAGTTGTCAATAGTGCAGGGGCAGGTTATAGTGCAAAGGTTGATATATGGTCTCTTGGATGTGTTGTTTTGGAAATGTTTGCAGGACGTCGTCCATGGTCAAACTTGGAGGCCATACCGGCTATGCTGAAGATTGGTAAATCCAAGGCTGCACCTCCTATTCCTGAAGATACGTTGCCTTTGGTCTCCATGGTTGGAAGGCATTTCCTGGATCAATGTTTTGCCGTGGATGCCTCTCAAAGACCAACAGCTCAGCAGCTTCTGGTGGATAAGTTCTGTGGAGTAGACCCTACATTCTCCTTCTCCGACACGAGGTTATCGAGGCTCATCAAGGCTAACGAGAAGAAGTTCCAAATGTGAGGCCTTATTACAATACATGAAAACTAGAAAAATATTAAACAGTTCATCAATTCATTATTTAATAGAGCACTGGGTCTGCGTATCACTCGACGAGTCGCCCACATTGTCCGAGATCGAGTTCGCTCGAGATGAAATCAGTGCTTGTAATTCTTCCTCCAGTTCCAATAGTCTCAGCTCAGTGTATGTTTGTAGTTTATCAAACAACATATATGTGAGGTAACTTGGCTCATCAATGGGATAACGTAAAGGTGAATTGTCTGATATCCAAAAGTCCGGCTTGTCGGCTCCTACAACCTGTGCTTCTGTATCGTCAAAGCTCTGTATCAGAGAGTTCCAATCATCGAATGTGTACTTCTTCTTAGGAGAGTCTCTTGCCTCACGCATCAATTTACCAAGTGTTTTAACAAGTGTGTTTGTCTGTGCAATTTTTCTTTTCCTGTACTTGGCTTGTTGAATGATTTCGTCGACACTTCTTGTCTCGTTGTCATTATCATCATCACTCTCTTCATCGTCGAAATCCTCTTCATCCCCTGGGAATGAAATGGTATTTTGGACAGTCGGCTTTGTCTTCCTGAATAAGAACCTTATCAGCCGGGATGAAGCACTCATCATTGCCCAATGGTACAGAGTATCACCAACACTGGAGATCAATGCCGTCATCATTGGAACAGCCAGTAATGCCCACAATATAAAGAAGCATCTTCCTGCTGCACTTTTTGGTGTATAATCACCGTATCCAATAGTCATCAAGGAAAGTAAAGTAAAGTAAACGGCATTGAAGTATGACCATTTCTCTGTAAAGTAGAACACCATTGCTCCGAGCAGCCAAAAGATCGCAAAGACTATCAGTGATCCTAGAGAGCTGATATTTCTCTTGTATTTCCTGGATCTTCGCCTTATTGAACGCATCAAATCGAATGCTTCTTCAGGTTCCATCGTGAGATGTTCCTTTTGCACTTTTTGTAATAACTTAGCTCTTCTCTCTTCAATGGCATTCCAAAACATCACTGGAGATGCTGACTGGACCACAATGGTACGTATCATTGCAATGATCAACCCCAATATGATAAGGCCAGTTAAAGAATACACCAATGCCAGTGCCTTGCCAACTGTAGTTGTTGGTACGTTGTCACCGAATCCAAGGGTCAACACCGACACGACGCAAAAGTACATTGCGTTACCATAACTGATCGACATCAGCTTGTTAAACAACGCAGCCCCCCATACAAACCATATGGCAAGCAGGAAAGTGTAGACGACTAGTGCTCTCTCTGACCTATCAAGGTTGAAATCTGGTGGATACTTGCTTAAGAAGTAACCCAGAAAGTTGACCATACAAGTGAAAGAGCACAGGAAGTACAATATACAAGTCAATACTGCAAACCAAAACCCTTCAGTTTTGTAGTAATGATCATCATGGTAATAATGCCTCTGTGCAACAACCAGCGCACTCAGTAATATGATACTGGCGATGAAGAAGAACGTGATCGACAACGGTTGAGAGACCTTGTACTGGATTCTCTTTCCAAAGTTCATGATTAGAAAGAGGTTGGCCAATGACCCAGAAGCAAGGGATACCGAGTTCAACACGTACACCATCACCTCATCTTGTTGGTACAGGCCGTCAGCGGAACCTCTCCAGTGCGTCACCAGCGCTGCTATACTGAGCATGTTGGACAACGGTGCAACACAAGCAGTCACTATGGGTAGGTATGTCCATATGAGGAACCATACAACAAAGCTTCCTGAGCCAACTTTGACATTTATATTACTAACTTTCGACCTCTTCAGAAGATGCCCGGGTATATCAAGATACCTCTGTACAAGCTGCTGCTCCTGTTTGATCCGTGAGGTTTCTGGACCTTCATTCATGACCAGCAGATCGAACTGTCTCACGTTACCACGGGTTCGCAACTTATACCGTCGAGTCCCTGTAAGTTGTTGATGCCTTCTCTCAAAGTCTCCCTCCATGGCAATATTTTTACACCGCTGATCCTTTTTGGCCTAGTCCCAAACGCACTGACCTGGTCAAGACTACCTGTTCTTCACGGTACTAAAGTCCTAAGCCTAGGCCGGATGTTTGTTTTTCTGTTGCTCTGGAGAGCGCGGGGGGAGTTTGCCTTCTTTGTTAAGTTTTCTCTCGGATTATCCTGCCTCATCTCGCATCACATCGGGTACTTTTATTGTTTTCCATTGCAGTTATTAGTTTTCTTAACTATACATTTAGTTTTGTCGTTAACTGCTGTTCCTTTAGGGTTTCCTTCTACGTACTCCGAGCGTCTTCCTTCTCTTGGGAGCCTGTGCGGGTAGATTGAGACTCTTTGAAGTTGGGGCCAGCACTGGTGGTGCGTTGTCTGGGATTGGATATTCGGGCATGCCAATCCTTGACACAGCTCTCTTTGTCACAATTCTCGGGTAACCGTAACGACCAAGTTTGAAGTCACTTGGTACTTTAGGGCCTTTGCCACCAGCATAGCTTATTCTGTTTTCGATTGAAGGTGCCTTGTCAATTGTCTGTATCTTGTTGTAATAACGGTCCTGGGGAGTAACCACCGGGTGTAGAGAGAGATACTTCTGAACATGACTTTCACAGGATTCAACCACGGTGCCAATCTGCCTGGCTAATTTCTCAAGCTTCTCAGTTGTGGATAACGAGATTTGCCTCTGTGTTGCGATCCCTGTATTGTCAGTAAGTCTCTTGACTAGGACCGACGTCTCAGAGGCTGATGTGACGTACAACAACTGTTGTGCCCTCGTCATGGCCACATACAGGACCCGTCTCTCTTCACAGACCTTTTTCACTGGCGACTCAACAAGAGGGTCAATGTGTGATGAAGGAAACTTGCCTTGTGTCAGACCCGCAACAAACACAACCTTCCATTCTAGGCCCTTTGCAGAATGAATGGTGGAGATTGAAACCTTTCTGGATGGTTCATTGGTCTTCTTCCTGTCGTCATCATCCATCTCTTCCGGTGAGTATATATCTATGGAATTGAGGAAATGTTCCAAGAGAGTCAGCTCCTCCACTTCTTGATCAATATCATCAGGTTCGAATATTTCCAGGTATTTTCTAACCTCTGAAAGATTGTTGCGCTTCTCCTCATCATCTGTAACCAATTTTTGTATGGCTTGTTGTTGGGATACACGGTCAAACAATCTAAGAAGAGAACTCCTATCTGATAGCTCCCTATTGTAAATTTTTTGGCAATCTCTGATTTCTTCATAAAGCTCTTTACAGGTATTAATCACTTTAGTTTGTAGTTTTTCCAGTCTCAGATTACCACATGATATATCTTGAAGTATCCTCAGTGGTTCATTAGTCCCATGCAGCTCATCAATCAACTTGCCAATCTTCTTAACACTCATAAGACCAATGCCTGTGTGGGAACCAAGAACTCTGAGGAGTGCACAACTATCGTGCGGTCGAACAACAACTCTCAATCTGTCAACCAACAAGCTGATCTCTTTTCTTTCCCAAAAAGCACGACCCTTGACTATTGAGTATTTGATTCGACAGTTGTTCAACTCTTTTTCTATTATTCGTGTCATATAGTTTGAGCGGACTAAGATACAAATATCATTCTCGTCAACAAGCTTCATCGAAATCACATGCTCCACTTCCTTAGCGATAAACTTTGCTTCTAAGAAATCGTTAGCAAAATTCCTATAAACAATCTTGAAACTGTCTTTGTACTGAGACCTCAACAACTTTGAATCACGATCCTGTTGGTCCTTCATGATGAGTTCAGATGCATCCAACACATCTTGTGTAGAGCGATAGTTTTCCCTCAGGTATACAGCAGTACAACTTGGGTACATCTTCTTCATGAATTCAAAGTTTTCAGATACAGCACCACGGAATGCGTATATGCTTTGATCTGGATCGCCCACCACTGTGATGTTATCACGGAATGCTTCATTTTGATGTGAAAACTCATTGATGAGTTCGAGTTGGATATGGTTTGTGTCTTGGAACTCATCAACCAGTACGTGCTTAATACCAAAAAGGCATTTCCTCTTTCTGAGGAGCTTTAGAGAGAGAAGTAAGATATCGTCAAAGTCCAACATCGATTGACGTTTCATACGCTTATCGTATTCTTCATAAACCGTCAACAAGTCCTTGTCATGCTTATCACTCTCCATATATGCTTTGATATCTAAAGCCTTAGATTTAAGATGTGAAATGGCTCTCTTAATCTTAGACTTTGACAGTCTCCCTTGATCATCCCGTATCACATCATCGGCCTTTTCAGGCAGTTCTAGTCCAGGTAGATTACCTATCAAAGCATCAACTATATCGTCAACGTCCTTATTACTTGCCACGGTAAACCTTGGATCTAGGTCCATATCACCCGAATACTTTCGAAGTAGCCTTATACAGATACTGTGAAATGTCCCCATCCTCAATTTCGAAACGTCAATTTGTGATCCCTCAAGCAATAACGCCAGCCTTTCTTTCATCTCCTGAGCTGCCTTTCTCGTGAAAGTGGTTACAATTAGCTGATGCGGTTGAACATTCTGGGTCAATAGAAGATGAGCCACTCTTGATGTGAGAAGTTTGGTCTTTCCTGTGATCGTTACGTTGTTAGTCAACATCGCTTGTTGTTTAGGAGAATACACTAACCTGTTCCCGGTCCAGCAATCACCTGTAACTGACCATTCAAAGGTGCAGTAACAGCGAGTCGTTGTTCCTCGTTCAGACCTCTCAAGTGTTCCATCTGATTTGTATGCGAAGATGGTGTTGTTGTTGTTTGTTTACTTTTTGTTTGTTTACTTTTTGTTTGTTTACGTTTTTTTCCTTGATTACATATCACGTATACAATCCCTACTACCTTCTTCAGCTAATAAGTAAAATATCTATCAATGACGTCTTCCTCTTCAGGAACTTCAAAGAGCTTCAAGGAGTTCTTGTAAGCATGTTCTGCGATGGTTTCCACGGATTCGCCTTTGATCTTGGAGACAATCTCAACAACTTGGCCGATGTGGACTGGCTCATTACGGCCTTTGATGAGTGGACTGGCAAATTCGCCAACAAGTGCCTCATGTGCTGGGTCATACTTGGAGTAGTGCTCCTTCTTGATCAACGGGAAAGGTAGCAGTGGGTCCATTTGCATGCCCGAACTAACGCTCTGTGCCTTCAAGTTCACCGAAGAAGTTTGGTTTGTGATGATCTTTGGATATGCTGCATTTGGATACTTTGTCAGGTATTGATACCCGGCGTGTGTTCTCTTAATCTCGCACCATGGTGCATCTGTCTCCACTATCAGCTTGTCAAGAGGGATCTGCTTAACAACTTCCAAATTCTCCTCTGTCTTCAAAGAGCATCCGTTCACACCAATGTAAAATCCCAAGAGTAACAGTTTCTGTAATTCCTCAGCGGTGCCTGTGAAGCTGTGAACAACACCACCCTTTGGAAGCTTTGACAGATACGGCTTGATGATACTGATGAAATCTTCATTGGCTGCTCTCATATGGAGGAACAACGGTAAGCCAACCTCCACAGCAATGTCAAGCTGTTTCTTGAAGTATAATCTCTGGGTTTCTGCATCAGTGTAATGCAGTCTGTCATAATCCAACCCAATTTCACCAAATGCTTTGACAAGTCCAGATCTCTTGCCAGCCAATGCAAGCTCTTTCAATTCATCCAAGTACACCTTTTCATCAACTGACGGAATTTCACCAACAGTACAGGGATGACAACCAACAGTGGTGAACGCATACTCCGGATAGCTGGCTGCAATCTCTAGAGTTCTTCTGCTCTCGTCCAATGAGCTACCAGTAAGAAGTAATCTTCTAACGTTGAATGTCTTTGCTCTGAGAACAACGTCTTCAATATCAGAATTGTGCACTTGACGGCCATGGTATTCACCATGGAACATGGGATCCGTGAAATTGACACCAATATCGAAATAGTTCGGCATCTTAACTCTACTGAACAACCTTCTTGTGATCAACGACGACACTTTGAATACGATCGTTCTTATCGAAATGGGAGGATCCTTGAATTCCAATGTGTGATACCAAATTATGGGAGGGTGGGGGCCAAAATACAACTTCAGCCTAACTTCCACTCAAAGCTGCTTTTTAAGGAGGATTCCGGGTGGTTCCTATGCCTTGGACAAGTCCGGGAAAGGTGAAAATGCCAATAGGTGGGAGGAGCTGTCGGTGCCTAAATGTGGAGATGTGCAACCTTCGATATTTACTATTCTACAGGGTCAGTGTACGCCTTTTATGTGATTAGAAGAAGCCTTTTGATTATGTGTGTGTATTTAACTGTTTGCTTACCTCTATTGATGAGACTTGATGTAGCTGGCCATGTTTATTAGCCTATTCTGTTCGTCATCGTCCCAGTCTAATTCATGACTTGTCGATCTCATGAGCCCTGGACCTTGGACGTCTTCATCATCGCTATCGCTGGAGGAATCGTCGTCGTCGTATCCAGAATGCGATGGAGGTGGACCACGCTCATCGGTTGGAGATATCAGATCGTGGTATAGTGGGTGGTTCTTCTTCTGATACGATTGGCCATCGTCATTAGGATCCTCATAATCGTCATCGTCATCCATTGACATGTACTGACTTGCTGGATGATAGCCCTGATGAGAAACATCATCCTCTTCATCGTCTTCATCTGAGGATCCAAACTTATCCGGTAAATCGTTGGTCATCTGCTGAGACATATATCTTGAGAATTGGTCCCCCTGAGTATCTTCCTCGTCCTCTTCTTCGTTATCACCGGCATCGTTTTGTGATGCCAGGCCAGCAATATCATGATCAATGGATGGATCTAATTCAAATCCTTTCTTCTCATCATCGTCTTCTTCCTCTGCTTCACCTCCGAGAAGAGCGTTGTATTTCTCTCTGGTCTCAACAAGCGTTTCAGTGACATATACTGTCCACTCTGGTGCAGACACAGCATCCAACACAACTTGATGGATAGAGCTTGGTAAGTACAATGCAGTGAATTTGACAACTTCTTCTGCAATGAGCGTAAGATGACCCATGTAGCCCAGTCTTAATCCGTGCTCTTTTTCATATTTGTCACAGTTCTCTTGGCCATCAATAATCAGTTTGGTGATTTGACCTCTTCCAAACAAGTCAATTGCAAGATATTTATTATAACCAATCTCCATGGATCCGTTCAAGATTTGTTGAACGATATCAAAGACCACATTATGCAAAAAGTTGTTCCATGGGAAACGGAAAAACATGTTCAAGATCAACAAGATCACCTTGTTGTCTGCAAGAGAAATTTTGAGTTGATCACCAGCAACTGGATCTTCACGTAGATTTGCTTCGTTTTCATCGTATCTAAAGGCATCGGCAGTTTCTTCATTTGAATCTGATTCTGACTCTAAGTTTGTTTTCGAGACTTTTGATTCATCATCAAGTTCAGTGTCTGTCTCTATTTCAGACTCCTCAGTTTCTAGCTTAATTTGATCATCACTATTTGATTTATCTTTCGAATCGTCATTAGATGCAATGCTCAACCTTTTGATTTCTCTGGACATTTCATGATCAAAGGCATCATCGTTATCACTTGGATTTTGAGACTCCTGTGGTTTCTGTTCTCTTTCTAATGCGATGATTCTCTCCCTTTCAATGTCTCTTTCTCTGACTATATCTTCACCGGATTCGTCGTTCAGGAGCCCCATATTAGAGCAGTGCAAGAGTTCAGCAATCAATTCACAAATCTTAAATCTTTCAAATCCCAAAGGTTCAATTGTGCCGAATGGAGTTTCCATCTGATCTAGTTTCGTCTCTTCAAGCAACTTGGTAAATTTTGGTATGTTTCTCGAGAAAACTTTGATCAAATGTCCCAGATATATAGGATCTCTTGAAGTTGGAGGGTGGGATTCAATGGTGATGTACAGGACTGGTACAAAATCGTAGTCCGAATTATTCTTTCTGATAATCTCAATCATAATACCAACACCATTAGCGAGACTTGTTCCCCCGTGTAGCATCAATTCGCATAACCGTTCCATAACTTTTTCAGAAAGTAATTCTCTTGTAAGTTCATTTGGGCCAATTGTAGAGTTATCGGTATTTGAATTAGCACTGATAGTGACAAATGCCTTTATGAAGTCACCGGCAGCACTCTGTACGCTTGCGCCAATTTCAGGATCCAAAAACTCGACCAACTTAGGAATCAACTCCTGTTCTTTCAAGATTTCAATTATACCAGTTGGATTATCGGGCTTGTCAGTGCTAATAACTTTCAGCAGGAAATCCATGAGTGGAGGATTATCGATATGTCTTAGAAATCTATCCACTAGGTCATTCTGTTGTAATAGAAAGTTCAGCATTCCGTGTAGTTTCATATCAAGCAGGTGTTCGTTAATCTTCATGAAATAAGTGGATTCAATCATTGATAGAGGACATGGCTTATCTAAGAGGGTCCACAACTTCCTTAACAAATCATGATTGTCCATGAATGAGTCTGTTAATGACCAAACATCCAAGCTGAGGATCTCGGCAGAGACTTGTGCCCTTCTAGCGTGGATCTTTTCTGGTGTATCCACCGAATCCGCAGAGCTTGTAGTTGAACTTGTACCATCGTCATCCTCGTCGGCGCTGTCATCGTTACCGTTATCAGATCCACTTCCTTCTGCCTGTTGTTCTTGCTCTTGTTTTTCTCCAGATACTGCCTCCTCATCCTTCGCGTTGGCATTTTCCGTTATGACGTAGGTGACAAGTTGTTCAAGGACATCGTGATGTCTCAAGTACTCGATAAGTTTCAAATTCGAGCCAGCCAATTCCTCCAGGATATCTTGTTCGTCTAGTAGCTGGTCCAGGATCTCCAGGTTTGGCATTTGAGACTCTGATTCCTCGTCTTCTATTGTTTCATCCTCGTTATAACGGGAAGACGAAATGTCGTCTGCGTCCGACGTCTCGTCCGATGACTGTGTCGACGTAGAACCCTTCCTGTGCTGTTTGAACGCCTCTTGTTCCTCGTTCCCATCGCGCTTCTCCTGGCGGATGAACCCTTTCTCCAGAAGCTCATTGATGACAGACTTGTCATTGTAGCCGTTGCCAAACTTCCAAAAAGTGCCAGACATGTTTGGAAATCCTTCTTCAATTGCTTGATCAACAGGGACACCACGTTACTGCGTCAGCCAAGGTAGTTCACTCTTCCCCTTTATCTCCCTCGCTCTCTCACACACACACACACACAAAGGACAAGTACGGTGTTTTCGAGAGTGAAATGTGGCTCTCACAGGTCACCAGCAATAGGAAAGCAGAAAACAAACACAATCGCCAACAGGGAAAGGTCGGTTAGAAATGACAGGCAGCGGCGCTGTATATCACAAATGATGCCAAAATGAAGCGAATTACACCTCTTTTGTTCTCCTCTCAGGGACCGCTTATACACAAATCCCACTTATACCGGCAAGCTCGATCTTACTGTGTTGTGTGCTTCAGAATACCAATGTCGATGGTGGTTTTTCCAGCTTCCAAGATGGAAAACTTTTCCCTGTCCCTGCTGCTGCAAAGGGACAAAAACCGAAAAAAACTGAACTGGGGAAGGCTATTTTCAAAGCAGAGAGAAAATACCACTGAGAGAGCTTAAACAACCTGCCACTTTACTTCTCTCTTTATCTCTGCTCGTTGTAAGTATCAACGCAAAAAGGTGTAGCTTTTCGCCTTTTCCGTGTATTTTCAATTGTAAAATGAGGGTAAAAACCGAGCTCAATTGAAGAGATTCTTCGTTCTTTAAGCAAAGTTCGAGAGTGTCCGGCCTATGAGCGCTGGACGTTTTTACTGTGTGTGTGTTTTTTCTGTCCTTCTTCGTGCGTTGGACGTTGGAAAATTGTATGTGTGTAAGGGTGTTTTGTGTGCCCGTCCCGAACCTGGGTGGTTTTTTGTCCTGTAGGCACTCGTCACCCGCAGTACCAGGTGACGCTGGAATGAGTGCGATGTGAGTTGGCGATAGAGTATGATTGACGCATTTGATGGGCGTGGAAGCACGTATTGAGGTCTTTGTAGGGTAGGAGCGGACGGCTGTTGTGTTGGAGTGGTGAGGTGGCGGAACTGTGATTACACAGTGGTGTGTGGGTGTGTTGCATACATGCCCTCAGCTCTTTGCATAAGTCGTATAGAGCTAAAGCTCGCACGACTGGCTGCTGCTGCTGCTGCCACTACTACTACTACTACTACTACTACTACTACTACTACTACTACTACTACTACTACTACTACTACTACTACTACTACTACTACTACTACTACTAC